GTGTGCTCTTTTTCGAAAAAAGCAGCTCCTAACCTCTGTTTTGTATAAGGTCTGGCTCGTGCACAAGTGGCATGTTTGTCGAGGTATGCATTTAGGTCTCCAAAAAGGATTCTTATACAACGTTTCTGAGTTATGAACAGCTTATCGTTTGGTTGGTCTTTGAGAGCTGAGCCCCAAACACTTATTCCGTAAGCAAGATGTGATTCCAATAATGCAGAGTATATTTTTTGGTAGTGTTCCCCTGGAACTGAATGTTTAATCCTGTTAAGTGCTCCTGTAGTGGATCTAATTTTTTTTCTTAGATATTCTATGTGTGGGCCCCAGCTAAGTTTTTCATCAATTACTACACCAAGAAATTTGGTGTTGCTAACCTTGACAATTTTGTGTCCATTTATAAATATTCCTTGTGATTTGTCATGTTCATTGGCATACGGCCTAACCCTGGCGCAGGTTTCATCAGATTCGTATGCAGGTAGAAAATGTATGTAGCAGCATTTAGACATATTTATATGTAAGAGATTACTTCTCATGAATTTGCATACGAAATCAAGAACTTTATTGGCCTTCAAGTATGTTGCTTCTTTGGACGGTCCAGTGATAAATATATTTGTGTCATCAGCATAGAGCACAAATTTGCATTCATCGCCTTTGTAACAGTTTATTATGTCGTTCATATATAATAAGAAAAGTAGAGGGCCTAGTATGGAACCTTGGGGAACTCCATATTTTACATTCATAGTCTCTGATGTAGTGTTGAGAAATGAAACATACTGTGATCTATCGGATAAATAGCTTTTTAGAAGTCCTAGAGCTAGACCTCTAACCCCATAATTTTCCAGTTTCCTCAGGAGAATGCCATGGTCAAGAGTATCAAAAGCTTTGTTTAGGTCAATAAAGATTCCTAGAACATGATTACCACTGGATGTTGATGTTGTGATTGAATGAACTGATTTGTGGAGTGCATGTGAGGTTGAGTGGCCTTTTCGAAAACCAAATTGTTCATTACTGAGAATGTCATTAGCAGTGAAAAAGGTATAAAGCCGTTTGTATATTATTTTTTCAAATATTTTACCAAAGATTGGCAATATTGACACAGGTCTATAATTTTCAATATTTTCTTTATTATCTTTTTTATGGATAGGAGTTACTTTGCCTATTTTGAATATGGATGGGAACGTGCCTTTTTGAATACATGTATTATACAAATTTGCTAATATGTTGGATAAGAGATGAGCCGGTTTCTTGATAACTGCTATTGGTATATCACTGGCTTTTCCGTTAACGAATTCTTGAATTATTTCAAGAATCTCCTCAGGATGAGTTTCTTCTAGATGTATTGAACTGTTGACTGATTTCGACATAAACTCAACAAATGATTGCATTGGTTGGATAGACAGTTGGTTCTCGGACAAAACCTTCTCATTTAAATTACTAGCTAAAGATGTAAAGTAACTATTGAATTTGTTTGCAATAGTCCGCCTACAAATTACTCTAGTTCCATCTATAATGAAGTCATCTTTTAGCTGATTCTTCTTTTTGCCACGAAGCTCGTTGATTATTTGCCAGGTTTTTTTGGAGTTATGGCTATTTTTCTCAAACTTTTCAGCATAATACCTGGTTTTGGAAGTTTTTATGGCAATTTTAAGATATTTTGAGTAGTCCTTGTAAACATTATGTCTTTCCAGATCCCCATCTGGAATTAACAATGTTTTTGTTTTTTTTCCATTCAAAATAAAGTCTGGCTTTTTTTCTCCACAGAGTTGATAACGCCGTTTGTGATCCATGGATTTGTTATATTATTTCGTTTGGTGGTTTTTGGTGAAGCCAATTTGCAAGATATATCTATCTTTTCTTGAAACAGATCCATGAAGGATTCAAAAGAGTCAAATCTGTGGTAAAATGTATTTATGTCGTTTTCAATTTCTTCACAGAGCTTATCAAGGTTTGCATTACTATAGTTATAATAAATGGTTGTTTTTTTCAGGTGATTTATTCTGTTCCGAACTAGTATCAGAATTCATTACTTGAAGGCAGAAAATGGGCTGGTGATGTGAAGCACTATCCTGAATTACTCCAGCTCAGATATAGTTGATGAGTGAATGTCATTAGTGTGTATGTTATCAATGCACGTTTTTGAGCAGTGGGGCATTTGGTGTGTGGGAATGGATATTGTGGGCGTGAACCCGTGACTATAAATAACTTCTTCGAATATATCTTCATCTGGGCCTGATAAATTGGTTATGTTAACATTGAAGTCCCCTAATATGTATGCTTTATGTCCTTTCAGTGCAGTAAGAACTTCTTTATACTGTGCATTGAAGTTAGCAAGTGGATTGCTTGGTGAGCGGTATACAACTCCAACTGTTACTGGTTCTGGAGCATTACTTATTGTTATGAATAGGGACTCAAATTGCTCTGTACAAACAGATAACTTTTCAATCACACTAAAGTTAAAGGAGTTGTGAATGTAGAGAGAAACTCCACTTCCTTTACTTTTTACCTGTTGTGTCTTATTAGAAACGAAGCGTTTCTAATACTCATGAAGTATAGTCTTTAATTTGGTACAGCTGACTATTACAGGGATCAATGTTTGTTTCTGCTAAACCTATCACAGAAAATTTGTGGTCTATGCAGGCTAATTCTAAGGCCAATTTGTCAAAGTTAGTACCATTTCCAAGTTCATTATTTAGGAACATCCACTATCCATGGAAACAGTTCATCGTATTAATGGATTCCCAGCAAGTTAGTTCTTAATTTTAAAGGGGGTTGTATTTGTAATTTGAGTACTTTTCTGCTAAACAAAATTAATTTTCAGGCTCTGAGATGCTTAACTGTACCGGGTTGGACGACAAATGGCCTAACATGGAAACTAACACCTAGACTTCCCGGTACTTTTAGGTAGCAAAATATCTCTCAGATGCAAAGAGGGATATAGACTAAAAGGAGATAACATGGTCTCGTGTCACCGTGAAACCCAGTTCTACTATCATATCATACGGAACCAAACTGTGAACGTAGGTAAAATAATAACCTTGTCGCAGTTTTTTGGAATATCATTATGAAGGTTGTGCAACTTTTCTGATTTAATCACAGCATTTCGTTTCGTAACTTGTAACTTTATACCAAAGTGTGGTAATCGCATCCTTCTGCTGAACCCCAGCAGAACGGTGAAACATTTGTTGATTTCGGAAAACAATCAACTGAACCCCAGCAGAACGGTGAAACATTTTTTGATTTCGGAAAACGATCAGCTGAACCCCAGCAGAACGGTGAAACATTTTTTGATTTTGGAAAACGATCAGCTGAACCCCAGCAGAACGGTGAAACATTTTTTGATTAATTGGAAAACGATCAGCTGAACCCCAGCAGAACGGTGAAACATTTGTTGATTTTGGAAAACGATCAGCTGAACCCCAGCAGAACGGTGAAACATTTGTTGATTTTGGAAAACGATCAGCTGAACCCCAGCAGAACGGTGAAACATTTGTTGATTTTGGAAAACGATCAGCTTAACCCCAGCAGAACGGTGAAACATTTTTTGATTTTGGAAAACGATCAGCTGAACCTCAGCAGAACGGTGAAACATTTGTTGATTTTGGAAAACGATCAACTGAACCCCAGCAGAACGGTGAAACATTTGTTGATTTTGGAAAACGATCAGCTGAACCACAGCAGAACGGTGAAACATTTGTTGATTTTGGAAAACGATCAGCTGAACCCCAGCAGAACGGTGAAACATTTGTTGATTTTGGTCACGTGACCTTTTTTAACACGTTCTTTAGGTGTCCCTGAAACCCTAACCGTAACGAAAAATTAGATGTGGGGTGATCGTGAATTGACCTTGTTATTAGCTTAATCAAATTAGCAGGTACCACCCGTATTCACACACTCAGAATTGAGTTTAGTCATTTTCCAATACGAGATTGGGGACGGGTTCTATAAACAAACAAACAGCTTGATCAAATAATTTAATGGCCGACACAAACACTGTTTCAAAGTTTGATATGTACTTAAGTACTAAGTACTAACTTTTCTAAAAGAATAATCGATTAAATCCTAGGCCCAGTGTGTGTTGAAGATGGTGATAATGGTTCATCATACAGAGGAGATGTTGCTGCCACGGTATCAGGACGCGTCCGTCGGAGATGGGACTAGCTCGTGGTTATTTTGTGAACTAACACTAGCTGCCCTAGGCCTATGGACAGTTTATTCTAAACATTAGTAATGACGTTACATGTTTATTTCTTTTTAGCTGGTTAGTATAACTATGTAATGAAAACACTCTAATTTAAACTTGTAAAAGAGTACCATTTTGCCATGAAACCCACGAACTTAGAAGTATAATTTTACTGACTTCCTATTACATATTAGAGTGTTATTAGAGTGTTATGTTATTGAAATTACTTCACAAATTATGAGATTATTATTTTAAATTGTATGAAACACACAATAGTTTTATGACGAGAATTTGCGTCACTTTTCAGTTTTCCAGCAGTAATCAATTTTATACTATAATTTGGATACGTTATAACTGTTATAATAGACATTTTGGTTTTTTTGAAATGTGACCTTTATCAACTTAAACTCTTGATTTATAACTGTATTACTGTGTACTGGGATGATGAGTCTAGAATGAGTCTTGAATGATGTGATCTAATAATATTATATCTAAAACTTTAAAATGAATGTATAAAATAGTTATCTACCAAAAAATCCAAATTAAACTTTAATTAGAGGTCGTTCACAAATTACGTAATCAGCTGAGGGGGGGGGGGGGGGGGGAGTTTCCGAATGATTACACTAGTGTAATTTTGACACAATAGCTATGTGTCAAGCTATAAAACTGATTACGGAGGGGGGGGGGGGCGGGGGGGGGGGTAAAAATGTTCCAAAAAATGATTACGTAATTATATGTCATATGTGAACGACCCCTTACACGAATATTATTTTGATCACAATTATGTTCTCGTGATCATAATTTTACAATTTTTACTGAACAGTAGGAAAAAGACTTCAAAATGTCGACACTCGTTGAGAAGATAAAAGCAGTAGAAGATGAAATGGCCAGGACGCAAAAGAACAAGGCAACATCAGCTCATTTGGGAATGTTGAAAGCCAAGTTAGTTTCAGATTAACTCAATTAAGCCGATTTTAACTCAATTAAGATTTTAAATTAAGATTCTAAATGAAGATTTCAACTCAATTAAGCCGATTAAGCCAATTTTTTATTTTATTAATAAAAAATAAATATGATTTAGTTCAAATTTTTAATATTTCTGTTACCTGGTTGAATATTTCAGATTAGCGAAGTTCAAGAGGGAGTTGATAACGCCTAAAAGTGGGGGTGGTGGTGCAGGTGAAGGATTCGACGTCGCTAAAACAGGAGATGCTAGAATCGGATTCGTTGGTTTTCCATCTGTAAGTCAATTAAATTGCATGAATAATTTGAAACATTTGCTTACCCCAGTATAGTCATGGTATAGTCTGGTTTTTTTACCCTGCAGTAACTTTTCAGAACTGAAATGGGTTGAAGAAAGAAATTTATCGCTCAAAATAGATTAATAAAATGTTTATCTGTATACTTTCCACATAAATCACTTAAAATCTTAAATCCACCTAAAAACACCTAAAAAACTGCACATTTAATTGGGCGATAAATAAGTTGCGTAACAGCTAAGTTCTTGCCAGTTAATCGTTGTTTTTCCGCCAGATGAAACAAAGTCCATTAACTTTCGTAACATGCCGACTAAAATACTACTTATTTAGGTAGGAAAATCTACACTGCTATCAAATTTAGCTGGAGTCTATTCAGAGGTAGCAGCATACGAGTTCACAACACTCACAACCGTTCCTGGGGTCATCAGGTAATTATTTATAGATTTTTAACCAAGGATAAGATCCGCAACTTATATCGCGCAAATGCAAGTTTCGTCAAGTTTACCGCGGCAAATTAGGCTGCATGGGCCGTGGATGAGCAGCTATATGAGGGCTCAAGCTCTAGATCGAATCCTTTAGTGGAAAAATAATGCCCTAAAAGCTGGAACGTCGCCGTGTAGGTAGCTGTTGAGAGTGGGCCAGTCACAGTCAAATGTTATTTTATGTAACGCGCTACGGTTATTGCGCGTTGAGAGTCCAAATTGTTATTTCAATTTTGCGCGGCTTCTAAAGTTTTTCGGAATTGAAGCCGAATGAATGATATACCTTATCGGACCTTATTTGGACGGACATTACATGAACGGACACAATTATGAACGGACATAAATATGAACGCTCGAAGGCATTCAAAACCATCAAAAATCCGAATTTTTTTCAATTTTTTTGACGCTTTTTTAATTTCAGCAAATGATTTTTAAATCCATTTTTTATACAGTAAGTAAGAAAAGCAGTCATTAAGCAGTAAAAATGTTAAAATATGTGTACATGATCAGTGTCTAATATCACATATCATCTTCATCAAATGGGTTTTCGTGCATGAAATAGTCCATGCTTAAAGCATCAGCGATTTCTAGCTTTATGGAAACCTTTTTTTTATCAAACTACTCCGGTCCTGCATTTCATTTTCAGTCTTAACTTTTACAAGCCATTCGGCGTGAAGTGGTTTTATCTTAGACAACTTAAGGTTAACCTTAACATCACGTGGAGCTTTCCTAGCAATGTTTCATTACCGCCCCCGAGTAATATGAACTATAACAACGTCGGACAATGTCCTTGGCAACACGATTTACCGTAATTTCTAGAGGCTGGAACAAGTTTGTCATGTTGGCGGGGACTAGTTCATGAACTATGTTGTTGAGTGCCATAATTTCGTTGACTTTTTTCCGCCAAGTGACCCTTGAAAACATTATATACTAGTTATAGTAGTAGTAGTAGAGTTTTTTGTGTCTCCAGCAGACCAAAGAGAACCTTTCTGTCGTTAACTTACGGCACAATAAAGTTCTCAAAGTTGTCATATTCTGGACAAAAATTTCGAAATGGAAAAATTATTAAAAAAATTTCAACGGACTTTAACTTGGACGGACATTAATTGAACGGACTTTATTTGAACGGACATTAAGATGAACGCTAGGGCCTCCAGCGTTCAAGTAATGTCCGTCCAAATAAGGTCCGATAAGGTAATACGTCGTCTTAACGTAGAGGCCCTGCTGACCCCGCTGTGCAGGGGGCGCCTAATCGTCGTTTGAATTTGGGACAATTTAGAAAACTTAACTAAAGTACTAGCAAAACTGCGCGTTTTGCTCTAGATACACACTTTTTTAGAGATTTTACCGGCGTATTCTCTAAAATCACCTAATTTGTTCAATTTTAGGGAGGGGCACCAAAAAGGGAGGGGGCGCTTTTTTCGGCAGGGGGGGGGGGGGGGGGGCGCCAACAGGCAACGTTACGCCACTGCGTCTTATCAGACTCTTTGCACTTAGCAGATAGTAGCATATATATATTTTTTGTTCATGGAGCAGGCTTGCCACATAGGTCCGATAGTTCGGAACGTTTAGGCAGGGTGCAGACAATAGCATATACAGGGCCAGTGGCGTAACGAAGGGCCCCGCCGACCCCGCTCTTATTAGTTAAAATTAACCATGAAGTTTAATTTTGTCAAAAACAATGAAAGTGGAAGAAAGTCACACTTTATGCGGTAAATTAGGAAGACCATGCTCCAATGAATTATATTAAGATTATTAAGTTGACTGCGTGCGGGTAATTTGGGTAACGTACTGTCGCTGTTCGCTAATATGCGTGATTTTCGTGATTTTTGTATATATCCAAGATTTTAACACAAGAGATCTGACTCTCATAATTTACAGATATAAGGGAGCAAAGATACAGCTCTTAGATTTACCAGGTATCATCGAAGGAGCTAAAGATGGTAAAGGAAGAGGTAAGCGTCCAATATTTCAACAGATATCACAGATTATCACTCTCTAATTAAAACTAATTTCAACACTACAAATCTATTAGATTTATTGAGGATGTAACAGTAGGTATATGTACAATATGTATAATTTTGTTTTATAGGAGTCCTAATCCCCCTCCATCCTTAACTGGAGTTTCACTTTCTGAATATTTTTGCATGTTGTACCGCGCGGCGCGCATGGGTAGTGAATAGTGGGTATATTATGAATAACAATTTCAATTAATTTCAGGTCGACAGGTAATAGCAGTTGCAAGAACTTGCAAGCTTATATTTATCGTGCTGGATGTTTTAAAACCGCTGGGAGATAAGGCGATCATCCAAAAAGAGCTCGAAGGTATGTAACATAATATATTAGTTGCCAATAAGATTGACCTCGAAACTCAGTCATGATTTATTTTACACCTTATAAATCGATAGACTTCTCATCCTTTTACTTTTTGGGAGTGATTAAAATTAAATTTTACTAAATCGAGAACAAAAGCTCTTTAGTTGCTATTTCAGCTTCTCTTGCTATTTCGCCCACCCTAAGATATGCTCTTTTTGGGAAAAATGCTCGCACCGTATTATTTTACATATTTGTCGTTAAAAATCTTTTATCAGTTTAATCCCACTAGGTTTTGGTATCCGATTAAATAAAATTCCGCCGAATATCACCTTTAGAAGAAAGGAGAAAGGTGGTATTAATCTGACCACTGTGGTACCTCAAAGTGAACTCGATTTAAATGCAGTGAAACAGGTGAGGTGAAATTCCAAGTTATTTAGTGGTCCTCTTATATTGAACCCAAATCTCCTGCTCCAACTCTTTCAAAGGCTGGTACCCTACTACTACGTGGCCAGAAGGAAATTCTCGTAGGAACTCTTAATGTACGAACGTCGAACAATAAGAGAACAATACAAGAGGGATGAGCTGGGTGTATGCATGAGGGATAGTGGCGTACATATTTTGGGCATTCAGGAGCATCGGGTAGTACATAGCACTGAAATCGAGTATCAAGATCTTGGAAGCTCTCACCTCATAACAACTTCGGCATGGAGAACCAGCAATGGGGCGGCTGCTGGTGGGGTTGGTATTGTCTTGGACAAAAAGACAGTATTCAACTCATTGATTAGTGTATACTCACATGACAGGAGGACGATGGTAGCCAACTTTGCAGGGAACCCGGTCACAACTGTTATTGTGACTTATAGCCCGACAGAGGGGGCGACTGTCGACGAAGCAGAAAACTACTACGACAGCCTTGGTGGTGCCATCGACCAGATACCAGCCCACAACTTACTATTCGTTGTAGGGGACCTCAATGCGCATGTCTCATCATCAGGAAACTGGACATCCTTCCACAAGGGTCCAGCAAACCGAAATGGTAGACTGCTAGAGGATATGCTGTTGGAGCGACAGCTAGAAATCACAAACACCAGATTTCAGAAGCGAAGAGGTAAACTCTGGACATATCTCTCAGATATGAGTCAAAGTAAATCTCAAATCGACTTCATCATTTGCCGGAAGAAATGGCGGAACTCCGTCAAGAACTCCGAAGCATATGGTAGTTTCCACAGTATTGGCTCGGATCACAGAGTAGTCGTAGCAAGGGTAAAGCTTAGTCTACGGATAAGCAAGACGGAGAAGAGGGCTCCGGTTCTGGACTGGTCTAAACTTAAAACTGATATCGCTCTACAAGAGAGGTACACAGTGGAAGTTAAAAACCGCTTTTCCATACTTGAAAAGGATGATCAGACGGCAACAGAAAGGTACCAATGCTTTATTGATGCGAATAGGACAACTTCTCGACTTTTGCTACCTGAAAAGGAGAAAAAGAAAAGATGTAAAATCTCAGCGACTCCAAGTGTTGAGATTGCCAGGCTGAAGCTGAGGGAATGTAGCATAAAATACCACTCAGATGCTACAGAAGACAACCGAATAGCTGTTCAAGAGGGCAAACAGAAGCTAGGCGATGCTTATCAAGCAGCCAAAGAGCACCTGCTGGAGGGGCAGGTCCGGGAACTGGAGGAAGCAAGTTGGCAGGGCAGACATGCTAAAAGCTGGACCATGATCAACAAGATCACAGGTAAAGCTCCATCATATACTGGCAAAATCAAGGGAAACTCACCAACGGAAAGGGTTCAGAAATGGAAGGACTATTTTGCTACTCTTCTCGGCTCACCACCGACGGTAGAGAACGCGGAAGAGGATATTGATCCAGTCCACCCACCTCTGAATATCGGAACAGAACCGTTTACGTTGGATGAGTACAGGAAAGCAAAGTCCAGCATAAAGGAAGGGAAAGCATGGGGTGACGACAACATAGCCCCAGAAGTCTTAAAACGATGCGACCTTGATCAAATTGTCTTAGACTTCTGTAACAATGCTCTATTGAAAGGTGAGAAACCAGACCAATGGTCAACTGCCAACATCATACCAATTCCAAAGAAGGGCGACCTTAGCGAACCAATGAACTATCGGGGAATAAGCTTGTCATCCCTAGTTGCCAAGTCTCTAAACAAGATGGTTCTAAACCGGTTGAAGCCAGAAATCGAGATAATTCTGCGTAGAAACCAGAATGGATTCAGACCAGGAAGGTCAACAACTCAACAGATATTGGTACTGAGACGTCTTATAGAGGGTGTCAAGAGTCGGAAACTGCCAGCTGTTCTGACATTTATAGACTTTAAGAAGGCTTTCGACAGTGTACATCGTGGGAAAATGCTAAAGATTCTAGAAGCTTACGGCATTCCAGTCAAAATCGTGCAGCTTATACGGCTCATGTACGAGAAGACAATGGCCAAAGTCCTAACTCCAGACGGAGAAACTGAATTGTTCGAGATACTTGCAGGTGTGTTACAGGGTGATACCTTAGCACCTTACCTCTTTGCAATAGTCATCGACTACTGTATGAGGCAAGCCATAGGCGATGATGCGGAGCGATTTGGACTCACCCTCGAACGTAGAAAAAGCAGAAGAGTGGGGCCCAAGATCATCACCGATGTGGACTTTGCAGATGATATAGCACTTATATCTGAGGACATGGACAAGGCTAACGAGTTCCTGCTCAGAGTAGAATCGGCGGCAGCAAGCGTGGGACTACACATAAACGAAGGCAAGACCAAGGTCATGACACTGAATATGGAGGATCGATCTAGCGACCTACAAAGTCGATCCGGGGAAGCCATAGAAAATGTAGATGATTTCATCTACTTAGGCTCCTGGATTGAGAGCACAGATAGGGAGATAAGGGTTAGAAAGGGAAAAGCGTGGGGTGCCCTACATAGACTGAAGGATATCTGGAAATCCAAACTCTCAAAGAGCCTAAAGATTAGATTGTTCATAGCGGCTTGTGAATCAGTACTGCTCTACGGATCAGAAACCTGGACACTGACAAAGGCTCAAGAGAAAAGTTTGGACGGGACATACACAAAGATGTTGCGTATGGTGCTGGGTATCTCATGGAAGGACAAGGTCAGCAATATAACTTTGTATGGTAGCCTCCCAAGGCTGTCAAACAAGTTACGAAGCAGGAGATTAAAAATGGCGGGACACTGCATCCGACATCCTGAGCTACTTGCTAGTGATTTAGTCTTATGGGAACCTACGCACGGTAGAGCACAGCAAGGCCGACCAAGACAAAGCTACTTGTCTATGTTACTGAAGGAAGTTGGGACAAACTCTAAAGAGGAACTGCGAACCCTGATGCGGGACAGGGATATATGGAGGGGGTTTTCTGGCGTAGATCGGACTTAGCTCCGACATAGTAGTAGTTATATTGAAACTTTTTTCTTGCGATTATTCGAAGGATCGACAAATTTTCGGCTTCTTTAAAAGTAGAGAAGCAAAAATTATCAAACCACATTTTTGACATTTTATTTGAAAGTTTCTTTCGATTGACGAAGAAATTATCAATTTCAGATTTTGGGCGAATATCGGATCAGTAATGCTGACATAATCCTAAAAGAGGACTCAACCAGTGACGATTTGATCGATGTAATTGAGGGAAACAGAGTTTACATTCCATGTATATACGTTCTCAACAAAATAGATCAGGTGCTTATTTTGATTAATGTTGTTATCTTCATAACCACTTCATGCCACTCTTCGTGATTTTAATGCAATGGTTGCTTTGAAGTGAACGGTTTTGTAGGGCGGTTTTAAGCTACAAACAGCATTGCCTCCTTGGGAAGTATTTCAAACAAAACCAACGATAACCAATCACCTTTAATATTATCAGTTCAATAACAAACTGAAAGTAGGAAATATCCACATTCTTCCGTCGGTAGGCCAGTGATGAATTTGTCTTTAGTATTTTTTGTAGCGGCTTATAGTTTGACTCCGTCTTGGGGAACAAACGCAAGAATTGTTGTCTTTAGTATGATAATACGGAGTAAGGATAACTAGAATGTGTCAGGCTGTTAATGAAATCTTCACTGAAACAACACTAGAATGTGTTAATGAAATCACCCTAGGTCTGGCTCATGACAGTTTGATATTTTTACCAGTGACCACTGACTAGCCTTTCATCTTATCATAAAAAATAAATTCTATTTAGCACCATAAAGTCATACATTCGAACATCGCAAAAGTCGTACATTTAAAGTAATTACCCCAATTACTTGATTGAAATGGCACGTGCCGAGCTGTCGATATTTAATACATCATTCTTATATATAATCATTATCACGTTCTATTACAAAGTCTACTGAGCACGATTACGACTTTAAGTCACTAATGATCATAACTTCTTGTAAGATAACACAAATATTACCGGCGGTAAAGCCCTGTGTAACAAAATGAATCCTGGGTTTGGAATGGATAAATTGCATGCTTTCTAGTTTAAAATTGCGCGGGAAATCGCTCGATTATCGATTTACTAAATCATCGCTTTAACTCCTTTTTGCTCCTCACCTGTGCAAATAGGTACTGGTCAACTGGAGGTGGTCTGTGGTAAACTGCTTTCTACACTAATAATTAAGTCTGTCAGATCATTAGTTTAGGTGCGTGTGTTTGATATTCGAGTTATAAAAGGCGTGTAATTTTATTGTAGTGAGATTTCAATAGAGCATTTTTTCAGGAGCACGACTGAATCACATTTTTCACGTTTTTATAACGTACTTGAATTACAGTAAAAACTACGATTTTCCGTAAACAAACTTCTGGTAGTGGTAAAGTAATAAAATAGGGTTCCACTATGACAAATACAAAATTTGTCACATTCCATATCTAACATAGTTCTTATATCATAACCGTGTCCGTTCCTCCAGATATCAATTGAAGAGCTGGACGTAATCTACAAAATCCCTCATTGTGTGCCCCTGTCAGCTCATCACAAATGGAACTTCGACGATTTACTCGAGAAAATGTGGGATTATCTTCAACTTACCAGGTATAGAATAGTTTATATTATATTATATTATGTCTTGCCAGGTATAAGATAATCTTTATTACATTATGTATGGCTGACCAGGTATGTAAATGGGGAGTTTTTAAGTTTTTATTTTGTTCATTACCTCATCTGATATAATCTCATTTGGCGGACGTCATAAAAGTTTTGGAAATTCACTGTTTTTTTTTATAACGAGAGGCAGTTTAAAAATCGAAATTGGAAGTTCAACTTTCTCCAATTTCCTGTAAAGTTGAAGAAAATCTACTGTTGCATTGTCTCCTTATCATATTTATGATTTCCTATTTACATTCTATTTTACAGGATTTACACGAAGCCTAAAGGTCAATTACCTGATTTCAACGCGCCAGTTGTACTCCAGGACGCTAACAAAACCATGGAGGCATTTTGTAACAAGTGAGTGCCCATTATTTATATTATAGGATCTCATTATTTATATTATCTCATGAACTAATCGTATTTAATCTATCTACACATCTAACAGAAGTACTGTGTACACCATAAAACTCTTAGATTTTATGATGCCACTGCTTTCCTTGGCTAGTCATGGTGGTCGTGACCATTGGAATAAAAAGTTCCAGAAAGGCACGAAGCTATTAGGATGCCACCGTACTTATACTTCCTTTTACTTTTATTACTCTTACTTTACTGCAATACGTTCTCCCTCAGTTTACACAAGGGAATATTAAAAGATCTAAAGTATGCGCTTGTCTGGGGTAGCTCAGTGAAATACCAGCCTCAGAGAGTCGGGAAAGAACACGAGTTAGCGGATGAGGACATCGTTCAGATCATCAAGAAACATTAGCTGGGATAATTACTGGGAACATTCTAATTAGCTAATTAATTAACTTATCGATGAGTTGAAACACTAACTAATTAACTTGTTGAGGAGTCGAATTACCATCAAAAGCTTTCATTCGGGTCTTAGATTTTTAATTTATTTAAGTTTATCAATTTTTATTTGTAAGCTGTTTTTTAGTGAGCTGACCTTGGTTTCAACAAGTTATGTTCAGCAAATAATTATTTCTCTAAGACGAGAAGGAATTTGTCTGGGTAGAAACTAAGGAAAAGTGAATGCATTTGTTAAAGATTGGGGAGTAGGGTATTTCTCGACGGATGAAAGTTCTAATTTCGATGTTTTATCTCTGTCAAGTTTCAAGATGTCAGATACTATTATCTTCACACTTTTTGAGTTCTGAGATGAAACAGTCTGCTCTTTTTCATAATGAGTGTTTTATGCCTACCAACAATGACCAATCACTAATAATTTGAAATCATTCCAAATACAATGAACGTTCGTGTTAGCATCATGTTCGGATAATTATGGGGTCCAGGTGGAAATATTTAAATTTTCTGATACTGGAGGAATTAATTCGATCAATAGTGAATAGAGATAAAAGGACAACAAAAATAGCGGCATGGTAAAGCCCTAATCCTTCCGGCTTCCATCGCATATGATATTGTTTGGAACCTTGATAATTAGATATGGTACAACCTTGGAACTTCCATTGAATGAAATTGCTATGGACCTCAATTACGAGATACTTTAATATTATTAGTGTAAATAATACTCTGTTATCTATTTCTAAATGACGAATAGGATCCAGACTATCCTCTCCCCGTTCGTGACAAATTTCTGTTTACCCTGATATTTCTGTGAAACTTGATTTCGAGAAATATCAGGTGTCAGGGTAACTCGGGCCTGTCACTACACACTAAACGTTTGAGGTGGGCGCTCATTAAAATCAAATTACTATTCATAGTCCTACCTTTCATATATTAAGACGCAATTAAACTATAAGTATAAGTTTGTCTCTCACGTGCTCAGGAGACTAGTAGCAGTAGCACGAGTAGCTACAACTACAAGTATTGAAGTAAAGCATTCAATTTCATAAGCTAAAGTTTGGGTATGTTTAACTTTAAGGTGATGGCCGCCCACGGCACGGCGGATACCCGTGATCCTGGATTTCCTCAAATGTTTAGAAACAGATCCTAATTTATTTTGTAGGTTTATAACCTATGGCTATAGTTATACTATTACTACCAAAACGCGCGCCGAGTTGGACTGATCGTCGACGCGGTCCTGATATTTGAAACAAATATTTTACGAGTATCACCCGTTAAAGTTTATTATATTGGTCAACTGGCTCGAAATCAAGTTTCATAGAAAAATCAGGGTGGAGTGTGGACGCTCTTTAATGTTTAATGATTAAGCCTGAGCTGCAATATGACTTAAAGTTAATATGTTAAAAATTTAAGAACGGCTGCCCGGCAACTTCATAATCAAATTTGATAAATACTTTTGATTTAAAAGGTAAACTTAGAAAATAATTGGAAACCAAATTATCAATCTAACTGTTTGCACACTGGATCTAATTGGGTGAAGTTGTCGCTCACCCCTACATATACTTGCTCCTTACTTGCTCCTTACTTGGTCGTTAGTATATTTACCAATACAAACATTTACCATGGCCGGGGCCCTGTTGAGCTTCTTACGGTTTTCCTAATAGTAATAGTAATACTAATACTATTACTAACAAATTTGTTTGAACTTTGATGTTTGAAGAAACTTTATGACGATTCCCACCAGTTGACCGGTGTATACATCAAATTATCTCATATCGTTTAATATATATAAATAATTGAGTTAGTAAACAGTTATCAGAGTGTAAAATTGTTTTATAGAATTAGAAATGTTAAAAACTTTTAAAATTATAAATTTTAGAAACTTATAAGTATATGTCCTTCCAGTTCCATCTAAAAATCATGTCATGGACAGAAATTATCATATCTTATCAGTAATTGTTTTCTACGCGACTAAAAAAAAATGAACGTATACGGTTGGAAATACGATCCTTTTAGTTTAAAGCATAATTAGATTAATTCACAAATCGAACGTGACAAAAATATTAGCGTATTAAATATGAGACACATTATGAGAGTGCACTTAGGTTGGTCCTTGTCCGTGATAATTTTTCATCACCAGATGATTTATAAAAAATGCGAGTTATTCGATAATCTAGTTACTTGATGATCATCCTTTGCTGGGGGTGCCCCTGCAGCAGTAATATCGCAGGACCAAGGACAAATTCTTCGCTTATCATCAATGATATTTAAAATCACGTACAGGCCACAGGGACCGAATATTTAATTCTTCGCACACTTTTGATCTGAGTCAGCGATTTCATTATCTTTGAACATTTATTTGTTAAATTTCATTATTTTATTATTTCTTTATATTTGTTCTCCTGCTCTGGACCTTTGTAACACTACATGAACAACATATGGTTACCGTTAAATGGGTGCCACATGCCTAGCGTGAAATATTTACCTACTTACTTGCACTTGTGTACAGTCGACGCCGACCAATCAAAAGAAAGCACTTGTGTAGGTCTGTAGAAGCATTGCCATTGGCATTAGTAATACTAATAATATCGGGCGTTGCTTAATGCCTGCTACAGGCTATCCCGAAACTAGAACTACTACTAGAAGCTTGCTTTAATAAATACATGAAAATCTCCTGAGTTTATTCCATTGTTCAAAGAAAGGTTTTTTATATGGGCGAATTGTAATTTGTATCAATGTTTTCTCGTAGGCTGGAATGGAAACCTGCGGGAGCTGCAAGTTTGCCATACCACCAATAGGTTCCTGGTGATATCATACACTAAAATATATAAAACCTCCTTGAACGTGGCCCATATTTTCAATCCCGGCAACTGTCTAAATTCTAATCTTTGTGCAGATCCTTGTCCATGCTAATGTTACCAATCAGTATTAACCTACGTTGATCCAACGTATGTTATTGTTAACCTGTTGATGACAGTAAGACTAAGGGATCGTTGATATACTTTAGCCGTCATTTTAGACCCCCTGTCCCCGTTACTGCAGGTCGCTTTTTAGCACCAACTATCAAGATGTACTATGCCAAACTCAAACTAACGTTTACGCTGGCTTACACTTGGTCCATGATGTTTTACTTGATTGCAACGATAATGAGCTTGTGAAGTTCGGAATGCAGCCCCAGCAAGATCAAAACAGTTTGCAAATCTGTCGAATGTCAAGCATACCTTTTAAAGTGAAACCCAATCACTATTAGTATTATCACGACAATAGTGTTAATGAATTGCATACTAAACTAACCTTTATTTAATCATCCTCATTTACAAAAGACGGATTGCTTGTTATTCACATTTCAGCGGTATTTTCTTGGCCTTTTGATAAATAAAACCATTTCTTAGGCCATGAGGAGACATGGTGCTTTCGTGTTATCAGTTTGTACTAAGCAATTTCCACTGTTATTTATATCAAGTGCTGATAGTTATACTGGAGTTGGACAACAGCTCAATAATATTAATTTTATCTTGTTCCTGACGTGCTAAATATTTTGGGCCATGCATGTGCCAGTTTCATAATTTGATTACATGGAGAATTAAGATAAGCAACGAGACTACTTAAGGTTGAGAATGGTTCTAGCCAATGACTGAACGTTTGAGGGGGTCCCAGACCCTGGGCAGTTAAAGCACCCGTCAATACCCGTGATGTTGCTCTATTGGGCACATTTTGTGGCCTAAAAAACACCAAATCAGTCGCGTTGTCTTTGATCATTGGGAGTCTAAATTGGGGATCAGAAAGCTTGCTTTTAGTTCCTTCACGCCTTCATAAACTGCATAAAATCAAAAACCCTCTGTATTCCCGCGGATTTTCCAGCCGACTATAAAAGTGCATGAAGATTACATTTTATAAGTACCGTTGTCAATTACCAAATTATTTGGCCTATTTTTAGCAGTTACCTTATCGATGCAGTTATCCATGAGTGGCTCCTGCTATTCGGTTCGTGATTTACCTGCAATTAATGTCTGAACTTTGAACCGGCCATTCGTTCGTCTCCATCATTTACACTAGCAGGATAGAAATCTACCGGAAACAATTCGATTTGTAGACAAGTATGGCCGTATTTTGAGTGAAGCTCTTTGCTAAAATCTAATTTGAGTGGTTGGTATTAGTATAGCCATTAACTTTACTGTCGTTAAAGATCGCTGTTTTCTTGATTAGTTTATATCCACCGCTATGATGTATTGAATTTCAATAGCCACTATTTACTTTTAATTCGATCGGGTCTTCGTCGACGACTTTTTTAAGTCCAGGACAAAATTGGTGAAATGTTTTGAAATCTGATTTGAGTATTGTGGACGTAGTTTGTTAATTTTGATACGATGCATACCTACATAACTTTGAAAATGGGTGTAGTTGTACACTGTATATAATATTCCAGTCTTCTTAAACTCACGAATCTGCAGAATCAGAATCAGATGGTACACCGCACCTGATCATAACTGGAACACATATTTTAAGAGTCTCTCCGACCTCCTTATGACGAAGTGTTAAAGTCTCACTGCGTTCCATATTCACGTCGATTCGATTTTAATTCTAGTAATGAACGTAAATGAGGAAAATATTGGAAACATGTAGCAGGGCCTAGATAGGTGCTTTAGAACAACCAATAGCGGCACCCGTGTTATTGTTTGGCCGTACGTGTTTCATTTTTGTTACTTCCACATATTCTGTTAACTTTAAGTGTTATAACTTAGTGAGCAGTTTAAAAAACACTTCTAAAATATCGACCTGGTTGTTAGAACATTCAACGACCATATTTAAGTGTGAAAATCATATTTTAAACAGCTCTAGTTATCACTCATATATTTATTATATTATATATATATATATTTTATCATTTATAAGTTAAGCTGGATTTGCGCTTCTTCGTATGGACGTTTTTCAAAAATGTCCCTTGTATGGTTATTCTGGTGCAAAATTGTTTTTATTAGAGGGAATATATTTGATCGCCCTAAAATATGTAAGTTTTCTAATTTGGCTCCTTGAGGTCTTATGGAGAATGGAATTCATTTCTACCTCACCAAATAACCGTGATGGAAACAGCTGTGAAGCAATTTGAAGTCTATCTAATAGTTTTTAGGCTTTAGTTTTTAAGATATTCAAGAACAACTATTTCTTTGCTTTGCAGCACGTACCTACACTGATATTTAACGTGAACCTCGAATTGTGACGGGAGCTTTTAACCTCGAATTATTATTAGCCTAATCATGTCGATTTACATTCAAAATTTACTTATTTACAGCAATTTGTAAACAGTAATTATTGATTAAACCCGGATTCTTGATTTGCCGCGACAGTTTGTCTAGGCAAATTTTTAAAATATATTATATCATGGTTAGTTTATGGTGCAATTAGACGCCCCACCTAAAATAGCTGAATAACACGCTGGCTAAGTTACTTGTTGCTCATTGACGATTTCCGCAATCGTGCGTGGGAACGTGACTACTTGGATCTCGCAAATAAATCCCTCCAGCCCATCATACATGATACATTCCTTCAGTGTCTCAATTTAAATCCTACCTCCCCTGATCACTGTTTACACGGCTAACACTGTTATATGTCTTTGTGTTCACTCTCATTTCAACTCCCTAACGACTACCCTAGCTTTAGATCAGGTACGATAACCCGGTTACCCGAACATAATCTAATGAGGGTCCGGAGCATATTAACATTGAGCTGGGATAGGTTTCACAATTCAGTTGAGAGGTGGTTCCCTGATACAGATAAATTCCCCAACTGATCTCTCCTCTGGGCCGCTAGACGTGATCCAATTTCAGGAATATATTGGGGAATAATGCAATTACCTGCAGCAGTAGGGTTATGTCTCTGCAGGACTGAGGCTTTGCACTTTGCAGTGTTGAGTGGGCCCGGGAGTTGAGTGGTACGTGATTTTTGCTAGCTGTATTTACAGATTTAGTGGATGGTCATTGGTCTCAGGTCGTGCGATCTCCTTTATTCCTGGAAAATCCCGAATGTAACTTTTATGTTTCGTAATCCAATTACGATTACATGTGATCGCATTAACATTCTGATCATTGGGCGACTGAAACATTGCACTTTATAGTCATACCATTTGGTACCATGTCTTATTTGTATTAACTTGTATTTTGCTCGTTCAGGTATTTTGCCTGTATGTGAGAATCTTGTTGTTTGTTTAGCAAATTAATTTTAATGGGGTTAAATAGTTTCATCTCACACACCAAGCTTTCTTCAGATTCAGTAGGCCGGGCTTTTATTTCGGTGAGATTATAGTAAACAATTGTCATTAACTTCAGACAGCTAATGAGCTAACCATTCACATTAATAGTTGTCGTACCATTCGATTGCAGGTATGGAATATCGATGGTATCGCTGCTGCAGGTCTGCCGTTTTCTGACAGAAGACCATTTTGATTTTTGAAATTTTGGATTCTAAATTTCTTTTTTGGGTCGAGAATTATACTTGAAAACCATCAAAACCAAAACCGGCCCCAGAAACTTTCTTTTGTGAACACCTAAAATGCAGAAATTGGCCAACAATGTGACAAAATAGTATAATATGAACTTCAAATTTTGGAGTGGACGTGATCAGCACTTTTGCGTCAGAAAACAGCAAAGGTGTCGCCAAGATGTACCCTTACAACATAAGTATTGCACTGTGCTAAGTCGGTATTTTACTGTCAAAACATTCCTCAGAAGGCACAGAATTGACAAAAATTCGATTTCAACCTCGCCGCGATTTGTGACTAAATTCAATTCCGCAGATGATATTATAAAGCTTCTATAGACTGGAAAAAGTGGTTTGTTAGTGTGTCTGAATGGCATGTCACGTAGTCTGCCTGTTCACTAGAGTCACAGTTGCACCGTCTACCTGCCCCTTGGTGTTGGAATACTGTACAGTGTCTAACTCTAATTCGGGGATAGTTTTACGTTACATAGGTGAATTTCGAGCGGTTTCGAGAATCTTCCGCAAGTTCGAGAACTCGGAATCATTTTGCAGGTCACAATTTAATTCGATTGTCGCAAATTGTTCCACGACCCTTTGCAAAGGAACTTGTGTAACTCGAGCACGATTTGTTCATTTGTGGCATGAACTAAAAGTAAAAGCTATGGGAACGATTCTAAATTCCCCTTTCCCCGTGGGAAACCGTTGTGCGTTAATAATTATTTTTTGCTGTAGAAAGTTGCGTTGAAGATCGCCGATTTTAAACTCGAAATGTTATGCGCTATGGTAATTCAACATATCCCTCCCATTCCTAGGCAACGCACCTTTTCTTTTTGATGTATACTGCGAAGCAGCTAGCCATGCAATATCTGTTCGACTAATGCAGCTTATATATTGCATAACCTTATATAGTGTATAACCTTCTTATCCCTTTGTAGCATCGCAGTTGCATGTTAACCCAACTAAATTCCTCTCAAATACCCAAACTGTAATATGAATACCAACGACGTTACGGTTCGCTTCAAGGGGGTTTGTAAAAATAGAAGGTACAATAATACCGCGACCCGTTAGCACAGACAAGTGACAACTGTGTTGAAGCTTTGCAGGTTATGAATACAAATTTGTGACCAAACATCCGCAGCTCTCCAACAAATGAACAGGCTTCCTTTCCTCAGAAATACCGAGAAATAGTTAACCTAGTGAGAGCACGTACTGAACATTTTTGGTGTTAACAATGGCAAATCCTTATAGTTATACTCTCTAGTTGATACTATTACTAGACTTTATCAGAATCAATCGCAGTTGGTGTTCGTGTTTCCCATTTTGTAGCCGTCCATTGCTTTAGCTCCATTAGTTTTCATCATTTGCTTCAATCTAGATCTACATATTAAACATTCTAAATATTCGCGTGTTTTTAAGTTTAACCAAACAACATTTCAGCCATGTTCCTCGCGCTGTTAATGTGCAGTGTGTTGGTGGCTGGCTCCAACGCCTGTTTATGTGCCGAGAGGCCCATTCAGACGGTCGTTTGTTCTGCTTCCCGGCGTGAGTAGGAGAATGAGATATTCTGGTGGTCTTCTGTTTGGTTTACAGATAGTTTACAGTTTGAAATTTGACGTTTTCGGAGAAAACTTATAACTGAATGTGACATCATGAATTATATCTTTTGGACGGTTAACTAACGATTATAATTATTTTCAGTGATCAAAGCTAGGATAGAAGGAGAAATTGATACAGGTGTTGACCTAGATGATTATCGTAATCAGGATCAAAACCGAAAATACAAAGTTACCGTCCTTAATGTCTTCAAAGGACATGGTAAGTACCAAAACCTTATATTCTTAACCCCTTTAAATTTCTTCCTCTCAATATTTTACCCTCAACGTTGTATAAAAATTAAATAATAATCATAATGGGACTGGAAAATGATTCATTGTTTTGTTTATTTCCAGAAAAACTGCCACAATATGATATTTTATTTTTGGGAACGTTCCGTGCTACCGCGTGCTACATATTTGAGCAAAACCCTGCCATTTCTCAATCTCACTTAGAATAATGTCTGTTCCTTCACAGCTAAATACACAGTTCACTTTTAACCTAAATTTCATTACAGATGTATTAGAAAAAGATCAAGAGATCATAATAGAGACGGCAGCTAACGACGCTTTGTGCGGGATTAGTCTGCACGTTAATACAGCTATGTTATTAGAACTGGACTTTTATCGCGGCAAATTTCAGGTAAGCGGGTTAAGTTATTGATGAACATATCCAGAAAAGTTCATTCAGAAAAAGTTCAAATAAAAGGCTTTAAAATACTAATCTATGAACTTGAAACTTCACACCTAAATTTTTTGCATGAATGCGTTGCATAGTAAATATATAATTATATTTCAGATATCACTCTGTGATTTAGCTAGAAATTGGAATAATGAAATTGATGACGAACTAATGAGGGATCTCGTCCAAGGTATGGTAATTTATTAATTGATAAAACTTCAGACCATGGTTACTACAGCTACAAAACTGAATTTTACTTGCAGCTGACCGGCCCAAGTCAAAGCAAACTTTGAATTTCGATAGTAAACCTGTGCTGATACCAACACCTCAATTTCCAGATACTGTTGACTGCGAATGCCAACCATCAGTTCGACATGGCAAATCTCCTTGTTGCAATGAACAACAAGAAGTGTGGAGGTGAGTTGAAAATTAGAACCTGCACTCTGCTGCAGGATGTTGGGATTTTTTTCAGTGATGTTGAAAATCTTGTGATTCGATTTTTTACTTCATTCTCACGTGGTCCAGCGGGGAAATCTCCAAAAAATTTAAATTTGTATTTTAAACAATTTCACAAACTCTTCAGCGTAAAAATGTGTACAGAAATGTACGGTAACTGCCAAAAGAGTGAAGGAGATGAACAGTGCCAATGGAAAGGCAGCTACGATTATGATAGATGTCTTAACGATTTTGGATTCCGACTTTCCAAAGGCAACTGTGTGGAGAAAAAACGTAAGTATTCAGAAGAGCAGTAATTATAGAATTATAATGCTTTTGCATTGGACACGGACTGATGAAGGGAAACACACAATGTAAGCCGTAAGGCTTGAAATCTTCATAAAGCTACATCATTAGAGCCTGTAAAACATTTAAGATAAGCACTCTATCAAGTAAAATTCATATATATTATATAATCATCATAGTTTATTAACTCAAACGTAACAATTGTAACAAAGGCTAAATTTAATCAGTCAAAATTCGTAGCATATAAGTAATTATGCATGTGGTACAACTCCACTCGGAAAATTATAGTATAGTATGAAACAAACTAAACACTTTAGTAAAGCTGATAAGCAGTGACTAGAACTACTTATCAAACAAAAATGCACTAATCGGTCAATTAAAACTGCTGTGTCCCATTACTGTAAAATGATAACGCTAAGAATTCTTGTTAAAGTATTGACGATAAACACTAAAAGCATAATATTGTATATTTCCCATACCAGCTTTATTTGTAAATACGACCAAATGTATCAAATAATCCAGGTTGCAAGTATAGATTACAAAATTGTTAAGATGCACTGTGTGAAATAAATAAAAAAGTCTACAAATTTACAAATTTTATCTCCATTCTGTTAAGTCCCAAAACGTTAGTTTTAAATTTTGAACAACAAAATTATAGAATTACATTTATAATTCAATTTTTACATAATTTGTAGGACCGATAAAATTACTGGCTTTGCAAGAATATCTAGATACCGTGAATGGTATGTGATTACTGCGATCATGTAGATAAATCATTATAAATGTATTACTGAAATTGATATATATGTGCTAAATTCCAGCACCGTTAGATAAAAGATATCGGCTCGAAACAATTTAAGCTTTCACAAAGTCAACCAACATTGTTTTCTTACTAACAATCTACATTTACCATATCTCAACAACCAAATAATATTTATATTACATATACAATATACATATATTTTCTTCAGCTTGCCCGAAGTTTGCCAGTAAAGTTTACAGCAAATACGAGCAGTTGACCTGTGAAGACTCTGGAGTGAGAGAACTAGCCTGGGAGAAAACCATGTGTAAGTGCCCTGAGAATCTGCCTATTCTGGATGTCAGCAAAGATAGCTGTGTGTCAGGTTAGTGGGAAACTTGGAAAAGTGAGATCTTATATTCGACGTCTTCAAATTCTATATAAACATTTAAAGATTTAACAATGAGGGTTGACCCGATATAGTAATTTAATTTTCAGAGTTTGACTGCCCCCGAGGGGCTAGGGTTGAGGAAGAACGTGGATTTACTAAAGCACCACGAATGGATGATGAAGGTAAGCCTAATTGCTTTCAATGAAACATTTACTTCCTGATTGAATGCAAATTAATAGTAATTTATTTATAAATTTAAAAAATTTAAAAAAAAAATTAAATTAATATACATGATATATAATGTATAAGCCGCATCGAATTTGTGAAATTGTTCAATTAATTGGATAATCAAAATCATCTGAGTTCACAAAATTGAAAATAGGGTAAATAATTGCGTGAAACGACATCGTTGAACACTAATGCTAAAGTAGCAACAAATAGCTTTATAGTTATACGGTTTAAAAAATTAGAAAAATGCAAAAAACTGGTTTCCACCATATCACTTGATGTGTTTGGTAAAGATAAATTACTGTTACAGAAACACCATCAATGGATCTGGACAATTTAGAAAATGAGGCTGATGCCAAAGTCGAGTGCCAATCAAACCAAGTATACTACGGAGAAAAGGACTGTTTACCTTGTATTCAGACTTGTGGATCTCAGTTAGCCTGGTGCACAAGGTATTACACATTAGTTATCCGTGTCTTGTTTGTTTTAGAGCAACCTTAAACTAAAACATTTTTTGCTATGGAATTTCTTATATGATATAATTTCTCAATAATAAAAACCTCAACCCTCAGGCTTTGTATTACAGAAGAGTGCGGGTGTCCACGAGACAAGCCCGTATTGATCCAAGATTCCTGTTACAGTCAAGAGGAGTGTGAAAATGTGGCTCATGCTGACAAAGATAAAGCAGATTGCAAAGACGGAGAAGAAGAAGCAACAGATCCTTCTGAGGATGTTTACCCCTCCAGCACTACAGATCCCTGTGGTGCAGACGGAAATTGTTTCGGAACCAAATCTAAAGCACCTACTACCAAGCCATATACACCTGACGAGTTGAGTAGTGGTCCGGTTAGCACAGAAGCTCCATCCGATGGTGCAGACAATTTAGAAGAGACTACTAAAGCAGATGATGTATCATCACCACAAACAGAGCCTGCATCCACAGAGGGTCAGGAAACTACAAAATCTTCGACCTCGGAAGCCACAACAGAATCTTGCATCGGACTTGCTTGTCTGCCATCAACTGAACCCGATGATAATACCAGTGAAATGACGGATGGACCAGCATCATCTGAAGGGTCAGAAACACCAACACCATCGGGATCACCCGATCCAACATCACCTCAAACATCACCAATATCCTCAGAGGGACCGGTATCCACCAAACCACTGTCCTCGGAAGCAATAACGGAATCTTGTATTGGAATCGCTTGTCTGCCATCAACTGAACCCAATGATAATACACCATCGGTATCACCCGATCCAACATCACCTCCAACATCACCAATGTCCTCAGAGCCAAAGTCCACGAAGCAACCAGCTGAAAGCACCGAACAAATTTCCTCGGAGCCAGCATCGACAGAACCTGGAAGCACCGAGCCAATGTCAACGGAGCAATCAGCTCAAAGCACCGAACAAATTTCCTCGGAGCCAGCATCGACAGAACCTGGAAGCACCGAGCCAATGTCCACAAAGCAATCAGCTCAAAGCACCGAACAAATTTCCTCGGAGCCAGCTTCGACAGAACCTGGAAGCACCGAGCCAATGTCAACAGAGCAATCAGCTGAAAGCACCGAACAAATTTCCTCGGAGCCAGCATCGACAGAACCTGGAAGCACCGAGCCAATGTCCACAGAGCAATCAGCTGAAAGCACCGAAAAAATTTCATCAGAGCCTGCATCGTCCAAAGGACCCAGCCCATCATCAGATCCATGCGGGGATTCTGGAAACTGTTACGAGACTGTTTCTAAAGCAGATGATGTATCATCACCATCAACAGAGCCTGTATCCACAGAGGCTCCGGAAACTACCAAATCGATGACCTCGGAAGCGACAACAGAATCATGTATCGGACTCGCTTGTTTTCCATCAACTGAACCCTCGTCAGATAAACCCTCATCAGAGCAACCATCATCTGAAGGGTCAGAAACACCATCAGGATCACCCGATCCAACATCACCTCCAACATCACCAATATCCTCAGAGCCAAAGTCCACGGAGCAACCAGCTGAAAGCACCGAACAAATTTCCTCGGAACCAGCTTCGACAGAACCTGGAAGCACCGAGCCAATGTCCACAGAGCAATCAGCTGAAAGCACCGAACAAATTTCCTCGGAACCAGCTTCGACAGAACCTGGAAGCACCGAGCCAATGTCCACAGAGCAATCAGCTGAAAGCAGCGAACAAATTTCCTCGGAGCCAGCATCGACAGAACATGGAAGCACCGAGCCAATGTCCACAGAGCAATCAGCTGAAAGCACCGAACAAATTTCCTCGGAGCTAGCTTCGACAGAACCTGGAAGCACCGAGCCAATGTCAACAGAGCAATCAGCTGAAAGCACCGAACAAATTTCCTCGGAGCCAGCTTCGACAGAACCTGGAAGCACTGAGCCAAAGTCCACGGAGCAATCAGCTGAAAGCACCGAACAAATTTCCTCAGAGCCAGCATCGTCCAAAGGACCCAGCCCATCATCAGATCCATGCGGGGATTCTGGAAACTGTTACGAGACTGTTTCTAAAGCAGATGATGTATCATCACCATCAACAGAGCCTGTATCCACAGAGGCTCCGGAAACTACCGAATCGATGACATCGGAAGCGACAACAGAATCATGTATCGGACTCGCTTGTTTCCCATCAACTGAACCCTCGTCAGATAAACCCTCATCGGAGCCACCATCATCTGAAGGGTCAGAAACACCATCAGGATCACCCGATCCAACATCACCTCCAACATCACCAATATCCTCAGAGCCAGCATCGTCCAAAGGACCCAGCCCATCATCAGATCCATGCGGGGATTCTGGAAACTGTTACGAGACTGTTTCGAAAGCAGATGATGTATCATCACCATCAACAGAGGCTGTATCCACAGCGGCCCCGGAAACTACCGAATCTGTGACGTCAGAAGCGACAACAGAATCCTGTATCGGCCTCGCGTGTTTTCCATCAACTGAACCCTCGTCAGATGAACCTTCGTCAGAGACACCATCATCTGAAGGGTCAGAAAAACCTGCATCCTCAGAAGGCTCAGATTCCTCGTCGGAGCAAACATCTTCTGGAGCACCAGATCCAACATCTCCTCCAACTGAACCTGCATCCTCAGAAGGCTCAGATTCCTCGCCGGAGCAAACATCTTCTGGAGCACCAGATCCAACATCTCCTGCAACTGAACCTATTAGCACCGAGCCTATTTCTTCGGAGGAGCCAGCATCCTCTAACTCTGGAAGCACCAAACCAATTTCCACGGAGCCAGCTTCGACAGAACCTGGAAGCACCGAGCCAATGTCAACGGAGCAATCAGCTGAAAGCACCGAAAAAATTTCCTCGGAGCCAGCATCGACAGAACCTGGAAGCACCGAGCCAATGTCAACGGAGCAACCAGCTGAAAGCACCGAACAAATTTCCTCGGAGCCAGCATCGTCCAAAGGACCCAGCACATCATCAGATCCATGCGGGGATTCTGGAAACTGTTACGAGACTGTTTCTAAAGCAGATGATGTATCATCACCATCAACAGAGCCTGTATCCACAGAGGCTCCGGAAACTACCGAATCGATGACCTCGGAAGCGACAACAGAATCATGTATCGGACTCGCTTGTTTACAATCAACTGAACCCTCGTCAGATAAACCCTCATCAGAGCCTGTATCCACAGAACCTGGAAGTACCGAGCCAATGTCAACGGAGCAATCAGCTGAAAGCACCGAACAAATTTCCTCGGAGCCAGCTTCGACTGAACCTGGAAGCACTGAGCCAAAGTCCACGGAGCAATCAGCTGAAACCACCGAAAATATTTCCTCGGAGCCAGCTTCGACAGAACCTGGAAGCACCGAGCCAATGTCAACAGAGCAATCAGCTGAAAGCACCGAACAAATTTCCTCGGAGCCAGCTTCGACAGAACCTGGAAGCACCGAGCCAATGTCAACAGAGCAACCAGCTGAAAGCACCGAAAAAATTTCCTCGGAGCCAGCATCGACAAAACATGGAAGTACCGAGCCAATGTCAACAGAACAATCAGCTGAAAGCACCGAACAAATTTCCTCGGAGCCAGCTTCGACAGAACCTGGAAGCACCGAGCCAATGTCAACAGAGCAATCAGCTGAAAGCACCGAACAAATTTCCTCGGAGCCAGCTTCGACAGAACCTGGAAGCACTGAGCCAAAGTCCACGGAGCAATCAGTTGAAACTACCGAACAAATTTCCTCGGAGCCAGCTTCGACAGAACCTGGAAGCACCGAGCCAAAGTCCACGGAGCAATCAGCTGAAACCACCGAACAAATTTCCTCGGAGCCAGCTTCGACTGAACCTGGAAGTACCGAGCCAATGTCAACAGAACAATCAGCTGAAAGCACCGAACAAATTTCCTCGGAGCCAGCTTCGACAGAACCTGGAAGCACTGAGCCAAAGTCCACGGAGCAATCAGTTGAAACAACCGAACAAATTTCCTCGGAGCCAGCTTCGACAGAACCTGGAAGCACCGAGCCAATGTCAACAGAGCAACCAGCTGAAAGCACCGAACAAATTTCCTCGGAGCCAGCTTCGGCAGAACCTGGAAGCACCGAGCCAATGTCAACAGAGCAATCAGCTGAAAGCACCGAACAAATTTCCTCGGAGCCAGCTTCGACAGAACCTGGAAGCACTGAGCCAAAGTCCACGGAGCAACCAGCTGAAACCACAGAACAAATTTCCTCGGAGCCAGCTTCGACAGAACCTGGAAGCACCGAGCCAATTTCATCGGAACCAGCACAAACATCATCTCCTGAACCGGAAAGCACTGAGCCTAAATCTGAAGAGCCATCTACAGAGCCAACTTCTGAGGGACCATCATCTGATCCGTGTGGGGAATCAGGAAACTGCTTTGCGACTATTTCTAAACCCGCTTCTACTGAGGAACCGACTACACCTATCCCGGAGGTTTGCTTTTAATTTTAACCAAGAAAGATCAAAATGCTATCATGTTATATTTTAGATTTAGATTTCATAAATTCTAGGCTGCAAATTTACTTCTGACCCTGATCATTAGAAACACCCCTAAAAGTTCGTTTTTGAAAAAAATTTAAAACATCCGTAATTTCATTTCTGTTTTAGTTTCGCATTTAATTTTTTGTATGCGTATAGAAAATTAATACGGCTTAAAAATGAGATGTCCGGCGACCTCCTAGCTCACTCACAAGACTCAGTAGGAGTGATTGAACTGCGAGGGACAATTGAGGCTAACGAATTTACTCATTATTTTCAAAAAAGAACATTCTCGTGTTACGTCCATGATATCCAAGTTGCAAGTATAATCCATAGTGATTATACTTGATCGAGATCTAAGCTTTAATTATTCGAGGTGAAAATGAGGCTAACCACCTTTTGAGAGGGTGAAATGAGGCTAACAAGTATACTTTTGTGTATATTTTTGAGCAGGTTCGGTATTGTGACTATCTAATATTATGTCAACAATAAAAATGTATTCATCCTCTTCAAGCTCATCATTTCAGAAATCGCCGAGTCTACTTGTAGGAGGCTAAAATGAGGCTAATAAAGAATTTGACCGCATTTTAACTTTAATGTACGGAAACAGGTTATAGACCCACTAATAAACTTGTTATTGAAGCCCGAAGGTTATTGATACTTTATCGATATCTAAGCTTCAAATATTCGAGGTGAAAATGAGGCTAACCACCTTTTGAGAGGGTGAAATGAGGCTAACAAGTATACTTTTGTGTTTATTTTTGAGCAGGTTCGGTATTGTGACTATCTAATGTGTCAACAATACAAATTTATTCATCCTCTTCAAGCTCAACATTTCAGAAATCGCCGAGTCTACTTGTAGGAGGCCAAAATGAGGCTAATAAAGAATTTGACCGCATTTTAACTTTAATGTACGGTAACAGGTTAACAACTCACAAGTTACTTGATATCTATGTTGCACATTTAATTCCTTGGGATTATAGCTTCAAATATTCGAGGTGAAAATGAGGCTAACCACCTTTTGAGAGGGTGAAATGAGGCTAACAAGTATACTTTTGTGTATATTTTTGAGCAGGTTCGGTATTGTGACTATCTAATATGTCGACAATAAAAATGTATTCATCCTCTTCAAGCTCAACATTTCAGAAATCGCCGAGTCTACTTGTAGGAGGCTAAAATGAGGCTAATAAAGAATTTGACCGCATTTTAACTTTAATGTACGGAAACATGTTATAGACCCACTATAAAACTTGTAATTGTAGCCCGAAGGTTATTGAGACTTTATCGAAACTTATGTGAGGTTGGATTGAGGCTACCTTCCCTCCTTGAGGCAAAATTGAGGCTAACAGATACACTACGCAGAAAAACGTCACTGTGCCAGCTGTCAAGTAGTTGCTGAGCAGCAGCAGCAGTTAGATGAAGAAAATGAAGCCAAATTAGACTCTAAACTATAAAGTATAATAAAAATGGAACTGTTTGAGAAATTTTACAAGGGAAGTCTTTATTTTGCTTGACACATCTCAAACGCAAGGAAATATTTTTAAACAAATTATAAGTATACATTTTTCCAAAAACCGTAATGGAAGCTGATTGAAGCACTAATGAATAAAAATCTACGTCAAGCTGCAGAATAACTCCAATATTTAAATCAATACCTCTTCATGGTAGTACAACTGGCGAGAAGGCTAAAAAAAAGCAGTGCAATTAGTTTTGAAATGTGCGATTTTGAAAATAATAAGTGGCTTTCAAATGGGTCAAAAGTGGAGTTTTATAAAGAAAATAAAAGCATCCAACATTAAAACTATCACTTATAAAATATTATAATAAGCAGGAGTTAGCCTCAATCTTACCTCTCAAATGAATACAGGTTAGGCAGAAACAATTTGAAATTGAAGGGCTAGTCCGAAGAAGCAGTAGAACAAGAAATGCAATGAACACAACCTTGATAGTTAGCCTTATTTTACCCTCCATCAAAAGACAGAAAGGGTAGGTAGGTGGAGTCTACCATCGACCTAAAGTATCCATATAATGTATACCAGGGCAAAGGATAGTTTAAAGGACGTTATTGTTCAAACATAATTCAAAATTATAAATAATCTGTTAGCCTCACTTTACCCTCCATTAGAAGAAAACAAGGGGTCGGTTGGGAAAGCCTTCGATCTAGAGCATCAATCTCATCTATTTTAGGTCAGAGGATACTTTGATAGACACTATTATTCAAAAATAATTCAAAAATTAGTAATAACTTGTTAGCCTCATTTTTCCCTCAATTAGTGAAAAAATTTCCCTCTTCTCTCTGGATTCTAAAAGAGTGAGATCTGATGAATCGATTAAACATGTTTAAACTTTTATAGCATGCTTGGAAGGTGTTATTAGGAGACAAAATGTAAATGACTCGTTAGCCTCAATTTGCCCTCGACTAAATGCTTCAAAACTTTTATTAATCGAAACAAAATTAGTTGAACTATAGATATGTGAAATATCATATGCCTATCTTAAAAGTTCTTCCTGTGACAATCTTCTAAAGTTAAAATGGGAAAATGTGGTCCATCTCGTGCGAACTTTCCTAATGACCAGGGTCTTGAACTACGCGTTGTTCGATTATAAAGCAAAAATTTTTTTTTCAGTGTTCGGATCCCAATTCCTTCTTCAACACATGTGCCTCTAGCTGCGTGAGGACCTGTGATGAGACTTGTGATGAAGCTATGGAAGACGTGGTAATTGTTAAAACCTTATTGGTTCATAATCCATTTATCTGATCGATTCTGATAAAAAATTTTTAAAGAATTTTAACCCATACAATTATTTCAGTGTGAGAGAAGATGCGATTGCCGAGAAGGCTACGTCATCTCTCTCAATGGAGATTGTGTGGAGGAAGACTCCTGCAAGACACCCTGTCAAGCACATGAACATGACTTCATCATGGAAATGGGATATGGTACGATTTAGTTGATGTATTTTTGCATTATAACACTCGGAACATATATAATGAATTTCAAAATATGAGCACGCAAAAACATCTTCCAGGACCATTTTTCAAGCTTTTTACGGCTAAATTCAAAATTTGTGACCTACTCATAAGATGTAACTAATTTACCAATCAACAATAAAAATGATTACATCCAGATGAATCAGAGATCCAGTTCTGCGATGAAGACGGAAATTATCTGTCAACAAGGGTATGTAGATTGTAGCTCGCCATCTTTATAATTATAGTAGTCTGATTCTTGTAAAACTAAATCAGCAATAAACCGACAAATAAATAACGGATTGGATCTTTATTAATCTGATATCTAGAGAACCTGCCCTTGTATCTTGTTGTTGTATCCTCCTAAGTTTATAACATGTTTGTCTCCTAAGTATATAACCTGTTTTCCTCCTAAGTTTATAACCTGTTTTCCTCCTAAGTTTATAACCTGTTTTCCTCCTAAGTTTATAACATGTTTTCCTCCTAAGTTTATAACCTGTTTTCAGTGTATTGAAAACAAATGCCAATGTGTAGATCTAACTGGTAAAGCAACCGGCCATACATTCGAACAAGGAGAATTTGAATGCGGTACGTTACTATTAATCTATATATAATATCTACTATATATTATCTACTTATCTTTTATTTTGTTTTCATAAATGCCATTCTCGACAAAATACACAATTTAATTAATACCTTCAATAAATTCACAAAATTAAGTTCTGATCTCATTTTTAATTATAAATACTTCAACTCTGCAGACTTCGAGCGAGGAATGCACTGCATGCCAGGATTGCAATTATACAACTGTGGACAGGTCTATGACAGAGCTTGTGGACTTATCGATAACCCAGATATGATACCTGACTCAGATGTATGTATATTGTACCTGATTCGAATCTATTAAACCGCATGAGTTTAGTCAATGAAACGCTTAGGTCTCTGACATACTTTTGGCGTTTTGAAAAAGTATTATATAATGTTCCCGAAGAACGATCAACAAATGGTTAATTTGTTCCATTTATAAATCTCTATTTATCCATTTATAAATCTCTAATCAGCCTAATATTCCAAAAATTACTGGTTCAACCCTTTATGCAAATATCTCGCAGATATGCCACGACCCAAAATGTGGATGTCCTGAAGACACTCCCTTCTTACAAGGAGGACTGTGTGTGGCTGAAGCGGACTGTGTGGACATACTCAGCTTCCAGACTATCATTGATAACTTCTTCGAAGGAAATGAGCTTAACATTACTGAAATGGGACGTGAGTATATAAGCCGTTAAATGTGTTATGTAAATTTCGGTAGAGCCATAATCATTAGGCATCAGCATATTTGATGATTGATTTTTAATATGACGTATTAAGTTTTAATTTTGGTTTCGCCATGAATAAACACCTAAAGAAAATGGAATAACTAGAAAGTTCATACCTGACCTATTTTCAGCTAACTTGGAGACCTGTAAAAACGGCAATCCTACATGTGAACAATGGGCTGACCGAGGTCTGTGCGAGAATAAGTATCTGATCCGTCATTGTAAACCAGCTTGTGATCTGTGCCCTGTTGAGGAAATGAGGTTAACTTGCGAAGGTATCAGAGATGCTATGGCAGAACATCTAGAGGATAACTTCGTCTTCGGTAAGACATTTATGCATGCTGCATCCACGAAATTTCTTGTTTTACCCTTGTTTGTACCCTTTTGCTAAAACAAACTTGATAAAAATGTTCATCTGTTTACACCAATATTAAAAATATATCCATGTGTTAACACAAATTGTACAGGAGCACCCGAGGTTGTCTGTATGGAGGACGAGCCACACAAGTACTTCCCTCGGCAGTGTGTAGGAAGTGTGTGCATGTGTGTTGATGATGAGGGGGAGTCAGATCCACAGCATCATCATAGCATCGAGCACCTGTACCAGTGTCCCGGGTTAGTTCTCTTTCAACTTCCATTTGATTATAAGTGATTAAGTGACTAACGGATCCTATTGATCAATAACTTGGTTTATCCTGCTGGCGTTATCACTAAATTCGCTCTGCATAGAAGTATCAGTCTTTTTAAAAAGGTTTTCATGAATAGTGATAAATCGATCCCTCCAGAATAGAGGAATGTCCAGGAGATCAGCTATATCTGAACTGTATGTTTGATCTCGCTAGCTGTGATGACAATATTGATGAAGCGGAGTGTTCTCAAGGTTGTGGCTGTCCCTACCACTTACCTTACTATAATGAGGAGGAAGAGAAATGCCAATCTCGTTATGATTTCTGCCCGGTGGGTCTTGATTTGGGGACTTGAAAATCATCATTAGTCTGTAAAAGCTGAAAACTAAATAGTAACAGATTTGACGTTATTCAAAGTCGGAAATTAAGTGCATAAACCTTTTCATAAAAGTGAGCTTTATTCTCTACTCATTTTTAACCTTATAAAACCACAGCCATCTATAAACGTAGTACCAGGAATGGATTGCAATGCTGTAGCTGAAGGAGCGATAGCTGTGAACAAGCAGCCTCCAATCTGTGATGAGAGAGATGAGACTGAATATGCTGCCAAACAATGCGGCTCCGACGGTATGAAATTGATTCAAGTTGTCCTATAGAGTTAAAACAAATCTACATAATTTTTATGTAGAATTTTTATCTAATTGCATCTGTCAAAGAAGTGTACTCAATATTCGAGTTATGATCGGTATGTTACTTTTCAGGCGTATGCTACTGTGTCTCAGCTGATGGAGAAATTGAGGAAGAGGATGTCGGAGACAACTACATTTGTCGTAAGTAACACTTAAATACGTTATGATACGGAGAGAAGGCGCCATAGCCGAACAGAACGAGGAATAAAAACAGCCATGTCAAGATTTAAACATTTAAGTTTAAACTCAACACAAAAATCACAATTCATGTCGATATTTTCCAATGCAGTATGCAATCTATCCGACAAATTAAAAGATTTAATTAAACTTCAATATAGATTGATTATAAGCTAAATCGAAATATTTCAGCCCGTGAGAAGGAGCAATGCAAAAGACAAGGAGGAAAGGAATTCCAAGAATGCGGAAGCTCTTGCCCTGCCACCTGCGAAAACATGTTTAATCCTCCTGTCGTCTGCACACTTCAGGTTAAAATTGATACTTGGTCAATTCTATTAATATCTGGTCTAGTTTAGCTACAAGATTATTCTGCCAGTTCTAATTCGGCTTTAAGAGTTGATCTGCACGGAACCATCCAGCTTTAAATTGAATGTTCAACCAGCCGTAAATATTTAGCAAGGAGAAAATCAGTGTGTTATCACTCTGTTAAAATTAAACCTTGCTCCACCCTCAGTGTGTTATCACTCTGTTAACACTAAACCTTGCTCCACCCTCAGTGTGTTATCGCTCTGTTAACACTAAACCTTGCTCCACCCTCAGTGTGTTATCGCTCTGTTAACACTAAACCTTGCTCCACCCTCAGTGTGTTATCACTCTGTTAACACTAAACCTTGCTCCACCTTCAGTGTGTTATCACTCTGTTAACACTATACCTTGCTCCACCCTCAGTGTGTTATCACTCTGTTAACACTTAACCTTGCTCCACCCTCAGTGTGTTATCACTCTGTTAACACTATACCTTGCTCCACCCTCAGTGTGTTATCGCTCTGTTAACACTTAGCCTTGCTCCACCCTCAGTGTGTTATCACTCTGTTAACACTAAACCTTGCTCCACCCTCAGTGTGTTATCGCTCTGTTAACACTAAACCTTGCTCCACCCTCAGTGTGTTATCACTCTGTTAACACTAAACCTTGCTCCACCCTCAGTGTGTTATCACTCTGTTAACACTAAACCTTGCTCCACCCTCAGTGTGTTATCACTCTGTTAACACTAAACCTTGCTCCACCCTCAGTGTGTTATCACTCTGTTAACACTAAACCTTGCTCCACCCTCAGTGTGTTATCACTCTGTTAACACTAAACCTTGCTCCACCCTCAGTGTGTTATCACTCTGTTAACACTAAACCTTGCTCCACCCTCAGTGTGTTATCGCTCTGTTAACACTAAACCTTGCTCCACCCTCAGTGTGTTATCACTCTGTTAACACTAAACCTTGCTCCACCCTCAGTGTGTTATCACTCTGTTAACACTAAACCTTGCTCCACCCTCAGTGTGTTATCACTCTGTTAACACTATACCTTGCTCCACCCTCAGTGTGTTATCACTCTGTTAACACTAAACCTTGCTCCACCCTCAGTGTGTTATCACTCTGTTAACACTATACCTTGCTCCACCCTCAGTGTGTTATCACTCTGTTAACACTAAACCTTGCTCCACCCTCAGTGTGTTATCACTCTGTTAACACTAAACCTTGCTCCACCCTCAGTGTGTTATCACTCTGTTAACACTAAACCTTGCTCCACCCTCAGTGTGTTATCACTCTGTTAACACTTAACCTTGCTCCACCCTCAGTGTGTTATCACTCTGTTAACACTGAACCTTGCTCCACCCTCAGTGTGTTATCACTCTGTTAACACTTAACCTTGCTCCACCCTCAGTGTGTTATCACTCTGTTAACACTTAACCTTGCTCCACCCTCAGTGTGTTATCACTCTGTTAACACTATACCTTGCTCCACCCTCAGTGTGTTATCACTCTGTTAACACTAAACCTTGCTCCACCCTCAGTGTGTTATCACTCTGTTAACACTAAACCTTGCTCCACCCTCAGTGTGTTATCGCTCTGTTAACACTAAACCTTGCTCCACCCTCAGTGTGTTATCACTCTGTTAACACTTAACCTTGCTCCACCCTCAGTGTGTTATCACTCTGTTAACACTAAACCTTGCTCCACCCTCAGTGTGTTATCACTCTGTTAACACTAAACCTTGCTCCACCCTCAGTGTGTTATCACTCTGTTAACACTAAACCTTGCTCCACCCTCAGTGTGTTATCACTCTGTTAACACTAAACCTTGCTCCACCCTCAGTGTGTTATCACTCTGTTAACACTAAACCTTGCTCCACCCTCAGTGTGTTATCACTCTGTTAACACTTAACCTTGCTCCACCTTCAGTGTGTTATCACTCTGTTAACACTAAACCTTGCTCCACCCTCAGTGTGTTATCACTCTGTTAACACTAAACCTTGCTCCACCCTCAGTGTGTTATCACTCTGTTAACACTAAACCTTGCTCCACCCTCAGTGTGTTATCACTCTGTTAACACTAAACCTTGCTCCACCCTCAGTGTGTTATCACTCTGTTAACACTAAACCTTGCTCCACCCTCAGTGTGTTATCGCTCTGTTAACACTATACCTTGCTCCACCCTCAGTGTGTTATCGCTCTGTTAACACTAAACCTTGCTCCACCCTCAGTGTGTTATCACTCTGTTAACACTAAACCTTGCTTCACCCTCAGTGTGTTATCACTCTGTTAACACTAAACCTTGCTCCACCCTCAGTGTGTTATCGGATGTCAGTGCCCCGATGGAACAGTTGAGAACCAAGCTGGACGTTGTGTAGCCGCCGAGGATTGCGATAACTTCGATGAAGACCTCCCATCAGACTGCCGCAGCAGAGTGTTCTCTTTCAACTTCATCGGAAGAGAGGATGATATGAGCTTGCCTTATCACAACTGTAATGATATAGGTAATGATTTTTACCTTCCTTGTTGGTTGACAGGGAACAGACTTTTTACACTAACTGATATGAAGGCTGCAACCTTATTGTCTATCTATTTTTATTTGTCGTTTGTCAAGTACTAGGAATCAATTTAAAAGTTGTAGAATTATAATTAATGCATTGAACCCACAATTACTTACCAAACCAATACTCAGGCAACTATGAAATTCAGCAATGTAACGATGAAGAATGCTACTGTGTCATGCCAGAGACTGGAGCAAGGGTAAATCAAAAACATTTCATTCACTCTATTGAAATTTATTTCAGATTGAGATAGGTAAATTACCTGTAAATTATGTTACTGCTTGCAACTTGTTTGTTCATATCCAAATTTCAGATTGAAGGTACATATCACCTCCCTGCTGATAAAGACAGCTACGACTGTGCTTCTGCCGTGGAAGAGCAGATTCCATCAGAATACCTCACCACTGACGGCTCCATCGTAACGAACGGAGGCTCCACCACCGTAGGCTCCACCACCGAAGGCTCCACCACCGAAGGGTCACCCCAGAGCCCTGAAACACCAACTGGAGATGCCAGCACTTCATACATGGAGACTACGACACCAGTTGGTAGGATTACGATGAGGATCATGGGAGTTTTGTCAATATGACATGCTCCCTGACCCCTGTGCAGCACCGAATTTTTATCATAATTGATACCTTCAATATCAAGCATTCATAAAGCATCGGCTAAAATGTGGGGCTCACTATCGCTAATAGTGGGGCTCACTATCGCTAATAGTGGGGCTCGTTATCACCATCTTACAGCACCATTTACTGTCTTTCATTTAAATTCATGTAAAGGTAATGAGTCTTTTAAACTGTGCTCTCATAGAACAAATATCAGGGGTTGGTATGGTTCAATTGTTATCACCATCAATTCCACCTCCTAACCAGACGATATGAAAATTATTTTCCATCTCTCGACGGTAGACCTGTGAAGATATGATATTCAATAATAGAGGGATCTTTACCAAAATACCATAGTGTTGTTTTGTTGCGGCCAGGTAGCGCAGTTGATTAGCCAGCTTTGCAATCGTGAGGTTGCGGGTTCAAATCCCACTGCCTGCCTGGTCGTGGGGTGAATGTCGTTGACATTCAGCTAAGGATCGTGAGTGGTCTATGCAGCCCCCCGGTCTACTCAGCCGAATACTCGAGAAATCGGGTGTGAGGGTTAAATGAGGAGCTGCACATTGCAGCAAAGTCTCGGGCGAAGAAAGTATGGTACACACTACCTTAACCGTCACTGGCTAAAAACAAATCCTTCGGCTTCCTGTAATTGGCTGGTTGCACTTGTGTAACAATATGGCTGTTGGAATACTCCGAAGTAAAATAAGTGTCTAGATAAAAAAAAGGTGAATGTAAGGTTGAGGGTTATAAAAAAGGTTTCGAGTAAAGAGGTGGTATAAATAAGGAAATCTATACATGGTCAGGTAAGATTCAAACATTCACATATCAAATTAAACATATCAATTATCATAACTAATTAGTTATTATCATTATCAATCCAACAGACGTGGCTACATCCTCGACGTATTTCATATGAAGTTCTGTTTGACGCGCTTCCGTGCTGATAGTTCCTACAAAACAGGATCAAACGAAAATTGTAACAGAACTTTATGAAAATAAATTTATTTTAAAATTACTGTTATCCTAGTGACGGGGGATCTTCAACAAAGTTTAATCTCCAAAGATTCGTCAGTTAACATTTTTATTCCTCAGCATATTACCATAGATCATTTGACCGGTCTGTATGAAGATCTGATAAAATGATAACCACTCATTAGGGTGGGATAAAATAACCTCACATTTTATTACAGATGAAGATGATCAAACAGATTCAGCACCATCCCCTATTATAACAACTCAATCTAGTTCCGAAGCAACCTCTCCAATGATTGAAGGAGTTATTAGTGAAGCTACAACAGATTCCAATGGAATGGAAAAAGGAACTGTCACCACCGATTCAGATTCCGAAACAACCTCTCCAATGACTGAAGGAGTTAGTAGTGTAGCTACAACAGATTCCGATGGAATGGAAAAAGGAACTGTCACCACCGATTCTGATTCCGAAGCAACCTCTCCAATGATTGACGGAGTTAGTAGTAGTGAAGCTACAACAGATTCCGATGGAATGGAAAAAGGAACTGCCACCACCAATTCAGATTCCGAAACAACCTCTTCAATGACTGACGGAGTTACTAGTGAAGCTACAACGGATTCCAATGGAATGGAAACAGGAACTGTCACCACCGATTCAGATTCCGAAACAACCTCTCCAATGACTGACGGAGTTACTAGTGAAGCTACAACAGATTCCGATGGAATGAAAAAAGGAACTGCCACCACCGACAACTCCGTAACAGATACTGTTAGTGTTACATTCGGTAGTACCGAACCAACTGAAGGTCCAAAAGGTGAGAACATGTTGTTTTAATTAACGTCCTGCTTGTGATTAGACACATCGATTTGATTTTAGTTTCAAAATTCTTAATTCCAGTGCTTACTCCTCGACTCATGAGAATTGTTCCTTGCGTTATGACCTAATTTTTTCAGATATGATAACTGTAGTGCGCGGCTCTTGGATAGATTTTGACTTGGAGGGCACACCGCTAGAAATCGGATGTATTTCCCCGCCAGGATCTGGAGAACAAATTCGTGTGAGATTCCTAACTCATGGAGGAAATCCTGCTGGAAATCTGAAAATAAAACTTGATGCTCAGGCGACTTATTTTATTCAGGGTTGCACGAACAAGAAAGAAAAATTCAACATGCCATCAGCTATAGATGGTGAATATATCTGGAGAATCACAAAAACGGACGGACGTATAATAGTTGAGTGCAATGGAACGGAAGTCATCAACTTTTCATTCGCTGACAGCACAAAGCCCGCTTGTAGAGAAATGTGGTCAGAAGACACAGCAACTTTAGAGTTCTCAGAAGAAGACAATGCGTCTTATGGATACAGATGGGTCAGAACTCGAGGAGGGAAAAACGAGAGAAAGAGAAAGAGAGGAAAGGGAAAAGGAAAGGGAAAAGGAAAAGGAAAAGGAAAGAAGGGAGGCAAGTCGAAAGATGGTGATGTTATACATCTCGCATTTTATTACCTAATTTTGTTCGCACTAAAAATACCGCATCCATCCAGCCGGTTTTTCTCTGATAACACGATCCTTAATAATTGAAGCAAGTTTCAAAAATTTACGCATGATTTTCACGATATATCTTTTTGATAAAAATGAAACTGTTAAGCTTCATTCGATGAAAGTATGGACTCCTACTAAAGACATGAATGATTTATCCGAAAGATGGAGCATCTTTGGTTTATCTTATCAGTCTGCACTCAGCACCATTGATTAAGTTTGTGGGATGTTCCACCTTCCCACCGGTACCAGTATCCAGATTTACTATCTGAAAATTAAGAATATTTTTGATGAATTCAATTTATTCGTCAGAATCTGAGACACCATTGCTTAGTTCTGCAATATGTAGTAACTTGCCAACCGCTGGCAAACGGCCCTATTTGAATATTAAAACTCGTGGTGATTTGCGACTCAGGATTTTATTTAATTTCTTTGGTCATTAGCCAGTACCACTAACATTTTCACAAGCAGTTTCAGGTTCGACTGAGAGGGCTCCCAAAATTAACAATTATAGTAACACGTTGATAAGGTTAACCTTCGAGAACAACTGGCTAGAGATTGGAACCAACTTTGAATTCAGCTCGGAAGACCTTCGGAAAGTGGCTTTCTTTCCACCGTGTAACGGGAAACCTGAAGATAAAGTTTGGCAATCTCCCAAAATACAGCGTGGATTACTGTACCAGCCGATGGAAAAACTTGGACGTTACCCTTCTGGAGCACGATTCTTACAAAATATGGAGATTGAGCGAAAAGAAGAATGAAGTTGTCATTGTTTATTGTAATGATGACGTGGTCATCAGACTCGATATAAATAAGAACCCAAGTACAGCCTGCAGGAAAATGTAGGAGCTGAATATTAAACGTTCCTTCCGGAAAAGATAACACTACTGTTAGGGTGGCTGTTAGGGAGGCAGGTACAGGACTAGGTAACACTACTGTTAGGGAGCCTGTTAGGGAGGCAGGTACAGGACTAGGTAACACTACTGTTAGGGAGCCTGTTAGGGAGGCAGGTACAGGACTAGTCACTAGGTAAAGATTAGGGCACAGGTCAAGGTAGGAATGCTTTGAGTACTCTATATTTACTATTATTCCTCAATCATGCATGAAACGTGTTGAGGATAATTGGCGAAATGTAGCCTCATGGTATGACAGTAAGAATAAAATGATACATAAACAAATCAATAAAGCGATATTTTAATTCGTACAACTGTAAGTATGACGGTTAATTTCTATCTAATGATGAGTTAAATGGTTCGATTATGAACCATTTGCATGATTCTTCCTGGCATATTTTCTTTTCAATCTCTCATTCAACCTCTTACAGTATTTGACGCACTTGTTTCACTAAAAACCATAAATATTGTTGTTAAATCGCACATACACACTGCACATTCGCATCCTAGCACTTTAACAATTAATTCTGTAATTTTTTATGTGTATTTTGTCGAATGTCGAACCAGTACAAGTCAATACAATATGATTATTATCGTTAATAAAATTGCCATGATTAGAATATTAAATGCGCTGAGACACTTAGACTTTTTCGTGTTTTGAAAATGGCGTTATGACAATACCCCAAGAATATGCCATAATTAATGTAAATTCTCCCAGGCTCCGTGAACTACAAGTGTATGGACGATGAAGAAAATGAGTGCGTGTGTCAGAACGAGGAGAGTGAAATGATTCCTGACTCTATCCGGGACGCATCATTCTTCATGGAACTGAGCATATCACGATCGGAATACTGTGATTCTAGAAGAGAGATGGCTCAATATGGCGCCTGCGCGCAGCTAGAGGAGGACGGAGAAGATGTAAATTGTAGAGCTGATGGGAAGTTCCATCCTGTGCAATATACTAGATATAGTGAATGTTACTGTGTCGATGAGATGGGATCTGAGGACCTCTATTGGGACGGTTCCACACCAAAAACCTTCCCCGAGGCTGCAGCTGAGGCAGCTGAACGTTTCTGTGTGGAGCTTCTTGCAAACAGACAAGAAAACTTCAAGTGTCTCCAGGAGAGAGCACGAGGACATCACTTCAGTAATAACCTGATGGTGGGTGTTTTCGTCCCTAACTGCCAAGATGATGGACATTATTACAGTGTACAAGCTAGAGGCTCAGTCATGTATTGTGCCAACGAGCATGGCGAGCAGTTCTCTAATTCTGAATATGGTAGAGGACAGCTGGATATGGAGGAACTCCACAAGATCTGTATGGGAAAACGAGAGATGGCTGCCTCTTTAAGATGCCCATCAATGAGGAAAATGGCCATTGATATGGATGACAACGATCCTGATATGATGGTGGGAGGATATGTGCCTGAGTGCGATGTAGATGGCTTCTATATGCCAACCCAATCCGAGGGATCAGAATCCTACTGTGCTGAGCCAATGAGTGGTCAGGAACTACCCGAGACTCGTCACAACATAGGAGACGACTTTGACTGTGAGCGTGAGGTCACCCTCCTGCTGGGCTCTGATTGCTACGTAGAGCGATACGAGGCTCTTGCTGATCAGGGAGAATCTGGCAGGGTTGGTGTATTCATCGTTGAGTGTGGACTGGACGGTAAATACCATCACACACAGTGTCGCGGATCTATGTGCTACTGCGCTGAGAGCATGACAGGCAGAGAGCTAGAAGACAGCCAAGTACCACGAGGCGGAGATGTTGTAGCTGAAGAGTACTGTTTGGAGAGGAGGGATATGTACGAGGGATCAGACTGTTACCAGAAAATGATAGTTCCTAGTGCAACCCCTGGATGGGTTCGTCCAGAGTGTGATGACTTTGGTAGGTACCTGTCTCTGCAGTCTATGGGCTCCAGGTACTACTGTGCTGATAAGAATGGAAAAGAACTGATCGAAACTGAAGGAGGAGTTACTGGAGCTCAGTACTGTCAAGAACTCAGAGAAATTCACGACAATTCTGCCTGTTACCAAGCTCAATCGGAAAGTGAAGGCTTCGGCAATGTAGTAGTTTGTGATGTCCGTACCGGAGTGTACTTCGTGACTCAGATCCAGGGAAGCATCGCCTATTGTGTCGACCAAGAAACTGGCGAGAAGATTGAGGGAACAGAGCACCCCGTCTCTGAGGCAGGAAAGTGTGGCTCTGTGGAGGTACCCTACGTCAGATGTATTGAACTTCAAGAGTCAGGTGATGAGGATGTTGCGTGTAACGATGATGGAATGTACTTTGTGCAGCAGTGTATGGGCTACAGCAAGTCAGAGGAAGAAACCTGTATCTGTGTCGACAAATGGGGAGATCATCTTGAGGGAACAGAACGTCATCACATTAGTGAACACGCCTGTTTCGAGGAAGAACGAGATGAAATCCGTGATAGTTTCTCAGGGTCCGAGTGTGTGGTCGAAAGACAGATCTCTGAAGCTCTGGAAGGAATTGGCAGTTACACTGAACAGTGCAACGACGACGGTACCTTCGCCAAACGACAATGCACAGACAATGGCCGTATTGGTTGTTTCTGTCTGAATCACAACGGAGACCACAAGTTGGGTTCAGCTCATGCCACAGCAGAGATGCGGGAGTGTGGAGACGTTACTTTTACTTTCTACGCTCCTAAGGGAGACAACGCTATTGAAGGATCATCTGCTAGCATCACTTGCTCAGTTTATGCTTCCTACGTTGACGAAACATTCGAAATGCTGTTCGATAGTGCACGCTACGAAGCTCGTGATATGGAGATCTGGGGAGACGCTGAAGTGGAAGAATCTTCTGAGACCTTCGCTAACGGTACAGTGAGGACAACTCTGTCCGTCCAGTCTTCACTGTCTATGGAGATGGATGGAGCTCGGTTTGCTTGTGTCTCAAGAAAGAACGAGGGATCTATCATTAGAGATATCATGGTCTTTTCAGGTCAGTTTCGACAAATATATTAGTTGTGAGGTTTCGATTGTGTTTGTTAAGTAGTTGCAATGGTGAAATTAATTGACATGGACGCTGTAGAGAGTAGGGCCTAGAGCGGTGCGCCTACATTTAGGCGTAACCAGTCTATACCAAATTGCGACACACCATTTAAAAACAGTGTCAGGTACTTTACTGTCGGACTAAACACGAGTTTACTTACTTAAAAAATAGAAGTTTTAATCCTCAAACTCTTCAGAGGAACCAACTACACCTGCTCCAACTACCCCGGCAGCTACCACCCCAGCTATCACAACACCAGTGAAAACAACCCAGCCTGAAACCACAACCCCAGAGAGCACCACCCGGCCAGCTACCACAACCCCAGAGAGCACCACCCGACCAGCTACCACAACCCCAGAGAGCACCACCCGACCAGCGCCTACCACAACCCCACAAGAAACTGTCGAGTATATGAGAATATACAACGAAAAGCGAGGTACAAAATATTATTGAGTCTTTCACAATTAAAACTAAATAAGTTTTAAAACCAAGAAAATATAAATAGCTTTCAAAATACTCGTAGAAAAATATGAAAATGTATTATATTTTCTAGTAGCAGAACTTTATTATATATTTTGAGGATTACCCGGTTTAGTTAGATCTTCTGTACGATAGAGCTGTTGTTTCAAAAGTTATTTTTACCTCATGCTTCTAATGTGTTTTCCTCCAGGATTCGTATACGCACAGGCACCTGAATCTGTCAACGTTAGAAAAGACGTAGAAGCTGACGATGAAAACGCTATGTTTGAAATGATGGAGGATAAAACAATCAGGTGGGTTTTAAAACTGCTAAATTAAATTACTTTGTTAAATAGTGACGATCATGGTTGGTTGCACTCGCTGTTTATTTGCACTTAAGGTTTGAAACCGATTGGCAATTGTGTGCTGTTAAAAGTTCATTGCAAGATTTTTTTAGATTCAATTGAATTTTAACCATTAGTTTTTCAGTATGGAATAATTATTTAGAGGCAGGTTTTAATCTAATTTTACCTAAATCTACCATCACTTTCAGGAGTTTAGCTTTCGATCAGTGTCTTGCTCAAACTATTGATGGAGGAACCATTGTTATCCGACTCAAGGAATGCAAAGGTTTGTAATTAACTTTTTATTTGTATTTGTAGTCGTGTCTTTCCGAGAAAAATAATAAATAAACCATTTATTTGCCTCAAGTTTACCACATGTATATTTGACTTTGTGTCTGCCACTACTCATATTCTCATTTCCCGTGGTTTAAGTGGTCTCATCTTAACTTAATTAACTTATTTTAAACTTAATTTATTTATTAAATTTACCCCTCGGTCAGGTAACCCTACCCAAACATGGTATCAAGACAACGACGCAGCTGGTGACCCCAGATTCTACGTTCTGAGACCCGGAAAGAAGGGCAAGGCTCCAACTCCGTACTATCTCGACTACTTCAAACGTAAGATTTGCTGCTTGATATAGTGATATCGTACATTTGCTTATAATCTAATCTATACTTTGAACAACAATTCAGTTCAAGTCTTGGTCAGTCAAAGAAACAACTTTCAGTGCTATCTGTCATATTTTATTCAAAATCAAATCAGTGAATATTTGTGATATATTTTATATAACCCATGCACATAATTAAAACTTACAACCGTTTCCAGAGGAACTTACCGGTTATAAAGAAACCAACAAAGGTAACCAGAAATGGGATCTAGTCTTCGGAGACGAGCAGTTTTAAAAAATCATTCAAGACTGACCGTGACGTCACCAACCATGATATCCATTAACTAGAAGTTGCTTTGAGATGTGTCTTCACGCACAATAAACTGTGTGTAGAGATAACGTAGCCACCTAAATAGCAACAGCGATTCGAGCATGAGATTTGAGAACGTTGATGTTTATAATACGAGGATTGATGAATAAAACCAGCTAGTTATTGTGCTAAAATTCAAATATATATGCTATGAAGCTTTCCACTGTTTTATATTTTTTACTATCAATAAATTTATAATGGATTTTTTAGTTTTTCAATTTTGAATTTATTTTTTATATAGGTATATTAATAACTGTGTTTTTTGTATCGCAGCCGGCCGGGCGTGATTAAATTCTTACACTATAGTTACACGTGTGTAGGAAGCTATTTTAAAATCTCGTTATCCAGTATAATAAAACTTTATTAAGTTAATTTACAACCCATCTAAATTGTTTATAACAATGCAGCTCGTTTCATTTATATTCGTTCATAGGGCATATTATTACAATTACCATGTCAGTATCTTTGGATACATGGTACAGGGGTCTGAGGTCTCGCAAAGTAAACCGTTATAATTATATCATTGTTATAGTTTAACTTACATTAAACAGCTACAGGGTGTCCTGTTTGGGCCCGGACGGTGCCGGTGGTTCTAATGACCATTTACTAAAATACATAAATACAAAATACAATATAGTATAAATATTATAATCAGAAGTTTTATAAATCCTATCCGTCCAAGTTAAACTTGAAGGGCGCTACACGCACGACGAAAACTCCCTTTAATGTGAGCTGAAGTAGACTACTAGTAGTAGAGCTAGTAGCGCTTGAAATTGACAGAACTGAAAACGAAATCTGACAATTGTCGCGAAAACTGACAGTTTTGTGTGCTCAAAGTGTCGAGAAATACTGACAGTGCAAGACTGGGCACACAAGAGTGAGTTAAAACATCCTCCACACAACAAAAACTTGAATACACTAATAATAATCAATTATTAAAAACACACAAGCTCATTCTGCAGTCTTATTAGTCTTATCAATATCAGTACTCTTTATAGCACCGTTTCTGATAAAGTGTTGTATCACGTTGCGACCCCCACGGTCGTTTCACTATCGTCCTGACGATACAGGGGGAGCCGCGCACTTCGTGCGCGGCGGGTCATACAACGTATGACAAATAAAGTGTAGCTTATCAGGCTGCTCAGTTACCAGTCTTTTCATGTCCCTGACGAGTTCTCTTTGCTTGGCTCTCTGTTCTGGAGATCGACCTGGGCTGATAAAAACAGTTTCAAACTTTTCCGTTGCTCGCAGGTTTCTCGATTTAGCGAGAATCTGATTAACAATTGTTGCACTTGCCGCAGTCACTTTAACTGGTCACACAGCCTTGCCAGGTTTGAGCTTTCCGACTCTACTAGCTTCGATTCTGGGTTTTTCTCCGATTGCTGAGAACACTTCACTGACCACGGTGCTGAGCTCCTCATTGTCCTGCTCCGATAAACCAAAAATCATCAGATTTTTGTTTCGGTCTTCCTCCTGTACCACAGTTTTCACAGCTTTCTTGATCATTTCAGAACTGACAGGCTTCTGAGATTCTGGACAATTCGCCTGTAATACCGAGCTGAAGGATTGGAATTCAGCCTTGACAGACTCTCCGACTGACGATTTAACTGACGTCTGCAACGATTCCAACTGTTCATTTTTGCAGGCTAGTAGTTCTGACTGCAGCTTAATGATGGTCTCCTGTGTCTCGAACATAAGATGTTTAACTGAGTTTGAGGCCATCTTGTTGTCCGTGGATACGACACCAGTGAACTCCTCCAAATATCTTAATGCCTCGTGCAACAAGGCACACGCAGTGTCCTTGTTCATCTTCTTCACGCGCGAAGGGGATAGTTGCCCAATTGCTGTGATCTCCATCTCGTTCATAGCCTTGCTGAGAAGTTCAACTGAGTCACCCCTTAACATGTTGATCTCCTTTTCACCATACTCGCTGGGCGGGATGGTCATGGTCGTGTAACACGGTGATACACAAACCACTGTAGCTGCACGTTACAATCAACAGAGATAAGCACTAAGATAAGAGAGTAAGAAAAGAGCAACGTATGCAATTAGTGTAATACTGAACGAAAAAAAGGTAATCAAGTGATCAGAGTTTATTACTCAAGAAATCTTTGAGAACGTCATAAATACCGTTCTAATTAAAATTAATTAAATATACCGTTACAATAATGACTTTAATATATCACTTACAGGGGCTATAAAATTAAAGAGTATAACCTGGGCTGTGGGCACTCTGGAGTCTGGAGTTTACTAGATCGGACATTTAGTAGTAGTTCATTTGTGTAGGGCGTGGCAGCTTCGTAAAGCATTTTCACAAAGTGTCCAATATCTCCCTCATTTTGTATACTATTGGCTTGGTCTTGGTCTCAAATCGAAGATCGTGTGATGCTGTCTCACTGTCTGCCGAGCTCGGATAACCTACTCAATATCTGAACATGAGTAGTGTAGCTGTAATATAAATAAGCAACAACTAATTTCATGTGCTGATTGGGAACAATTGATGAGAAGTAACAGAGCTGACTCGGTAGCAAGCAGCTGGGTACCGAGAATCGGTTAATGAGGTGGTTAGTTGAGCTCACGACATGTGAAGTGTGAAGTTCATCGAATAACAATGGTGTAAGGTATTGGTATGGTAACTATGAACTAGTTGTTGTGTCTTTGCTATGTCACATAGCAATGATATTAGCCGGCCCGGCGGAGGGGTGCATGCGAAGCCGTACAACACATTTTAATAAGAGGGTTTAAACTTATTACAGTAATTTGAGGATTACATATTTCGAATATCACAATAAGAGATACAGTCAATACTTAAATTATTGCTATTATCTGAAAAAAGAGAAATATTAATGAAACACAATCAAAATAAGTATGACCAAACTCAAAAACCAAAATCAGGTATTGTTTTCCTTCATTAATATAATATCACAATGCTGGCAAGCATAACCGTTGCCATTATATTCACAACACTATTTACCCCCTATACTATAAAAAATATAATATATCCCCTTTATTGTTTTCCAGGCATTAAGACTCATCGAAAGTAGTTCAGCAGGTATATTTAAGTTCAAAACATTCTAATTCAATGTTAAAGATGACAGGAATAAGAAATAGTTATGTGGAGGTTTTTAATTTTAAGAAATTTGCGCAAAATACGCGCCAGCATGTTATACGAAATTAGGTAAAAAACCCAAAATCGCCATATTCAGGTGCCTTAAAAACCATGTTAAAATTGAGTTAGAGATCTTTGCAGGGCGTCTAGACCTTGTCCAAATCGACTGTAAACAAAATTTCATGTTTCAGCAGTATCGGCAAGTGGGTTTTCTGGAAACCCTGTTTTACAACAGATTGTCGTGAAGTATATCTATCTATAGCTAGACGCTTTGGCAGTCAATTGGCAGTCAATTGTAGCTATAACCTAAATTCAAGTGTCAGTAGATTCAAAAGTATAAAAGATACAGTCATTTTGAACCGCAGGTCTTGAAGATAATTGTTTGTACTTCAGTTTTCATTGTATTAAAAAATAATTCAACGTCATCATCATCACTTGATGACGTCATCAAATTAAGTGTTTTTAAAACTTGATTTTGACAAAGTAACAACTTTTCAAATCAATTTTACACCATTGAGGAGTAATTTTATTCAAAATCTGAGGGCATTTATAGCTTAGATAATTATTCAAGCATTCTCAAAATCTACCGGAAAGTTTTTCTAGCTTGCTCCTTCATAAAGATATTTGCTATTGAAGTTAGTGCTTTTTTGAAGAATAATTTTATAAAAACACAAAAGTTGTGAAGTAGTATTCTCTGGTGTTGGGCCATCCCTTGGGTTGTGGAGCTCAATTTTGCTTTTTAAAGGTGTAAATTGTGTTAAAGGCTAGTTTTAAAGTTAAAAATCGAAAAGTTGCACACGTGGGGACTCGCCCAAATTGATTTAAAATAGCTAAAATCACTAAAACTTTTGATTTTCACGATTTTTATCAACTTTGGAGTCCCGTTGTGATCCAAGTACTTTTTGAAATCTTCTGAAACTTTGCATGCTTATCAAACTGTATATTAAATACCACCATGCAAAAATTTACGTTGATTCAATATTGTATACGCACGTAACGTCCGCTCAAAGTTTGCACGTGCGAAAGGTGAGAATTTTGCTTATTCGTGATTTCGAATATATTCTGCTTTTCACGATATTTAAATGGCATTATATATGAATTTAATGCCAACTTGAATGAGTAAAAAGTGCCATATTCAGTCGGTTATCGACAGATATACCTACCTAAACACAAGGAAACGTTTTCAAAGGCAGAATTTCGAAATCGTTGAAATTATCTCCTTATTAATGAAGTTTCGACTGTGTAAATTATCCTGACATTATAATCAAAAAGAGATGATATTTGACCAAAACCCATAATCATGGGTAGAGTGAACCGCTGCCAGTGTCTCTCTTTTCCAAACAAAAGAAAATGATATTAATTTGAGGAACCGTCCGCAAATGCAAATTGATACCGAGAATGAAATCGGTCGCTCGCTTTTCCCATTTAATAAGCTTTATTACAATTCGTAAGCCGTGAATTAGCAACAAGAGTATTTATTATATTATTACAAGAGTATTTTATATAATTATTACTAAACAAGAATACTTTACACCTGGCCTGATATACACCAATATTGGCTGGGGTAACCTAAACAACGAAATCAGGGAGAACCATACTCCATAGGTGAAATTATACTGGATTTTGGTAACTTGAGCTAGGAAGGTCGTAGAAACTGGCTCCCAGAAACTTGAATTTTAGCTTAAAATAACCGCAAAAGTCACATTTATATACAACTTATGAAGCAATATTAGTTAGTTATATAATAATGTTTATAATAGTTATATAATGTAACTATGTAAGTGAAACTCCCAGACAAGGTTTGCCAAATTGAAAATCACCAGTTTACTGGTACTTGATATAACATGACAAATCAAACGACAGTTTTGGAAAATTTTAATTTATACATTTGCAACAAATATATAATTTTTATAGTTTTTACACATCTTTATATGATACAAATAATATTCATGGGAAATATTTAGCAATGCATCAAGCTCAAGTCAACTCCCCTCCACAAATTCAAAACAATCCTCATCATACAGATAAAAAGAGGGAAGTTTTAGAGTTGGCTGACACATTGCCACATTTCAAATCAGTATATAATATCATTGTTTATTTACATATTTAAAAAGCCTCGCACTTTGTGTGAAGAAAATGTTGAGCTTTCACAAGAACTAGGATAGAATATTCACCACAGTAGTCTGTACCTGAATGCACTTAAGTCTTGAAAGATAACCGAATAAACTCGTATTGGGTAACGAGAACGAGCTAAGTTTTCTTTGTTATCAATTACTAATTAATTAATTAATAAGACTGGTAATCAGAACTACAGGAATACTGGGGCTCAAATCTGTCCTAGTAAATGTAAGCCCAATTCAGCTGACAAAAATAATTCACACATAAATGCGGTGGAGTGGTGACATGGGATAGAAAATCAGCCACTCTCCGTCCAGTATCAACTTCAACATCAGTATCAACTTCAACATCAACTTAAACACTACTATCAATCGAAATTCAAACGGGAACCAAGAAAATTCATGGAGAAATTAATTAATCAAAATAAAGCAGAATTCCAACATAATCACTAATCAGTAAGGGGTGACAATTATTATTATTACTCTCGAGAATCTGATTAGAAATATATGGTTATTATTTAATTAGAGTAATAAACTGAACAGATCAAAAACATCATCATACCTACTAAAGACTTAATATTTGGGGCATTACGCAAAATAATTTGCTCCAAAATGATAATGCACATCTATACTACAATTAATGATAACCCTTTACATCATCCTCAAACCAATACACATTTCTCTAACTGACAATTTTTAGGTACAAAAATATAATCACAATTTACCAGCGAGCCTGAGCAGTAAACGAAGCAGACCAATCAATTAGTTAATTAACTAAAAGTTAACCCACTCCTAACATACCGAAAAATTCCATGACTCAAACTTATATCAAATCCGATTTTTGTCAATTTTAAACTTTTTTTGGCTTTATAATAACATTTAAAAAGTTTATAATTTTTTTGTTTTTAATATCAACAATGTATTATTATTAAATCTGGGACGGTAACACGGATTGAGAATTCTACCATCTACCAAATGTTTGAGAGAGTCTCCCACAAGTATTCTACATACATATTTATACATTTTTTCGGATAAAACTGGAAGCATCCAGAACTTTCAGCCGGTCATCACTGTGACCAAGGCTGAGTTATATCTTACCACAATTACCATGAAAACCAGGATTCATGGTCTCAAAAGTTGTTATCGTCCCATATTTATACTTAAAATTGAATATTATAAGAGCCCGGATATTGGGCCAAAAATACTTGCACAGAGCTTATGGGTCGTTCACATATTACGTAATCAGCCGAGGGGGGGGGGGGGGGGTTTTAAATGATTACGCTAGTGTAATTTTAACACATAGCTATGCGTAAAACTCATTACGGAGGGGGGGGGGGTTCGAAATTGGTCAAAAAGTTATTACGTAATATGTGAACGACCCCTTATGTAATCATACTACAAGGTTGATGACAACTGCAGCCGCTCGAATATAATCGGCTGTCGAGGTCAAAAATAATGATGATGATCGTGCATTTCGGATAATATGGCAGGATTTGTTTGGTTTGGCTTAGTATAAGGTACCTAGCATGATCATCATCCAAAATATATTATGTTTAAAATCTTTTTGAAGTTTTCAAGATATTATTATCATCGATAGAATAAGATCAGCCCAACGAAAAGTTAAGTTTTATACTTTTATACATTTTTTATTTAGAATAGGGAATATTCTATCATTATGCTCGAAATTTGACAAACTTTACGTCGGGCGACCTGGGCAAAGAATGACTTACTGCGAAAAGTATCCATTGCTTAATTAATCAAATTGCTTAATTAATCAAATTGCTTAATTAATTAAATTGCTTAATTAATGGGCACCAAATCTAAAATAACACCAGGGTGTGTCACTAATATTTCTAAGCTGCAAAAATCAAAATTTAAACAAAGTATACTATAATAGAAATTGCAGATCAGAAACGCAAAGCTCGATTTACAATTTTTGGCATGCAACTATTTACAACATTTTCTGTCGAGAAATATCTTGTGCATTTCTGACATGCTTTGAAATTAATAGATGAAATTGGGAAACAAACTGTAACTCTTTCAAACGATTCACGCTGAACGCATCGTAAAGAAATCAAAAACACGAAAACAATTATAACACGGAGCCTCCCACCAAGAAGCACACCTTTCCTCCCCTAGTCTAAACCTGACCCAGCAGCACATACCAGCAGTACATACCAGCAGTACATACCAGCAGTACATACCAGCAGTACATACCAGCAGTACATACCAGCAGTACATACCAGCAGTACATACCAGCAGTACATACCAGCAGTACATACCACCAGTACATACCACCAGTACATACCACCAGTACATACCACCAGTACATACCACCAGTACATACCACCAGTACATACTACATCATACCACCAGTACATCATACCACCAGTACATCATGCCACCAGTACATATCATCTCATACCCAACCCTCACATAGACATGGACATCATGGAGTCGTTGAGGCTGCGAGTCAGGACGGACGCGTAGGTTGGTTTCTTAGAGGGAGGTGTGCAAGTGTCGTTATCTGAGGCGGATAGGTCTGATTGGGAGAGGGACATGGGAGCGAAGGTCACTGAGTGGTCCCTCCGGTACATCACTGGTACTGAAATTAAGTCTTGGTTAGTCTGGTCGAGTGGTCGAGTGGGGGGTAAATTGTGATATTTTGCGATGATCGTTTGACAATTACAGAGCTTAGATTTGAACTTACAAGCGTTGAGGTTGCTCTCCATGTCGAAGCTGTTCATACTGTATAACATCTCCTCCACTAACTCTTCACAGTTGTAGAAATCCTCGTGGGAGGATTTGCTCTTGTCCATGAAGAGAGGGAGGAGTTTCTCTGACCAAACTGGGCAGTCAGAGAGTCTGACTGTTATCAGAGATAACGCTATGATCGACGACTGAAAATAGAAGAGTGTTAATATTGCTGAATACTGTGTTGTGTATACTGAGTGCCATATTGTATACGAGTTTCTTGGTTTTATCGATATGTGGAACGCTGATAAGTGGCTACAGTCTACAGTAAAGGGGATTCTAAGTTGGTGGCTAAGTCGGTCACATTTAGGGATCTGTCATCTGATAAAAATGGTTTTAATGAATTTGTTGGACGGGCTTAGGTAGCATGTTGAGGCAATATATTTAACAGGGATGAGGGATGGGCACTCGTGATTGGAAGAGTGCCATTGTTCTCAGTCTAGGGAAATTAACTTAACAGTTGAGATGCAATTTGTCTGATCAGATTGTACTGCACCAGTGATCCTAGTGGTACACTAGTATAGCCACCAGCCACAATTCTTAAGGAAGTGTGTAATCTAATTAGCGGGACTCTTGTTGACTTGTTTACATGGGAGTGTATCGGCTCGAGAACCTTCGACTTCCTCGATCAGTCTATAAATAGATTTGGAGGTACAGATTCAAACCATTGAGCCGCGCAACCTTGGTTAACAACCTCAGATGTTCAATCAGACTATTTCGTTCGCGCGTTCCATTTACGACATTAATTTGGAATTCCAAGATGTGAATAAACATAGCAACGAGCAAGAAAATCTAATTACGATAAGAAAATCAGATTTGTGAGAGTCCTAGGGAAATTGAACTTCTGATCGCATTCCAAAATGGAATAATCGGTACAGACTGCAGATTTGCAGCTCCGACAAAAAGACAAAAGGCGACGCCCTCAGCAGATTTGTCAGATGACTGTCAAGCTGACAGGTAAGTTTTTTAAATCAGCTTCTTTCTAACACCCCATCAGACGACATAACATGTGGACAAAAGCCAGGTTTTAAACTTAATAACAGGTTTCAGCAACGATGGGCTTCTCGCAACCCGATCTTATTTCGGTGTATTGCGGCGGCCAATACACATGTTAGATATGCAAGTTTGCGGATTCAGTAGAAAATTTCGAAATATCCAGCTTGTGCAACCAGACTTAACCATGCAATAAAATCTAGCAAAATTCGTTTTCTCAGAAGTACGTGCTTTTTCAACCAGTGGTTTCTTAATTTCATGGAATAAGACAAGATTCTTCCAGTTTGATCTTGAATAAAGCCAAGATAAGGTAATTTGGAAACCACTTTGAAAACCTTGTGAGAATTGGACACCGATTTAATGACTGGCTGGGTATAAGGCGTCCGGGCATGAGACCCGTTGTAAAGATAAGCTCTAGTAAACAATTATGCCGCTAATAAACCCAGAAACAATAATATGCAGGGTATGAATTGGACAGTATTCTGAAGAATTGTATTCGCATTTGAACGAGAGGGAACCTTTTTATCTTTACGAAAACCAATACCATATGACGTAAAGACTTGGGGTTAATGCTGTTATATATTATGGACGTTTTTATTTACAATGTGTACACTGATATGAAAATATTTCTGATAAATTGTTTTCCTGGGAATGTTAGCCAAGTTGTCAGATAATATGAAACCTACAAAGAGTATTACACTGTGCTCTGTGTTATGTTATATTTATAACTTATAAATTCTTTAATTCACATAACATACTACAAAACACGTACTTCAGCAAAACACCGAACACATAACAGCTATAAATAATTTGATGAATGTTTACGAAAGTTTTTAAAATGATGATATAAATAACTTACTGTTTGTACGGCGATTGAAGAGTATGTGAGGGCTATCTCCAATTGTTCGGTTAACAGAGATAACTCATCGTTAGGGTTCTCGTCAGGTGTAAGGCACCCTTCTAATACCGCCGCTAAGAAATACTGAAACAGTTTATTTGGTTAGTCATACAGAGGTATGGTCAAGAAATTACCGAATCTAGACATGGTGGTGATGGAATTATGATATTACTAGTGTAACCCGGCCTACGGCCGGGATTTCACTGCCGCAGTTAAAAAGGGTAGGAGTAATTACCCGCAGAGTCAAAACCCGCATTAGGTGACCCAATAGTTTCTTAAACAATAATCTCATAATCAGTTATTTCTTGTGGATAATTAAGTCATTATTAGCCATGAGGCACCACACTCCATGATCATAAGGTCTGAACACCGATTATTACACCTCATCACTCCCGTCTTGAACCGCTTTCTATTTTTATTTAAATCGTTATAGAAATTAACCCTTGTTAACTCCGCACCACACCCACATATTATATTTGAAAACACGCATAACATTGTCGTATGAACTCTCTCTCTCTCTCTCTCTCTCTGCAGTCCAAACAGACCCCAAACACTAACAGTCCCCCCTCCCCTAATAAGCTTAAGGTATAACATTACAGCAAATCTTCCAGGCTAATCCAATTATGACGCTACTTAAATGCAGCTATAACATATTACACAGTAATGAGAGAGAGAGAGCAAGTCCCGTAACTCTTGCCGTTCTGCTCACGCAATTTTATGTAACATTTGTGGTACAAAACCATCAATTAAACCACTTACCATCGGCCGATTTAAAAAAAAATTTCCTATGGGCTTCATCAGAGTTTTGTCGACACTATACCGAAAAAATCAGTCCCGTAACTCTTACCGTTTTTTTTTGTATAACCGACCGGAAATTACACACGGACAGACAGACAGACAGACACACACACACACACACATTCTGGTGTTATTAAGGGGGGGGGGGGGGCCAATGGGTATTTTTTTGTGAAACTTGATTTCGAGATAGCAGTTGACCAACAAACTAAGACCAGTGACCGAACTTTTGAGGGGGTCCCGGACCCCAACCGCCAAACGGTGCGCGCAGGGCAGCCACGCCCATATTTGGTCCAAATTAGGCCCAATTTAGCCAAATGCCCTGAACATGCCCAAAACCATGTTTATGGTGCTCTACTTGTAGCTAGTGGTCTCCTAAACTCGTATATGAAGTTTTATCAAGATTGGACAAAAAATGACTGAGTTATGAGCCAAAAACCATATGCCCATATTTGGGCATACGCACCAAATTTGGTAGATTTCGTCCCATAAATTGGTCAAATATCAATATTTTTGAATGAAACTTACTTTATATGAAAGGTAAGCCTAAACTACGTATTCTCTGTAAGTTATAGCTTTATATCTGTTTAAATGAGGATACTAAGGCGAAAAAACCACAAAAATTGAACTAAATTGCCCATATCTCGGTTCGCAATATTCGCGGAATTGATCTCATTAAAATTGTAACAACTCAATCAGTTTTCAAAATTTTTGCATGAAATTTTTGGAATCGACTTGAAATTGCATTTCGACCTTATTTTAAGAACGGATTTTTGATTTAGGCCTCAAAAAAAATTTGGCGGCCAAATTCCAAAATTATATTACAGAAATTCAGAATTTGGCTGCCAAATTTTTTTTGAGGCCTAAATCAAAAATCCGTTCTTAAAATAAGGTCGAAATGCGATTTCGAGTCGATTCCAAAAATTTCATGCAAAAATTTTGAAAACTGATTGAGTTGTTACAATTTTAATGAGATCAATTCCGCGAATATTACGAACCGAGATATGGGCAATTTAGTTCAATTTTTGTGGTTTTTTCGCTTTAGTATCCTCATTTAAACAGATATAAAGCTATAACTTACAGAGAATATGTAGTTTAGGCTTACCTTTCATATAAAGTAAGTTTCATTCAAAAATATTGATATTTAACCAATTTATGGGACGAAATCTACCAAATTTGGTGCGTATGCCCAAATATGGGCATATGGTTTTTGGCTCATAACTCAGTCATTTTTTGTCCAATCTTGATGAAATTTCATATACGAGTTCAGGAGATCACTAGCTACAAGTAGAGCACCATAAACCTGGGTTTTGGGCAAGTTAAGGGTATTTGGCTAAATTGGGCCTAATTTGGACCAAATATGGGCGTGGCTGCCCTGCGCGCACCGTTTGGCGGTTGGGGTCCGGGACCCCCTCAAAAGTTCGGTCACTGGTCTTAGTTTGTTGGTCAACTGCTATCTCGAAATCAAGTTTCACAAAAAAATACCCATTGGCCCCCCCCCTTAAGGTGATAATGATGATTGAATCTTCACATAACCGGCTATTATGCTTTATCAAATTTGTAGACTGGTGTATAGGGTGTAACAGCACGCCTGATGTTTAAAAGTCCTCAGTTTTCAGATGTTAAACTACCAATAGGTACAGCAGCTCAGCCTTATAATGTGAACAGTAATTACTATATTTATTTATACAATTACTTCAATTATATTATTGGACCATTACATATATTTTAGCCTCATACCCCTTTATAATGTGAACAAGTAATAACTTTATTTATTTATAAATCTACTCTAAATATCATATAGGCCCATTGGATAACGGCTAGCTTTAGACTGAGATAACGTATTTAAGTGAACAATAGTACTGACATATCAGTGAAAACATGGTCCCTCTCATTGAAGATCTCATACTTGCCTTTAGACCAATCAATGAAATAAAAAGGGACAAATTTGAGTGTTTTCAGCATACTAAAATTCAGTCAAAGCTGCTTTTAAATTCCATCAAAAGCAGCTTTTTAGTGCATGTTTTAAATTAAGCACACTGATTTTCTTTGAAGACTTGCGAAAGCATGCCGGTCTTTGCTTTCTCATCTTCCAATTAATTAAATCAACTAAGCAAACTGTGGTTTAAAAGTTATTAAGCCGTTTGAAGTTCCATACATGCAGCAGATACTTTGCAATGATCGTGTCTGTATTCAAATTCCGTGCAGCAAGCATGATCTGTGTACTGTGATTATCACAACATATCCTTCCCGGCTGTTTTGATGGCATGCTTGCGAAGTTATACGCTTAGAATTAGCATACTTTGACGTTTTTCACATATTCGTGAGGTGTCCTGTCGGTCGTCAGGTATTTCCACGCATTTTCACAAAAACAGTGCTGCAACACAGGATGGTGTATTATCTCTCGATCTCAGTTTTACAACAGATCACATCACAATGTGATCTCTATAACCAGGTGTTCGTGATCATTTTCTTAAACATTCCCGCACCTGATATTCCATTCTTCTAGAACCTTCCAGAACATTCGAAATATTCCAATCAATTGGCCGGCTAACAAAGTGCCCATTTTATGTTTAACCCTACGACACTCACGAAACATTGTTGTGACAACAATGTTTCGTTAGTTTTACAGCTTCTAAGAGGCTCATGAACATTCTATTCTCCGGTTATCAGCGACTACACGTACTTCGTTCGGCTCATTTATATAATGTAGCACAATTGGTATATTATATTTATTTATATATTTACACATTTGTTAACTAATGTTATATAACGTTATATGGTGTTAGTTTTATAAATAAAGTAAGAAAGAGCCAAGAGGACTCCCATTTTACTCACTTTACAGAGATTACTCACTTTACAGAGATTACTCACTTTACAAATATTTAAAATAGCTTATTTAATTATTATATCACCCAATAAAATAGGATCTAGAACGAGAGTCTGGGAATATCTTCAATATTTTAGCTTCTAGACTTATTGATTTAACCGACTGACAAATTTGCGGTACATAGAATTTATTATTGGTAGAGCATTAATCCTTTTAAACCTACAATTCATTATACTATGTATTTAGATTTTAGAACTATTCTAAAGCAGCGTTATAGCTCTCAGTAATTACCTTTTAAATACTTATATTGTACTAATGTTGTAAGAGACGAGCCGAGCCATTTCGGAAACCACATAAACCTATTATATAACATCTAGATTCTAGAAGGATGATGGAGCATCTAGACTAGAAGGTTCTATAAGAATAATTGAGTTTCTAGAAGGATTACAGTACATCTATTTGAAGGATTGTGGGGCATGTAAAAGGATTGCAGAACATCTATATTCTAGAAAGCTCATAGCAGACATGCCTTCAACTAGAAACTAAGAGGGAGTTGATCTTGAAGGCTCTTCCAGCGCCAATAAGCCCTAATATGGGCAACGTGGTCAATAGTCTAATGTTTCATGCGAGGGTGCCCAAAGTACTTTAACGTGCTAGTTCTTGTCCCGCCCAGCCGACGTTTGACTAATTGGCCCCCCTGTGTTCCGTGATCCCACTAATTACCCCCTCGCTCCTACGAGACTCTAATTAATCAGTGCATGTGGGGCAGCTTGGGGCGTCCCCATTTCCCCGAGTTATATTAACGTGCTTACTGCTTCTAATGGAAGATCCTGAAGACAAGGACATTATGTGGAACTGTGACGGAAATACTTTTGTTCCAAACTTCCTAGCCACTCATCAGGGCCTAATTATAAGGGATAATTACATGTATAAGCTCGAATAGCTTTTAACCACATTCGATTAGAATCATTTACGATATGTGTTGCACTTAGAGAAAGTGCCCGCACATAGCGATAGTGCATAGCGGCTCAATAGATTGTGGTTACGGTGAAATAATCGCTTTTAAAGTTTTAAAGCGCAATAGAATTAGAAAGTACAAATCGAACGTTTTGTTTCATTACATGTAGATGCTCCCTACTAACCACTACAATTATTTCACAGCTATTGTTTCCATCGTTACTATAAGTATAAGTAAAATATTTTCAATTATCAATGTGCCCTGTTATAGAGATGGCTTATATTAAATAGTAATTAATAGTTAAATCACTAACTATTAACTAATTACTAATAAATTAACTAACCATTTCCAGTAAAGTAAGGGGAGTAACAGGGTTCAAATCCCACTCCAGCTTGTCCAGAACCTTCCTCTCCATCCTTAGACAGTCAGTAGGGTTGTAGCACGGGGCACGTAACTCTGTTTTTACTGAGGAGCTCATCAGGCCGTCCAGATCCGGGATGTACTGAAAAGTGGGCCATTAGTTGATTATCTAATTGGTTAATTGAGTGACAACTGAATAATTCATCAATTTTGCATTTCCAAAATCTTGACCTTTTTTTTCTAAAGGGTAAGAAAAAACTTGGCCGTATGTAGCATTTATTGAGGATTGCGTTTTTTCCGTGGGAATTTGAGAATTTGCGATTGGACATCTAACCCACTATGCCCGAGCAGTGCATTAATCGTGGGCAACTTGCCAACAATGACTGTCTCCTTTGATTAAGTGCTGGCACTTAGACCCCCAAACTTATAAATAGAGAGACCAAGCTTCCCTAAATAGTGGGGTAGTAGCCTAATAACTAATGAGGTTCACAATGCCAGCTCGCTGAAGTCATTATGTCTCAAGGTAATTAACTGTGGGACAGCTTGAAAGAATGCAGTGGTTCACTTAATGACAATGTTCTATTGTACAAGGTGGCCAAGAAGAGACTCGCTTGAGTCATTGTGTCAGAACTATGGGACAGCTTGAACGCATGAATAAGCATGATCAACTTAATGGTATTTTTGTACAAGGAGACCGTCATTCGCCAGTATTGGAACAATCAAACATTTATCCAGAACCCACTCAAATTTCTGTGATGATCAAATTTTTGGGATAAGATAACGGAAATTTCTTTGGCAGCTCTTATACTTCCATGTTAGTGGTCGCTATTTATTGACCTTATCTTTAAGGACTAATGCATTAATCTATTTAAATATAAGTCAATCATCAACAGTTATTTATAAATCATCATAATTAACAACCATATCACATAACGAACAATTCTGTATATTTATTAATATTCAGAAATGTCCGGCAACTCTGACATTTTCTTTTCCAGAGCATCAACAACAGTTTAAATCAGATCACCTATAATAACGTAGACAACACTCCACTGTTTAAAGACTTCATGATAAAACGAATCGTACATGTGCTTTTAACACTCATCATACACAAAACAGTGGTGTAGTTAAAACCACGTGAGAGCTGCGGAAATTCTGAGAAAAGGCGCCATGGAAACACAAGATATTCCGTCGAAACACATCTTACATGTTACATCTCATAATGTCTTGTTGTGAGCTATAAATAGATTGTAAATAACGGTGCTTAAGTTTTGTTGTGTGATCGTGTATACAGAGATCATGATAGAATGTTGAGAATGTTGAGGCACAGGTATATTGAGGTATGGAGATGCAAAGACAGTTGTGTAAGGGAAATATGTTGGAATGTGAGCAACAAGAGCGCGTAATTATTGTGTAAGCTCGTAACGAGGCTACTTGAACAATAACATGTGTAATAACTGTGTAGTGAGGCTAAGAACAGTAAACTACATTACAGTTACTATATTAGTGTAATGTAGAATGTACAGAACTAAATCCTTAATAAATACCCTTGCGGCTTGCAGGACGCAGGTACCACCCGTATTTACTATATATACACTCAGAATAGAGTAGGATCATTTTCCTATACGAGATTGGGGACGGGTTCTATAACCAACAAACATGTAGAATGTATATTGATAGTTGATGGCGATGAGGTATCCACACGAGTAACACTCGACAAATTATTAACAGTTAGCCGGAAAGTTTAAACTCTGATTGGGTTCATGTCCAGCTCAAATATGTCATCAACTGTGAACTGCAAATCAACAATCAGTTCGTTAAAATTCGCCAATATAACCATATTATATATCTATGATTTTAGAGTTAAAATCTGTTAAATTCTCTCGTGTTGACGGCTTTCACTGTTAGCACGTTTATCTGTTGACTTATCTCCCAAACAATACACATTACTGTGGTATACTATTACTATTACATTACTGTGGTGAACTGCAGAAATACAGATATAATATTCTTTAGTAAGCTCCGTCAAACCCACAATTGGAGTGTAAACCCCTTTGGATATAACATTTACATCCATACGACTAATGGTTTATTTCATTACAATGCATATTTATTAGATAAAATTATTTACTCTAAAGAAAAGCATAATTTGATTAAATGAATAAATATAATAAGTCATTAGCATAACCGCCTCCGGTAATTTATCACTATTACTTGTATAGTTTGCTATGAAGTTATAAAGCAGCCACTCCCTAAAGCTAAGAATAGCTTGACTAATGTAACCTTGCATGGCTTTCTGTATGTAATAAGTATATATAAGCGTACTCTATGTACTTAACAAGGTACTCCAATGAAGTGTATACTGTATAGAAACTAGGAAGTGTGTAGGGCACTGTGTTTAAGAAAGTGTCTGAACGTTCTCGTGAAACCTTACTTTTCTGCAGTATTGTAGTGATATATGAAGAGTGAAGACAGACAAACAAGAGTAAAAACAATATATAATTGCAATTAATCTAATTACATATCAGTCTGGTTCTTAGGTTATCATAAATTAGATTATCATCCGGCATCGAATGTCATGGGAAATGTCAAATATTGAAGATTTATGAGTGCAATTCGAACCATCATTTAAAAATGATAAGAGTTCTAGTTGATTAGAGAACTGATGAGTATTTGAAACGAATTTACAACCCATTAACGTTATCAATAATCATGATATTTAAATCTCATTCACCCTCATTTATACTTTGATTACAATCACGGAAGTCAGTGCTATCAATTAACTTATTAAGCTATCAATTAACTTATTAATCGATTGGCCAGAGTATCTATTAACATTTAGTCTTAGAATTCACCCAATCATCAACACTACAAGTAAAGATGAGACAAGAGTCACGAAACCCAAATTATGACAGATGTCTTCCAACTCGATGGAAATTTGGAGTACGTAAATTAATTGATAAGTTAGCATCCTAACCTTCCCAACCTTATCAAGGAATATTAAATTACATATTTATTGACCAGTCGTGGAAACCCAAAATGTGCTTTGTAAATGATCGGTACGTGAAATTTTGATAGAAACCTTTCATTAGAAAAATTGGAAGTCTCGACTGACGAAGTCGTACCACCACGCGAAGAAAAATATTCAGCGTAAAGTTTATAAAATAGGTTTTATCAGCCGTGGTGTATGAAATCCTAATTCCTAGGTCATATGAGCTTTGGGTGTTATCAAAGATAACATTTGTTTCAGTATTAAATTTAAACAATATAAAGTAGAGTAACTAGTTAAATAGTAATAACTAATTACTAATTATGTACCTGTTGTTCTTCCTGTAGCTTGACGGCGATGTAGACGCACGTGATCGACACACAATGTAGGTGGACTGGCCTAACCTGAAATTATTAACTTTATCCTAAACCGTTACCATTTATGTAATGTACTCTTAGATAGTGTAATTATCATTTAGACATCTATATTAAGCTAACATCATTTCTGTAGAATATAATCTAATACTCGAACGTTAATTCTATGTGATTACACGTAAACACGACCAGTAAGGTGACTCCTTTTATTACTCTAATAATACAAAAGCTTTTCCGAGCTTTAGTTTTGCTTCAATAACTCGTAGCACATGACCGAGACTGAAGATCAGGTAGAGTTACTGCTACGTCATTAGGAGGCACAGATTGAGTTACTACTGTAAGTAGTACGTCACTAGGATGATCCAATACGTGAACAGACAAGTCATCAGCTGCACCCCACATTCTACAAATTCCCAATAGCTGGTGACTGTTCAACTCATCAGTAGCTGCACACCCCAGACATACTAGCTAGATCACTGATAACCAGTACATGTTCTTATCAGACATATTACAAGATAGTGTAATCTGTAGTTGAGCACTGACAGAGAGTGTGTTATTACATACTATAACATGTGATGATCTACATTATATTGGTGTGTTTTACAGTGTAGTTTACACTGAAAAAGAGAGGCTATGTTATAAAAGAGAGACTTCTCACTACATTACACTTTGCGACAAAAATTTGCATAAAATGCGGTTTATGCTGAATAAGTGAATATGCTGACACTTAGACGGCGCCAGGACCAGACGTTTTCCCAGTGTTGCGATGTTAACGAATTAGCACGTTTAAAATGTCTAATTGTTGGTAAAATTTAAACCCATAATATATCCAGTCCCTTGTCTGACAGTGAACATTTGACAGGTTTCATTTTGGTTGAAGTAACTCAAAATACGGATAAAATCTGTCATTTATGACAAATTCTATCCGTATTTTGACATCTATAAACACAGTTCTAAGTTTGCCTATAATCACTACTTCAAGAGTTGGTGTGACATTATGTGAAGTTTAGTTTGGGGAAAGTGGCAATAAAGCAATTAGCAAGAAATGAGGAAAATATTTCAACCAACGACAGTCACAAAACATTTGTAGGTGCTCTCGCACAGTCACACAAACATTGGATCAAACCCAAAAAAACATCAAAACAAATCGAGACCCAGTCAAAAATCAAACACAACAAAACATTTCTCATTCACACGATTATTCAATTACCAACCGATTAAGTTCTTACCTTGAGGCGAGCGAGGAACCTATCCATGAAGTTGACAGCCATAGCGTAGGTTTCAGGGAACATTTTGAACATCTTGGTGAGATTTAGGATACCCCTGACAGCGTGGTCACGCTCCAGGAAGGAGACTTCGCCCTGAAATAATTCTTAATTTACTCTTAGTTAAGTCTTAGTTTTAACTCTTAGTTTACTCTTTGTTAGCTCTTAATTAACGGTTAGTTAACTCTTAATTTTCTCTAAATTCATCTCTGCCTAGAGTCAACATAAAAAGACCTTCCAATTTCTTTTCTAGCTGGATGATCCAGAAAGCTCCAATAATTTTAAGTTATTTCAAGTTTTAATAACTTCAACAACATTACGATAAATAGTTGCCCTGATTTGTCAACAAAATGTGAAAATTAGCACAGGAAAAGAGTGAGAACATGATTAACATAACATGTCAGTGAGACATCAGAATATTATCCAGAGTAAACTACATACAACTCTCTGAATATGTCTTTAATTGAGGAAAGTTTTGACGTTTAACTTTTACATCCACTAAATTGTCTAGTGTGTGACAGAATAACTGTGATCTGAGAGGTGCCACATACCTAACTTAATTCTTGCATTTTACATTGCATGGCATGCCTACCTTTCTATTCCTGGCCAATGGCAGTCGACCTTTAGCTTTCTACAATGTTTATAATATAGGTCTATAATTAACAATCAAACAGGCAAATAGCTGCTAAATATAGGCCTGTATTCTGGGTAATTTCTGTGAGCTATTTTTATGGCTAACCCATAATGCCCATTTGATAAATATTTGATGAATAAATGGGCATGGGATTGCGTCATTATTAAATAATCAATAGAGAAGAACTTACGTTTCCCATGGAAAGAAATCGCCTTTTGCTGGGAATCCAATGTTTTTCTTCTTGTATTTTTGCTTCAAGTTTCTTGTATAGAGCTTCCCTCCCTTTGACTTCTCTGTGACACTTCATTTCAGGCATTCTTTCGGATTGTTACTTAGGACCTGCTAAAATGAGTAAAAGAATGAGTAATTGAGTCTACAAATTCAGCATTATATCCATTCAAATACAACTCTGGATTTTAAGTGGAACAATTTTTAAATTCTTATCTTTAAATTTACAATCAAATAATTTAAAAAATTCATAAGCTCCTGTGTTGATAGTTTTGTCTTTGGAAATTAAGACTTGCACATCACTGGACTATGTGAATCTGAAAACTTTTTCTAACGTACTTATGATAAATATTGACTCCTTGTAAATTTCTGAAGGACCTGCCTCTTTTCGGGGTTTGTATTTTAGTATTATATTGAATCTTTTCAATTTTGCATAGCTTAATATCTCGATGTGGATTGTTTTAGCAGTTTTTAATTGTATCCTGTACTGTTTTCGTGGCACACTGTGCATTTATGCAGTTGGTGTGCCACAACAATTAAACAGTGAAACTTTATTTATATTTTATATTTCCGACAATTTAAGGGTTTTAAAGGGACAACGATTTTTAAGGTTATATACCTTGAAATGCGAAATTCGTTACAAATTGGGTAAGTAAAGATATAAAGTTTGATAAACAGTTGTTTCTCTGATTGTTCGGCAACATCATCTGGACTACTATACTATACCACTTCTCGCTCATTTACATACAAATATTGCTCGTATGGATGTTTGGCCTTGTCCACCCATTGCTGACCAATTTAGGACCCCAAATCAAAACCCTGATTCACCACAAACGGTTTGTGACAAACCCTGATCTACCATGCGTCAGTTTCCCCTTTCTCCAAAGTAAATAGGGATTCGCTGCACGAAAGTTTAAAAATATTATCATTAATAATAAAAAGAAATATAGAAGGCTGTCATTCACCCTATTAATGGCTAACCCCACAGGTTCTACTCCATTGAAAAAAAGGGGGGACCCCCAACCCATGTAGCTGAGACACCTCACAGCAAGTAGACCAAAGTGGCTCTTGCTTGTGAACGGTGCATCAACTACCCGCCGAAGCGGTGGGTTGGGAGTCCCCCCTAAGAACATTTCGTCAGTAAAATTGTATACAATATAAAATAGTACAGTAAAATATCTACAAAATTTACAATCTACTCCCTTGAATACAATGAAAATCCGAATACTGCTGATACTATACTATACTAGTATTATTCATGTACAAGTATTACTAAGTTTCAGAGAGCGATTGCACACAGCAAGCACCTTTGTCCCGTTAACCTATATATATAAATTAGTTAAAGAGTGACAACCAAACTATGCATCAGTGATCAGGCTTGCTTTTTTTGAAGAGAGAGGACTCAAGGTCTCACCAGAACCATGCTTCATCATCAGCCTGAGTCCTAGCCCAAAATTAAAGTGCTGCCAAAGTTAAAGTACTCCTTTTAAAGATCGAATAGGGCTATTTTAAATCCAATTTTGACTGTAATAAGTGGCATAAAATTGAAACTTTTGCTGAACTTCAGTTTCTATCGAACTAAATTGTTTCAAATAAGTTAACTCATGTGCTTCTGTCGCAAAGGTTGTCATAAACAGTTTTATTACTTGGCGTGCTATTTCCTTTGCGAAAATTTGTTTGTTGTTCCACTTCTTCATTTAATGGGTGATACTCGTAAAATATTTTTTTCAAATATTTGTTTCAAATATTTGCATTTTGTTTCAAATATAAAACTGGACCCTCGACGAGTCCAACTCGGCGCGCGTTTTGGTAGGTCATAAACCTACAACTTCTTCATTTGCAAAATTGTACTTTACTTTTAATTTACTTAATGTCAATAATTTTTTCCGCGCGGCTTAGGTAGAACTCTTTTCACGTTGCAACAGCTAAGCTATCGTTGGAGGACTTCGCCGCTTCGACGCGCCGCGCAAACTTGACGGATGTTACTAGTCTAAATTTCTTAGAAGTTGATAAAAGGCTCTTTTCCTTTATATTTTGTTCTGCAAGGTGACAAGGGAAAAATGCATATAAACTTAAAATATAAAACCCAACGCCAATCTATATAAGAATCTAAACCGTCCATCGAGTTCCTTGTCATTAGGGCTCCACTTCTCGCGATCTCCTCTGCGCGTCCCTTTGTCTTATCTCTGTATTCTCCTCTCTCCACTTCCTTCTTTTCGGTCCTTTCTATTCATTGTTGTAATAAAGGGTTAGATTATGATCAAAATAGTTATTTTGGAAAATGCCAAAATGACCCTACAACAAAGTAGCGCGCGCCGCTTTCTTCTCGAAATGGCCCGACGCGGCACGAGCTACGAAGTAGCGCACGCCGGGCCAGATCATTAACAATGGTCAAGACGCGCGGCGAGTTGGACTCGTCGACGGTCCAATATATGGAACAGATATTTTACTTGACCATTGTTAATGATCTGGCCCGGCGCGCGCTACTTCGTAGCTCTTGCCATCGAGAAGAAAGCGGCGCGCGCTACTTCGAAGAAATTTAGACGAGTAACATCCGTCAAATATTTTACGAGTATCACCCGTTAACAATCAAGGCTATCGTCAATCGTAAAAATCAAGTCATAAATTAGCAAGTTTTGACGGATGATACTGATTTGCTCTATTTAGAGTCCTTGCGCTTGCAGTAGCGCGCGCCTCTTGACTTGTGAAACAAGCGCGCCCGAATTGGCGCAAAAGCACATGGTTAGGTGTAATACTGATCGTCTAAATTTCTTTGAAGTAGCGCGCGCCGCTTTCTACTCGTATAAATAGTAGCCCGATGCAATTGACGGATGTTACTCGTCTAAGTTTCTTCGAAGTAGCGCGCGCCGCTTTCTTCTCTGGCCCGATGGCAAGAGCTACGAAGTAGCGCGCGCCGGGCCAGATCATTAACAATGGTCAACCGATGCAACTGCACTTTGTATCACGTCGTGACCCTTCACATAGCCATGTGTATACGCGTACTGCGTGACGCGCTTGTTTCACATTGTCGTAATTTCGCTATAGTTTTTACGATACACGGCTGGGAGCCGTATTGCTCTAACCAAAGCCCTCTCACTTGTTGCATGGCAGTTTGCTCTATCCATGCAGAGCCCTTGCGCTTGCAGTGGCGCGCGCCCGCAGTGGCGCGAAAGCACATGGTTAGGTGAACATGGCAGTAGCGCACGACCAGTAGTCACGCAGTACGTGTAGACTCATCACAGGAGGACGGACCAAAGTGCATGCAAAGAAACTGTTACCTGTTACTGGGGACCTCTTGTAGGTTTACAACCTACCAGGACGCCCGCCGAGTCTAGTTGGACTCGTCGACGGTCCTGGAATATATGGAACAGATATTTTACGAGTATCACCCGTTAAGGGACCTCAGGCTATCATGTTCATAAACAATAGAATAGAATAAAGATTCGGCGGAATGACAGGCTGAGCGCGGCCCAGTAGAGAAACTGCTGCTAACTGCTGCTAACTGCTGCTAACTGCTGCTGACTAGCTAGTACGTAACTGCTGCTGACTTCTTATAAACTACTGCTATAAACTACTGCTATAAACTACTGCTATAAACTACTGCTAACGGCTGCTAACAGCTGCAAATGGCGCGCGCATACATTTAACATTTTTTCCGTACTTGGATCAATAATATGTAATTTTTACGACACTTAACATTTAAAAACTTTCAAATCTAATTGTATTCTTTCGTCGTTTTTTATTTGAGCATCATTAGTACGTATTTACTTATATTACTGAATGATTAGTCATTTAAAAATCTTTCCTTGACAAATCTGTTATGTGTACTAATTGGCTTTTACTAAATCGCTCGCCCAAAAATTTCACGTGACTTTGGTTTTTTGGTTTTGCAGCCGTACAGAACGGTTTTACATAAACCCTAATCCCAACCCTAACCCTAACCATAACCTTGTCATACGTTGTATGACCCGCCGCGCACGAGTGTGCGGCTCCCCGGCCCTGTATCGTCGAAACTCTACTATAGTGAAGCGACCGTGGGGGTCACCACGTGATACAACCATAACCCCGAAGCTATCCATAATTTTAACCACAACCCTAACCCTAACCCGAGCCCTAAATAATCGAATTCACGTTTTACTAGCCTGTCACGTGACCAAAACGGTTTTTTGCCCATAACTCTCCAGGGAAGCATTTCAACCCTACGTCATGGGGGGTGATTCGGAATCAGCGTCCAAAAATACACCGATTTAGATCACTTTCATGCCTAAAGGGCCTTTTCACAAGGATTTTCTTAAAATTTGGGCGAGCGATTTAGTAGGAGCGGTACTAATTAACTAATTTGAGTTACCATCTTATAGTGCGAAGCGTTACTGGGCCGCGCTGCGCATCCAATAATGCTTAATTCTCGCAACCATTTCGCTATACTAGATCGGCGAGATATTTTGCTAATTCATAATTCGTTTTTTATTTTAAGTACTGCAAATTGGTATTAGTATTATTTTAACATTTAAGGGAACAACATAATTTTATTTGATTTATTTAATTCTAACATACAATGATCGGCAATTACGGCCATTGTATTGTAATGATTAATGTACATTGTACAATATAGTTTTGGTTATTCATCTGAGATCAATTAATTGTTATTACGTTTTTCAGCCCAATTTTAAATTATGTTTCTTATAAAACCTCATTTAGTTTGACCAATAAACAATAAATAACAAAAATTGCGCCCGCGTAACTATTTATTTTAATTATAAGTTGTACTCATCAGCTGTATAGTACACTACGCAAGTACTTATAGTATACAAATTGAGCTTATTGCCTAATATATAATAGTAATACATTGAAATACACTCGTGCCTTTACTCACTGGGCGGGGCTCAGCCTGTCATTCCGCCGAATCTCTATTATGATTATAAACATAAATATAATAGCCTGGCTGGGGTCCCCAGGTAAACTCGTGCCGCGCATACACTGACTACAGGTTGTATTATATACATCACATCTCCGCAAGTAACCCTCGCGCGCTGCGCGCGTCTTTCTGATCGTTGTCATGCGCGGCGGTAAAGTGTGACAGACAGACACGAAATCTAAACCCACCTATAATATACTACTAAAACTACTACTATACTTGTATCACGTGGTGACCCCCACTGTCGCTTCACTATAGTGAAGCGTAGAAGCTGTAGAGTTTCTACGATACAGGGGGGGTCATACAACGTATGACAATTGACAATACTTTACCGCAATGTCCAAAATCCACGTTTTTCTGGAAAAACTTCCATTCGTAACCTTTCACTATTGCCTTTTTACAAAAGGGTGTGAATGGAAATAATTAACAGCTTTAACAAAAATTGAGCTGAGGCATCACACCGTAAACATTAATAAGTGATACTAGTAGCGAAACAGATTTGAAATCATGAATCTAATATGTATTAGTATAGTATAAGGTTAAACTTTAGAAGCTTTAATTTCTCTTCGATATTATCTTTTGTATCGCCCTACAAAGTTTGAGACATGAGAGGGCAAACAGTCGCCACACAACAAATTGGTGTTAAATTTATAGATCTCGTAAGGACGGCCGCGAGTTTTTAACATTGCAGTGTTTAAAAGGGAGCATCTCGACTCTCGACAGATAAAGAGAAAAAAGGCAAATAACTGGAGAAAACTAAACGAAAATAATCGACCTTTCGACATATACAGTATACACTAAGAGCACTGATCATAGATAAAGTGGGCGAGCCCAACTGTAGTTTTTTAGTTTGGCTCGCTTACTTAAGGGGGGTTCACCTTGATTTTTTGTGAAACTTTGTTTCGAGATAGCAGTTGACCAACAAACTAGGACCGTTGACCGAACTTTTGAGGGGGTCCCGGACCCCAACCACCAAATGGTGCCCGCGGGGCAGCCACGCCCATAAATTATAATTAGGCCCAATTTAGCCAAATACCCTGAACATGCCCAAAATCCAGATTTATTTGTTACTTGCTCTACTTGTAGCTAGTGGTCCCCTGAACTCGTATATGAATTTTCATCAAGATTGGACAAAAAATGACTGAGTTATGAGCCAAAAACCATATGACCAAATATGGGCGTGGCTGCCCCGCGGGCACCGTTTGGCGGTTGGGGTCCGGGACCCCCTCAAAAGTTCGGTCACCGGTCCTAGTTTGTTGGTCAAACTGCTATCTCGAAACCAAGTTTCACAAAAAAAATCAGGGTGAACCCCCCCCCTCTTAAACAAAGACCCTTACAATTTATAATCACAAATCAGTAATCCTAGTAGTAGTAAAAGACCAATGTGAATGAGTGCCAAAACGTCGATAATTTTAAAAAGTTTTCACCAGTTAATTGCCTTGTTTCACTCGTGATGCTGCCTGCCCAGTGCCCTATATATAACTGAACACTATAATGTCAAATCAAAGCTAAACTATTTTCGTTCTTGAGATTCCTTTAAAAATCAATTTTAATTAACTGATCTCAATAATTTGTATTGCCCACGTCACTATTTTAGAGCCAAGTTGCAAATGACTACGGGACGTAAATTTCATATCGCTTTTACTTTTCATTGTTTATTTGATTCAATTTTGAAATTTGATTCAATTTTAAGTTAATCAATAGACAAGTCATTTTTGTTATGCGGTTAACAAAATTTTATGATCGGCAGCATATACTATACAGACATGATAAAAATATGGTGTAAATATTGTGTAAAACTGTAAAAGTCATTCGTAACTGTAACTGTAAGTTAAAAATAGATGAATGTTAACTAAATATGCACCTGCAGATAGTAAATACTGTCGGTTTTCGAGTAAATGTTTCACATAAAATGTATAATATAACAATAACGATATAGAATTGTGAAAAATGCCCGATCATCAGAAGAACGCTCATTAAATCAACGTAAAATTAAGCTAAAAATAAAAAATCCTATAACGTATATATTACGTATATCATCAAAATGTTAATAGCTGCTAACAGTGTCTCATAAAGCTCCAAAAACTGTTACATTAATCCTCAATGGCGTTCCTGGTACAAACAGTGCACCTCGCCACACCTTGGTCAAGGATTTCATCCAGACCGCTGTAGACATTACCCATACCCCACATGCCGGGCTGAGTAATGTCTGGATTCTGGCCGAGCCAGTAGTCCAAGTTGTTGATATAGTATGCGCATGTACCCCTGCCCAGACATTCGATGAAGGTTGGGAGGTGGAACTGTTGGAGACATGATCCAGATGAGGCGAGGTCCTGGCCTCCGCCAGACACGCCCGATGAGGTAACCTGGAATGCAGAGATTTAGTAAAGTTAAAGTAAAGACTCAAACATTGTATGTTCGTATTAGACAGACAGAGGCAGGTTTTTGAATGTTTGGCAAGAATAAAGAATGAAGAAAAATAGTGATAGAAAATCCTAGAGCATAGTTGAATCAAAAAAAGTTGTAACTTACCATGGCATATGAATATCCTTCCCACAGTGGGGTGAAATCGTCAGGACATTCAGGACTTTCTGCAGTAAAAGAATGTCTGGTCAGAATGAACTGAGTGCCAGAACAAACCCTGCACCGCGAAATGTGTGGCACGATCTCGTCAATACTGGACATTGGCTTAACTGTGTAGTCAGCCTCGGCTTCGACAGCTAACCAGAAGGACTTGTCAGCTCGTACACCGTGTCTGCACACTTCATTGCCAGCACATTGCATGAAGGGCACCAGTTGGAACTCTTCTAAGCAGGAACCTGAACATTTTAAAGTAGTATCAGATAAAAAAATTGTAGCTTTTCGTTAGGATGATGATTAATCACTCTACACTCGACTGTCACGTGCCTTTTTAACCCTTTCTCTAGCTGGCCCTGAACGACTATTCCAAACCACAGCCTTTTAAGGCTCTAACCTGACCCCAACCCTAACCCAATCCCATTCCCTAACAAAAGCATGTGCTGAAACCCTAACCCTAACGAGAAATTAGACCAACTTCCATATCACGTGATCGAGACAGTTTTTCGCCAATATCTTGCCAGGGGAGCATTTTAACCCTTTTAACCCTGGGGGTGTGTGATTCGGAATCAGTTTCCGAAAATACATCGATTTAAGTTGGTTTCAACTATCGGGGGCCCTCTTAGAAAAATTTCGAATATCGAGTATAGAGTGATTTAGCCCGCTCGTTTTCATCATATTATGTAAATGTAATTATCGCAGTATATGATAAATTAGTCGCCAACAATTAAAATTTAACTTACCGGCACGTCCAAGATCTTGAGTATTTCCGTAACCTTCTCCTTCGAAGAACAAAAGAGAGTATCCTGACCAGAGAGAAATGAAGTCTGCTGGACAGTCTGGTTGCTAAAATAATAACCCATTAAAGATAGACCAGCAGTTTATAAAATTAACGAAATGTTTTGCAAATTTGTCTAATTTTAAAACACTTTTTTTCAAATTTCGTCTTGAAATGGAAAAAAGAAAGTAAATGATTTTTAAACGATGTCTTACATCTGCGGTTTGAGAGTGAATGACAAGGGTGTGGGTGTCGCAGTTACAAGCGGGGGCGTTGATTGGCTCACAAAGTCCATCAGGTCCCTTTTCTCCCTTAGCTCCATCCAGACCTGGTTCTCCCATCTCTCCTGGCTCAACTGCAGCCAGACCCTTTTGTCCTGGCTCTCCATCTGGGCCTGATTGGGAACAGAAGTAATAACTTATTTTACCTGTTTAAATTAAGAAAAAATTTAAATTTTGTAAGTTGAAATAAAATTACAAAGATAAATTTCCAAGCAATACTACAACAGTAGATAGAACCAAAATGTTTCTGCAAATATAACATACCATTCTCTCCATCGGGTCCATCTTTTCCTGGTGCACCGGTATCACCCTTAGCACCCTGAGGACCTTTTTCAACACCCGGTGGTCCTGGAGCACCTTTTTCTCCGTCGTTTCCGTCGATACCGTCCTCTCCGTCGTTTCCGTCGATACCAGGGTTACCGTTCAGACCTGGCTCTCCTTTAACACCGTCAGCTCCAGCAGGTCCCTGATAAATTAAGTTCGAATAATCAAATTTAATAACTGTCAAGATGCTAAGAAGCTAACAGATGGGCGTACGATAACTTTTTTTTCTTGTGGTATAAACAAGTGTCTCACACTCAGGTTATTAATCTCCGAAAATTAAATCCATACCTGAGGTCCTGGTTCGCCTTTGTCGCCAAATGCAGTGTTGTTGAGGACAGAGTTGATGATCTCAATCCAGATATAGTATTCAGGTGGAATGGGATCTCCAATCTCGGCTTTGATGAGGAAGATGTTGCCATCAATTCCCGGGCCTCCTTTGTCTCCCTCTGCTCCCTTCTCTCCGGACATTCCCTGGCATCAGAAATATGTTTATAACAATTAGTGTACAACTCTTCAGACGTTCACAGATTAAAAATAATCAGTTACTTTTTATTAATAATAAAATGATGCCAGTAATGTGATGTCTAAAAAAGGAAGTCGAAATATACATTTACTGCAATGATATAATAAAACTTACGGGTTCTCCTTTGGATCCATCGCCTCCAGCTTCTCCTTTTTGTCCAACAGCGCCAGAACTTCCCTGATCACCCTGATCACCCATTGGTCCTTCAGGTCCAACTTCGCCTGGAGCACCTTGGTTTCCTGGTTCACCACTCGCTCCAGTCTCACCTTGTTCTCCTTGGTCACCATCGGCACCATCTTTACCGGGCTCGCCTTGAGCACCATCAGCTCCGTTAGAGCCATGATCACCATTTCTACCTGATAAATGAATTTTATATTTAATCTTATAATCTAAAATCTTATAAATACACGTTTAGAAATATTAAGTAACAAAATCGATTGAAAACGGTGCGATCTAAACTACAATTATTAAGTAATTAACCTGGTTCACTGACTCCGGAGACTCCCTTTGCACCCCTTACACCATCAGCTCCGGGTGGACCGTCTTCTCCTGCTGGTCCTTGTTGACCATCTGGACCTTGAGCGCCGTCTTCTCCGGTTGCACCCTGTGCGCCTGGCTCTCCTTGATCTCCTTGAGGGCCCGCTGGTCCTTTGTCTCCTTTTTCTCCGCCAGATATTAGGTTAGGTCCTTTTTCACCTTGAGGTGCTTGATCTCCTGGTTCTCCTGGCTCTCCAGCTACCCCCTGATAAAATTTCTATTAGAAAAAAATGAAAACAGTGCTATCAAACAGATAATAATCATATTCATCTAACGGATATTAGTATTACAATCTGAGATATCATATTAAATCGCCCCTTATATCTTAACGTACACTATCTCCTTGACAAGCTCCTTGATTGGCGTCTTGACCAGGTTGTCCCTTAGACCCGTCAAATCCAGGTACACCTGGATGTCCTTTTCCACCAATTCCACCTGAAGGTTGACAACTATGTTAGAACAAAGAATCTTAAAATTAAATCTGAGTTTAAACCTTATAGGATTTTTACAACCTTAAACGTTAACACGAAGAAAGCTCACCTTTAGAGCCCTCGTATCCTGCATCTCCAGGTTCTCCCTGTGCTCCCTGATCTCCATCTGGTCCTTTCTCTCCATCTGGTCCTTTATCACCTGATGCTCCCTCTGCTCCAGCGTTGCCGGGTTCTCCATTTGGACCTTTAGGACCTGGTTGTCCGGTAGCACCTGCTTCTCCCGGAGAACCATCTGCTCCATCATTTCCAAAGCCTCCTGGAGCACCATCTTCTCCTGGTGGTCCTTGTTCACCTTGGGGACCATCAGCTCCGGCAGCACCATCCTCACCAGGTGCTCCAGTATCACCCTGAATATGCAAAATGTAAACCCACAGGTTTTGTTTGAAATAAAATTTGGTTGAATTGATAGAATGAATAAAAATAACGATGAATGACAGTGGAAAACTAAAAGTAATTTCATCAATTAACCTTTGGCCCTGTATCTCCATTAGGATCTCCCTTTTCTCCCTTGATTACTTCGTCTGCTCCACCATGTTCACCTGGTGGTCCTTTTTCTCCCTGTTCTCCTGTAGGTCCAGGGTCTCCTGAGATACCCATAATACCATCTGGACCTTTTTCAGCACCCAAACCGTCTCTACCAGCTGGTCCTTGTGGGCCCTTATCTCCTGAAGAATACAAACAATAACTATATGAAGTTATATTTGATTTACAATTGCAACATTTTTAAAGATCAAATAAAAATCAAAAGTGGTTATTTGGAATGACAAAAATAAATCATTGTCAAAAATATAAATTAATTAAAAACCCTGTGCTCCGTCATCTCCAGGTTCTCCTTTTGAGCCCTTCACATTGTTATCTTCGCCAGGTACTCCAGCCTCTCCCTGAGGACCAGGCTCTCCTGCAAGTCCTGGAGGTCCTTGTGCTCCTGGAGCTCCTGGTGCTCCGTCAGCTCCATCGTTACCAGAGGAACCTGACAATGTTGCACATTGAATAGTAGTCGATTGTTGGACATTGAATAACGTAGTCGAAGTTTTTATATTAAGATTTATGCTTGTTTGAAATGTTGCGTTCTGTCTTAGATATGAATTACGACTCTAACCGCTTGGGCCTTTTTCTCCAGGCTCTCCTGCATCACCAGCGTCACCAGCACCTCCTGCGTTGCCGGCAGGTCCTTGTTCTCCAGGTGCACCCATGTCCCCAGATTCTCCAGGGTTACCAGGCTCACCAGCGGCTCCTGCCTCACCCTTGATAGTTCCGGGCACGCCAGGTTCTCCCTTCTGACCGGGGTCACCTTGCACTGCTTCTCCATCAGGTCCTGGGATTCCAGGTTCACCTTTTTCTACTCCTGGTTCACCCTGTAGTGAGATAAGTGAAATTTACCGCATTAAGAGATTAAGGTATTAATTTATTGATGATTTTCAATTTAATACATCCCATATTAAAATGTATTTTATTTATTTTTAAACGCAGATTATTTTGTCGTTTACCTTAGCTCCTTGGTCTCCAGGAATAGTTTCTCCTGGTTCACCAATTTCTCCTGGTTCACCAACAGCACCTGGTTCACCATCAGGTCCTGGAGGTCCAGCAGGTCCAGGAATACCTGGTGCTCCTGTGGCTCCAGCTACACCATCATTACCTGGCTCTCCAGGCTCTCCTCCAGGTCCTGTGATAATCAATTAAACGTTATTTTATACTAGACATGATGGATTTTATAAATCAAATTTGATTAATTATTGTCATTTAACTCAATACAAAAACTTTTTAGTTAAGGATCAGATTATTATCAAGCAGTCTAATTTTTGAGTTTTATGTAAAAGATATTTCTAAAAAATGACCGTGAAATGCGAAATCATAAAAAGATTTAATATTTGATATTACGAACTGTGCACGTAGAATTACCAAACAAAATTAATACTAAGGATGCTATTATGCGGATTACCTTGCTGCACATCTTTTGCGGGGGCCCCAGGATTTCCAGGACTTCCAGGCTGTCCATTTGCTCCAGGGTTTCCATTAGGACCCTGAGCTCCAGAATCACCGGCTGGTCCTGGATCACCTGCCTCTCCTTGTGGTCCTTGGGGTCCATCTGAACCATCTGCACCATCTGCACCATCGGATCCATCTGTACCATCTTTACCGTCACTCCCAGGCTCTCCTTGGTCTCCAACTTCACCCGGCTTACCTAATTCGTTTACTCCCATTTCTCCTACGTCACCAGCTTCTCCTTTTTCACCCTGTGGTCCGTATCCATGCTCACCATCAAGACCATCTTCTCCAGGCTCTCCTTGTTGTCCATCTGGCCCTGGTCCTGCACCTGGATTACCCTGTGGCCCTTGTTCACCATCGATACCATCCTCTCCGGGTGAACCATCTTTGCCATTAATGCCGTCAATTCCATGGTCTCCCACGGGTCCAGTCCTTCCTTTGTCACCAGTAGCGCCTGCAACACCGTTAGGTCCTTTGTCCCCGTCGGCTCCATCAACTCCTGGCTTACCTGCCTCTCCAGGGCCGCCATCTTCACCAACATCTCCCTGGTCACCCAACAGCTCCCTAGGCTCCCTCATCTCCAATCCTGGGGGCCCAGGACTACCTCGTGCTCCTTGGTCTCCCTCTGGTCCCTTCTCCCCAGCTTTGCCTGGTTCTCCAGGTGCACCATCCTCTCCAGGGTTGCCAGGGTTGCCAGGGTTACCTGGGTTACCATCCAATCCTGTGTCTCCGGAAACACCGGCCTCTCCTGTTTCTCCCAATGTTCCAGGCTCTCCCTTTTGTCCAGTTATTCCCTTAGGTCCTGAAAATTAAACAAATCATTTGTCGGCAGGATTAGTTCAAATTATGCTTTCATCAAAAACAACAAACAACAACAACTTATTTTAAAATAAGATGTTGTGATCTATTGAAGTGTTATTACCTTCTGGACCCGGTTCCCCAGGAGCTCCTTGTTCGCCTTGTTGCCCTTGGTCACCGCTTTCCCCGTCGGCACCATCGTCACCATCGTCCCCATCGTTTCCATCTTGTCCACTAGCACCTTTGGCTCCTTGATCTCCAGGTTCTCCAACTCCTCCAGAAATGGCGTCACTTCCGTCAAGTCCGTCTTGTCCTGGATTACCTGGTTCTCCAGCGGGCCCATTGGCACCAGGTTCACCTGGCAGAGGATAATATGTTACTTCCCTGATATACCAGTGAGCTGCAGTTAGCAGCTTTTGACAAAAATCATGGTGCAGTTTCAATTCTAAGTCAAGATTGACGATCATATTCTATGAATGAAATAGACAAAAGACTTTAATCACAGACGGCAGACCACTGAAAGTATGGAAGAAGGACGCTTTTAATCACTTGATGAACATAGAAATTGTTTTACCGTGAGGTCCTGGTGGTCCAGATTCTCCAGCTTCTCCTTTGACACCAGGAGCTCCGTCCATTCCAATAGGTCCATCAGGACCAGGCTGTCCCTTTATCGCTTCACCATCAGCTCCGGCATCCCCTGGAGCGCCCTTTTGTCCTTGGTCTCCCTGCGCTCCAGCATCTCCATTCTCTCCCATGATGCTTTCACCTGGTTCACCTTGGGGTCCAGCGGCTCCGTCAGCACCATTTTCGCCATCTACTCCATTAGCACCTGAAGAGAACAACAAGTATAGATGATTATTCAGCTAATGTTCTCTATGAACCAAAATTGTTACTTCTTAGATACAATTACACCAAACTAGGTTAAACGTATTGACATCCTAAAAATGAATTATGTAGTTAGTTAAATGACTGACCTTGATCTCCAGTTTCTCCTTGAGGACCGGCATCACCAGCTTCTCCCTTAAAACCATGCTGTCCGGGAAGACCCATAGGTCCTTTGTCTCCCTCCTCTCCCTCCTCACCGTCATCCCCATCATCCCCATCTACTCCGTCAGCTCCCGCTGGGCCCGTGTCACCTTGTTCACCTTGTTCTCCCTTAGATCCTTGGACGGTGCCAGGTTCTCCTGTTGGTAACAAAGTTTAGGATTAGATAATCAATTTCTGCAAAATATGTGCTTTTGAGTAAACCCTTTGATAAGAGAATTTTAGAATGGCCGCGAGACAACTTATCATTGATCAAAAATTAACCTTGAGCTCCTGCGGCACCCGGTTCACCCGGTTCTCCTTTGACATCGACCACAGATGGTTCTCCTTTTTCGCCTTCTGCTCCTTTCATTCCATGCTCTCCGTTAACTCCATTGTTACCACGTGCACCATCATCTCCAACAGCTCCAGCAACACCGGGATCTCCAGCTTCACCTGGCTCACCAGCAGCACCTAAAGGTCCTTTCTCTCCTTCTGGTCCTTGGTTACCGGCAATACCAGCAGAGCCTGGGGCTCCAGCAGGACCTTCTTCTCCAGGTTCTCCAGTCTCACCTTCCAAACCAGGCTCTCCCTTGACACCATTTTCTCCAGGTGACCCAATATCACCAGGTTTGCCTGTGATACCTTGGGGGCCGGTTTCTCCTTGGGCTCCAGGATCTCCGACTCTATCCTCACCAGGCTCTCCTTTCATAGTTCCTGGCTCTCCAGGCTCTCCCTTTTGTCCAATAGCACCGTCTTGTCCATTGTCTCCAGGTGCGCCTGGTTCACCATCAGGACCTTGGTCTCCTGGTCCTCCGACTTCACCAGGGGGTCCTTTGTCTCCTTGTGATCCTTTTTCACCGGCAGCTCCCACCTCTCCTGCATCTCCATCTATTCCGTCTGCTCCATTATCTCCAGGAGATCCCTGAAATATGATTGGTAACTAACTTTACAAAGGAGTCACGCATCTAAAATTGTTTTCGAATAACTTCACTGAGATTTGTTTTCGGCACTTGATATTGTAATTCTGTCGGCTATTTGATTAGTTGAATCTAAACAGTGATTGTGGTAAATTATTATCCAATCTTACAATTTCACCGTTGGGTCCAGCTGCACCATCAGGTCCGGCCTCTCCGTCAGGTCCTTGCGCACCCTCTTCAAGCACAGCATCGGGTCCTGCTTCTCCTTTAGCTCCAGGGGTTCCAGGGGTACCGTCCTTTCCAGCTACATGAAACTAAATTTTGAATTAGAAGTCGAGTGACAAAACCATACACGGTTTCTATCATAAATTGTTTTTAATTATTCGTCGCGATTTATATCAAACTAATATTACTCACAGGTGCGCCGGGAGGTCCAGCTGGACCAAGGTCTCCTGGTTCTCCTTCAGTACCATTGCAACCGTCCGTTCCAGGAGTTCCGTCAGCACCATCAATACCGTCAGATCCATCCTCACCAGGGGGTCCTGGGGGTCCTTGATCTCCAAGTTCTCCCTGGATTCAGTTGTTTTAGAGCAAATTTCAATTAATGTCTATCATAGAAACATAGAAATATGTATCATTCCGAAATTTGTTTTTGGCGTATATGCATAGTTTTACTTACACGGAAGCCTTTGACACCCACAATACCAGGGTTACCAGTTCCTCCCTTTGGACCAGGTGGTCCCGGTTGTCCAATTTCTCCAACGGCACCAGGTGGACCAGCGGCACCAGTTGGGCCCATTGGACCTATAATACCTTGAGGACCTTGTCTACCTGCAAACAAAGAAAGATTACGATATCAATCAATCATTCAGAGGATATTTCATTTTCAAACCGCACTATAAATTACTTCAATGACGTTAACTCTCATATAGTGTACATAATTCCCTGATCAACGTACCTTTAACGAATGTTGTTGGTCTAGAACAGCAACTGCCAGGATCAGGACCGGCCTCAGCCCAAGCGTCAGCCCAAGCATCGGCGTCAGCATCCGCCTCTACAAACGCTACCAGAACCCCACAGAGGAGGAGCACTCCCAGAAATTTTCGAGATGCCATCCTTCAGGGCCTATTGATGCATCCCTATTGAGATTAGCAACTTAGTGAAATAAAATAAATTATTTTCAGCGTAATATGGACGTTTAAGAAGTAAGATTTATGTCCATCAATAACTATGATCAAGGTTTAGATGTTAAAAATATGCAAGTAACACAGCAATAATACAATTTATTTGCGGTGTCAGACCAGTCACCCTCAGAACAGTATGATATGAACTTAAATATTACATTTCAAATCAAAACGTAGTAAAACGTACTGAGGTATAACAAGGTTCAAATTCAAAAGTGATTGTATAAATGTTGTCGTAATTTATAGTTATAAGACTAGAAATAATAGTAATGTGGTAATAGGTTTTAAGTAAAAGGTTTAAACGCTCTTACGTTATCAAACTAACTGTAAAAATATGAAAATGCGATATATCAAAAATAAATCGGACTGAAGTACAAAATCCTGCAATTTATATCTCGTTCATTAAAATTGTTGACACACTAGTTCATTATATGCATAGCGCCAAATATTCTTCAAGATCTCTACATGATATCCTTGGCGCATACAGTACACCTAGAAATTCCGTTATCAAGAATGTCGTCGATACCGCTGTACACGTTACCCATACCCCACATGCCTGGTTGCGTGATATCAGGGTTCTGAGCCAGCCAGTAGTCCAAGTTGGTGATGTAGTAAGCACAGGTGCCTCGTCCCAGACACTCGATGAAGGTTGGAATGAAGAAGTTCTCCAGGCACGAGCCGGAAGATGCGAGGTCCTGGCTGCCACCAGATGGACCATTTGAGCTTACCTGAAGGAATGGAATGGTGGACTCACAAAGCTGGAGAATTGCTCAACAAAATAGTGGCAATTTAGATGCTAATAGATTCTATTATTCATTGCTGGACAGAAGTTTTAAAATCCAAATAACAAGCGTATAATAGAAATGCAGCGATCTGATTTGTACCCAATTATATCAAGAATTAGAGCGATCGGAAAGAAGAGAAAGAAGTTTTTAAAAAATAAATAAGAAAATACCATGAGGAAAGAGTATCCAGTCCACAGTTCATGGTAAGTATTAGGACAGTTAGGTGCGGAGCCGGAGAAGGAATGCCTGGTGAGGACTTCACTTGTACCAACACACACATTACATCTTGAAATGTGATTGTCAATTTCGTCGATGCTGGACATTGGTTTGACGGTGAAATCAGCCTCGGCGTCAACACCCAGCCAGAAAGACTTGTCAGTTCTGAGTCCCTGTTGACACACATCAGGGCTGGAACATTGCATGAAGGGCATCACTTGGAATGTCTCCAGACAAGATCCTGAAAATTATTAGGTTGAGCAAAAATTCTAAAAGCCAACTTATTGTGAATAGCTACCATTTTGGGATCACTGACCTTTGTGATTTAATAAATTTTGAAAAAAGCTATGAAGCGATATTTGCACTTACCAGTAGTTCCAAGATCTTGTTCGACTCCGGCACCATTGCCTTCGAAGAACACTAGAGAGTATCCCGTCCATTGTGATATGTATCCTGTTGGACACTCAGGAGCCTGAATAAGTAAGATATCAGCATTAGGCAATTTAAAAAAGCAAACTCGTAATGAAAAATTCAAGAAAGTAGAAACAGAAGGTTATTTCTAAGCATTCTTACACTAGTAGTTTGAGAATGTCTGACAACAATGTGGGTATCACAGTTGCATCGTGGGACGACCTCGACCGGCTCACACACTCCCTCAGGCCCTTGTTCTCCATCAGCTCCAGCAATTCCTGGTTCTCCTTTTTGTCCCCTGATTCCAGCTAGCCCCTTTTGGCCGGGCTCTCCTTTCTCATTACCTTAATTTAACCAGGTTTACAGCAATTATATTATATCATATAAGAAACAACACAAACTCTGATGAGTCACACTTAAAATCATGAAATTGTACATTTATGAATCCTTTTCCCACGATTAAAGCTGACTTACTTGATGCTGGTGCACTCTCTTCGTTATCATTACCAGGTGCACCAGTTTCTCCCTTAGCTCCAGGTTCACCGGCCGGTCCTTGATCTCCGATCAGTCCAGTAACTCCATCTTCTCCATCAGAAGCTGCATCCAGACCAGGAACTCCATTGGCTCCATCTAATCCATTTGCTCCAGGTGGTCCATTTTCTCCGGCCGGTCCATGCATCCCCTGCAAGGATAGGATCAGAATGTTTCATTCTATCAGTAGTACATATAACGATCATTTTAATACGGCTAACTGTTTTAAAGGGTCTCTTTTCGTAAAACTGTTCAAAATTTCATTGATCACTCATTGTGACTAACCTGTTCACCGGGTTGTCCTTTCTCGGCAATTTGAGTCACGTTCAAAATCTCGCTGATCAAGTTGATCCAGAACACGAATTCTTGTGTCAATTCACCGGACTCGGGATCAACAATAACCATAATATTTCCGTCTTCACCGAACTCTCCAACTGTTCCTTTTTCTCCTTGTGGTCCATTATCGCCCTATAAAATGTATCCACTATTAAGTTGTCAAATTAAATCGATCAAGAGTATTTTCATATTACTGGGAAAGTGGGTCAGTCGTCGACATAAAGTTATATTGTATTTAAATGCTCAACTTACGGAATCTCCTTGTTGACCGTCAGCTCCAGGTGCACCCTTGGCGCCCGCTTCTCCTGGTTCACCATACTCTCCTTGTGGCCCAGCAGGACCTGCAGGTCCCACAGCACCCTTAGCTCCACCTGCTCCAGGGGCTCCTGTTGCACCTTGAGCTCCTGGCTCTCCAGGTGATCCAGCCTCCGCGTTTTCGCCTGGTTCTCCTTGAGCTCCGTCGGCTCCGTTGATTCCATGGGCGCCAGGATTACCTAGAAGTATAAGCATGATTAGCTATTTATCTATTAATGTTACACAATATCTATTACATCATGTGAACACTCGTAAGCCGCCATCATTGAGATTAAGGCCATCAGTATTTAATTTAGAAAAAAAGAGAGAGAAATAGTGCCATACTCCGCTTTTAAGTTTGAGCGAAATATCTACCTGGAACTCCCAGTCCGGGTTCCCCAGGTTCACCATCAGCTCCATCTTCGCCAGGTGGTCCTGGTGGTCCTGGTGGTCCGTCTATTCCAGGCTCTCCTGGTTCTCCAGTTTCTCCCTGAGGTCCTAATGGTCCGCTGCTATCTCCGGGTTCTCCAGCAGGTCCTTTCTCTCCTTCCAGTCCAGTAGGTCCTTTGCCTCCTGGCGGTCCTACTTCACCTTGCTCAACACCCGGTGGTCCTTTCTCACCTGGAGCCCCTGGCTCGCCCTGATAGAATGGATTGTATTTGCAAAGAATATATTCGCAGATTTTGAGAGTAATTTGAATCGCTCGTAAACTATATGCATAGTAATGATAAGGTGTCCTGATGATGTTGGTGAATCCACAATTAAACTATTAGAAGAACTAACCGGTTCTCCAGTACATGCTGTGGCTACAGCAGGAATACCATCAGGTCCGTTATTACCGTCCTGACCGTTTTCTCCTTGATCTCCTTTCGGACCTTGGTCTCCTGAAAACAATTTATTAGTGAAATGTTAACTTTAAACCTGTTGTTTTTTCAATGAGGGGAGTGCAAGTTACATCATCCTAGGACTGGCTTTAGAGCATCTTGAGTAAAATTATATAAGATTATATTGATTAATTCATGAGAATAAGTTGAAGCTTACCGGGAGCACCACCTGGTCCCACGACTCCCTTGAAGCCCTGAAGTCCAGAAGGACCTGCTTCACCGACTGGTCCAGGTGCACCAACCATGCCCTGATCGCCCTTTCCTCCATCAGCACCAGGTTCTCCTGGAGGTCCCTGCAGACCTTGGTCTCCGTCATCACCAACACTTCCTTGTTCTCCATCTTCCCCATCGGCACCTGGTTCTCCTGGAGCACCTTGTTCTCCCTGAGGTCCTGGTTCTCCTGGAAGGTCGTTAGCGGCTCCGGGGTCTCCTGGTTGTCCTTTAGCTCCGGCTTCACCCTAGAATAAGCATTAGGCTGATTTATTTCCACCTCAACTGTATACCTATATTCGAAATAAGGACTATTTCAAAGATTACTGAAGGTCGAATTTGGATAGTTCACCATATTGTTTACAATGGACAAACTGCGTGAAAAATCGTTTCATCTTATTCGAAGTTTTCTAATTGAAAACCTTTCCTTAAACATACAAAATACAATAAGCGTAATTCTTGTTAAATAGAATCGTATAAAATCATGTAAAGTATTACCTGTGGAGCATCTCCTTTTTCGCCCTTGTGACCCTTGAGGGAAAGAGCATTTGGACCTTCGTATGGATCACCCGGTTCACCAACATCACCAGGATTACCTAAATCACCAGTTGGACCTTTTCCTCCTTTGAAGCCGACGCCTCCAGGGAATCCATCGATACCATCTTTTCCTGGCTCTCCTGGCTCTCCTTGGTCACCTATTAAAACGATTCATGTAAAATGTGTTGAAGTCGCTCCAATTTGATGTTCGGAAATATTTTGAAAATATTTTGGTAGAAATCCCAGAAACATAATAGTTCAGATAATTCGCTTATCATCTCTAGATCGAAGCATAAACAGAAAATTATACGGTCAACAAAAAATGTGATTGAGTGTAGACAAAAAGTGAGTAATGGCAATTAAGAGCTTACCTTGTGCTCCAGGTTCTCCTTGTGGACCTTGCGCTCCTGGTACTCCGTCGGGTCCATTTGCTCCCGGGGCTCCTGGCTCCATTCCTGGCTCTCCCGGGGGTCCTGGGGGGCCATCAGCACCGGGTGCTCCTGCTGCACCATCTAATCCGTCATTACCATCTTCTCCTAAGGGTAATGACCATTATTTTTGTTTTTTTCACGGTTTTTATTTGACAGCTTTATCGTGAAAGTTAATGAAATTCCTTGTGGTCACAGCGGTCTGCAGTTTCAATTTGAAGACAGTTCAAATAATTTTAAAACTCACCAGATGGTCCTGCTGCTCCAGGGGCTCCCTGTGGGCCCTTATCACCCTGAGCTCCATCTTCACCAGTGGGTCCCTGAGGTCCAGGTCCACCATCGGCTCCAGGTACTCCATTCATTCCCTGTGCTCCTTGATTACCGGATTCACCCTGAGGACCTGGATCTCCAGCTGGTCCCTTGACATCTCCAGGAGGGCCCTTTTCTCCAGCCTCTCCCTGTGGGCTTGCACCAGGATTACCTTTTCCTCCAGCTGCTCCCTGATTAGAAAAGTTTTGTAAATATCAGATTGACAGAAATACAAGCCGAGAAGACGGACTATAACTGTGAATTTATTAACAAAAAACTTCAAAATTTTCGATAATTAGGATTCTAATTTTTTTAAACAGTTCATTTTTATATTTACTCAATGAGATGAAACTCAGGTTTATGTTTTCAAATTCAAATCGCTTAGCATACAAATAAACTAAACTAAATGGTTATCAGGCACTATTAAATTTGCCACCTATTTGCCACCTATTTTCCACCTATTTGCCACATATTTGCACTGAACTTACCTTGTCTCCAGGCTCTCCCTGGGTTCCAATGCCGGGTTCTCCCTTCTGTCCTGGTTCTCCATGAGGTGAGTCACCCGGTGGTCCTGGAGGTCCCTGCTCTGTTCCTGCAGGTCCTTGCTCTCCGGCAGGTCCATCTGCTCCGTCTGGACCAGGTGGGCCCTTTTCTCCTGGTGCTCCTAAAAAAATTTTTTCAATTTTCATTAATTGGCCTAGTAAATCATAGTAGTATAACATGTATAGCATTTATGGGAGGTTTACCAATAACTAAGAATGTTTTATAAAATGAACTGAATCTCTTGTCTGAAGCTATATCATATTTGTAACAAATTCTACAAATTTCTAATGGATATAAACAATAATAACTCACCTGGTCCTCCGGGAATTCCGGGAATTCCATCTGGTCCATTCTTGCCATCTGCTCCATCCTGTCCATCATCTCCAGGTTCTCCGTCAACACCATTGTCTCCTCGTAATCCTCTCGGACCTTTGGCACCTGCTTTTCCTGGTTGACCGTCTTGTCCTGAATTTCCGTCTAGTCCTGGGTTTCCGTCTTTCCCATCCTTACCGTCCTCACCGGGGTTTCCTTGAGGTCCTTTATCACCTTGTGCACCACCTGGGTCGCCTCGCTCACCAGCTGCTCCTTTAGGTCCTGGAGCTCCTACGACAGATCCTGGAACTCCGGGTACACCAGGTACACCAGGTTCTCCTGGTGGCCCCTGGCTTCCTTCAAGTCCTGGTGGTCCGTCTTCTCCCTGTGCTCCAGCATCGCCAGGTTCTCCGTTGGATCCGTCAGCACCGTCAGCTCCGTTGGTACCTGGGTTGCCAGGCTCTCCACTGGGTCCGTCAGCACCAGGTTCTCCACGTTCTCCTGGCATTCCATTAGCTCCATTTGCTCCAGGAGTACCGTTAAGTCCATCAGGACCGGGCTCACCTTGAACTCCTGGCTCACCACTTTGTCCCTTGGATCCAGCTGTGGCAGGGGCTCCCGGACCGCCGACATCACCTGGTTCACCTTCCTCTCCTTTGGGTCCAGGTGCACCGTCTGGGCCCTGAGCTCCTACTGCTCCATCCTCACCATCCAATCCATCTTCTCCATCTGCACCGTCATCTCCATCCTCACCATCAGATCCATCTTGACCAGGTTCTCCCTTAATCACCCCGGGTGCTCCTTGGTCTCCTTGACTGCCAGAGTGCCCGCGTAAACCTGTAAATAATATAACATAAAATGAAATATCTGCTGCCTGCGGATAAGCAAGTCATTGATCAATTTAATTACATAATTCTTGCGACAGTTTTTCTTAATCACCTTCCGCTCCAGGTTCTCCTTTGATTCCCGGTTGATCCCCGGGAGGTCCAGATGGTCCCTTGTTTCCAGGAGTACCGGGTGTACCGGGCTGTCCTGGTGTGCCATCTTCTCCAGCATCACCGGTTTCTCCTTGTTCTCCTTTTGCTCCGTCATCTCCAGGCGTTCCGTCTTTACCGTTAGCTCCGTTAGAGCCATCTGCACCAGGTTCGCCTGGCCCACCATCAGAACCTGGGTTACCTGGAGATAAGATATTCAATTACAGTGAGCATTCGTTTGACGTATTGTAAACACAGCTAAAAATCACCGTGACTCAATGAAATAAGACCTCCATTGAAATTGTATCAGCTAATACTGTACGACAAATAAATCTACAGTTAAAGGGTTCTAGAAGGTTCTACCTTATCGGGCATAATTTTCACGGACATTACTTTTACGCTGAAAACCTTAGCATGAATAATTATGTCCTTGAAAATAATGTCTGTGTCATTAAGGTCCGTGAATAATAAAGTCCGGTAATTTTTTCCATTAACTTTACTGTGTGTGTCCCTAAATATGCGTAGAAGCGTAGATACTTGTGTAGCCGATTACTATATTAGCTTATTAGTATACTAGGACAAATACACAAATTTACATAACAGTAAGTTAAAGTACTTAAGTTATAACGCCATGATCACTATGACTTTGATTCTAGAATTCAGAAAAAGAGTAAAACAGTCATGAGCATGAATAATTATGTCCTTGAAAAACTTGTCCGTGACAATTGTGTCCGATAAGGTATATCAAACCTTGTGGTCCTTCGTCTCCAGGCTCTCCAGCAGCACCAGCATCTCCTTTATCTCCAGAGGCTCCGGGTAATCCAGGAGGACCAGCCAATCCTTCGACTGATGCGCCAGGTGTTCCAGGAGTACCTTGTGCTCCTTGATCTCCTTGGTCTCCTAGATCTCCTTGCGGTCCTTTTGCTCCCTCGATAGCATCTCCAGGAATACCGGCTTCACCTGGTGCACCATCTTCTCCATTTGCACCATTGGCACCAGGATCACCTTATGGTTATAATGGGTTATTCAACTAACAAAGAATATTTATCATACAAAAAGAATCTAAAGTTAACAGATGCTTGACTGTGGAGCTGTCAATGGAACATTATTATTTTTATTTACCAGGACTTCCGCCAGGTCCTTCTACACCTGGTTCTCCTTTTTGTCCATCGGGTGGACCTTGTCCTCCACGTTCACCTTTCGCTCCTTTTTCAGTTCCGGGTATTCCGGGTATACCATCACTCCCATCGGCACCAGCATCGCCAGCTTCACCTTTGGCACCAACATCTCCCGGATCTCCGACTGCGCCTGGTTCACCTGTTCGATTTTTCTGGTCAAAGTTTAGAATTTACAAAATTCAATTCCATATTCATCAAATGGGTTATGACGAGTAAACAGCCAAATAAAAGTGCGGATGATAACTTGTGAAATGTGTACAATAAGTCATTTTTGACATTTTTAGCAACTTTGTAAAGGGTTCTATGATCATTAGATTGAGTTTGAGAAATTCGCAACTTACCAGGGGCACCAGCATCTCCAGCTTCACCTGGAGGTGCATCAATTTCATCGAGGCCTCGAGCGATTCTGGTCTCACCAGGGTCTCCTTTGGCCCCGGGAACACCGGGAGTACCGTGTCTACCGTCTATACCGTCATCACCAGGTTCTCCGGCGTCTCCCTGATCTCCAGCAGCTCCGTTGGCACCATCGTCTCCAGGCTCTCCTTGTACTCCCTGTTCTCCAGCGGCTCCTGGTTCGCCGTCATCTCCTGCAGGTCCCTGGGGTCCGTCAGGTCCTTGATCTCCGGGTTCTCCTTGTCCTCCCTGGGCCCCCTGGTCACCTTGAGCTCCCTGCGGTGACTCACCGGGCAAACCAGTTTCTCCTTTCGCACCTGCTACTCCGGGCACTCCAAGTATTCCAACAGGACCAGTCTCGCCGACACCATCGTCTCCCTTTTCTCCCTGACCTCCTTGAGGACCCTTAGCTCCCTTGACAAAGTTATCAACGCCATCTGATCCTGCTGGGTTTCCAGGTTCCCCAGGTTCACCTTGTTCCCCTGCAGGTCCATTTGGCCCTTGAGGTCCGGCTTCTCCGTCAGGACCTTTTTCTCCAGCATCACCTGGTTGGCCATCAGCACCAGGAATTCCATTCGAGCCAGCTTTTCCTTCGGCACCCTGTGAATAACAATATTATGGAAAAACGCAAGTATAGTTCATCAGAAACAGCTTGTATTGGTTTTAGTGACGAATATTTCAAACAATTTAAATCCTACATTCGCTTAACCAGAGTCCATTTCTTGGGGCCGGGATAAAATTATAATTAGGAAAATTATATCGAATTAGGAAGATAATATCGAAGATGAGAAATGAAAATTACCTTGGGACCCTGATCTCCAGGTGCACCAGGTTCACCGGGTGCTCCGGGCTCTCCTTGATCTCCCTCGATTACATTACCAGGTGCACCAGGTTCACCGGGGGCTCCATCTTCTCCGTCACTACCATCTAGACCGGCCGTATCTCCCTAAAATGAGAAATCATTCAACGAATGGTGAAATGTTATTGGTTTCACCAAAGTATTACCTTGTTCAATTAATATTTATGGCGACAATTGTATTATTCCTTCTTGATAGCCAAACACAACTGACCGGTAAACCGGGGCCTCCAGGTTCTCCAGCAGCTCCTTTTTCTCCGTCAGTACCGTTGCAACCATCAAGTCCGGGTAGACCCTCCGATCCATCAACACCGTCAACTCCATCAACTCCGGGAGGTCCTGCGTGGCCACGTTCACCAGCTTCTCCCTACATGGAACAATGAAAGTTTTAAAGTATGAAAATTTTGTAAATTTCTTACGAAGAGGATCTGTAAAACTTAATTTTGACACTGAGACAGAAAGCTGATAATATAACTATTAACTTACACGAGCTCCCTTCATTCCAGCGAGACCAGGGTTACCCCGTTCTCCCTTCTGACCGAATGGACCGTTGTCTCCCTGAAGACCAATGGATCCGGGTGGTCCAGCAAGACCCTCTTCACCCTCAGGTCCTTGCACTCCCTGGGGTCCTTGTCTACCTAGGAAACAAAGAATATTCATTAATGCTCAGCAGTTTAATACGTATGGCTAAAATAAGTGGAGCACAGGGATTTTTTTGTGTAGCATTCCCTGGCCAATAATGATAGTGTATTTATTTTTACCTTTCACAAATGTTGTGGGTCTTGAACAGCAGCCAGCCGGGTCAGCTTCTGGATCAGCCTCAGCGTCGGCCTCTGCATCCGCTTTAACACACGCTACAAAGAGCGCATACAGCAGGACTACTCCAAGAAATTTTCGAGATGCCATATTTCAGGTCCTATAAACGCATCCCTGGCAATAATGATTGTTAAGCTGTGAAGGATCGGCATTTTGACCAAAATTCGATGTAAAGTAAATAATGTTTTTTTTTGTCTAACCATTGCTTAAACATTGCACTCACACTATGCTTTTCAACAGAGTGAGTTAAGTTATAACAATATCATAGAGCACCCTTGCTTTTGAAAGGTCTGAAGAAAAGGCTTCGAGCCCAGAGAAAAGGAGTGGCTCGATCTGCTCAAGATATAATCGAGCTACTGAACAGTTAAAAGCTTAAAACTTAAGCTATTATTATAGTGAACGAGCATGAACATTTAACAGTATAGGACTGCAAATCAGATTAAATCGGATCATATGCGAACAATGGTCCAGACAGGCAAGACTAAGGAGTATTCTGAAATCTGAAATCTCAATTCAAAGTTCATTGTGGTTAATTCAAAAATAGTATAGTGATGTGGTTTGCCTATCATTTTATAGATTGAAACAAATTTTATCGTTTGATTTTCTTATCATTGCTGTTATAAATCATTTGAAAAATTGGTTTCAGATGGCGACTAATCGTCTTAGATTTAAATCTCATACTGCTACTGTTTGAATGTGCTATTGTTTGACTGTGCCACAAATTAATGAGTAAAATGGTCCTACAACAGTGAGACAAGGTTGATAATTCGTACGCGTAAATAGCCAACATCTAGCAATGATACCATTCAAACATAAAATTATATGGATAACACTGAGATTAATTAACCAACAGACGATTCGAAAAATAATTGACACTACTACTTATCATACAAATGCGCACTAGATTGGACCAGAGGAATGAAAACCCAGCTACAACTAATGCATTCCTTAAAATAAATAAACTAAAGTTTTTGCAGTTAATTCAATCGCGGGAATCTCATCATTACATTAAAAACAAATTTAAACGAATCTTATAAATCTGATAGACTGAATAAATCTTGATGTTGTTGAGCATGCGGAAAACCGAAAAGGTAGGAGCCTGGATGGAGCTGTAAATATTGCAGATCCTTAATCCTTATTTGTGATTAAGAGCTGAATTTTATTTTTGTTAGAAGGGACCGGGGTGGCAAATATTATATGCTGCCGATAGTTTCACCGCGTTGAACGAACTCCCCGACGACGAAGATCAAGATGTCATTAATAAAATCACGGTTAAAAATAGCTGCATGTTTCTTTCAATCCTTTAAAAAAAGTAAAACTTATCAAATCTGAGACTACTGTTTCAATTCCCACCCTGTAAAAAATCATGAAAAAAGTGCAAGTCGAAGTGAAGCTTAGTTGAACAATCAATATGCGGATGAACTTTAACTGAAATTTAATCTCCTCCAATATTTTAGGGATTGAAAACACCTTCTTTAATATAGTACATCCTGCCCTTTATAAATTAGATCTAATGACCTAATCATCAGTCTCAATTCAAAATTTAATTACGAATATACCAACGGAACAATTGAATGATTATTCATATTTACATAAGTTAAACTTTTAAGAAAAGACGGTAAGTTACAAAATATTTTAAGTTACACTTTTAGTAAGACAGTAAAGCTTTGCCAACAATTAAAAGTACTAATGGTTGATAAAACATAATCAAGTAATGAACCTCAACTATCCCCCAAAACAATATAAAATCCACAGTTTAATGCCTTCGAATAACGATAATAAAGAGTTTTACGTTACGGTAAAATTACCATTTACCACGCTTCGATAATCGATTTGCTGGAAACCCAAATATTCACTGCGGCCATTTCATTCCCTCAAAATTCAAATTGGGGCTTACAATATGCATAGTGTTTACAATTAAAACCCCGATTTACCGGGGTTTTACCGTATATCGTGGTGAAAGTACGTGATTTACCTAGTTTATGAAGATATTAATTCCAACAAAGCCTCTCGCTTAAGATTGAATAACAACGCGAACGTTGATGAACAATGGAGTGCGTTTACCTTAGGTTGTTCAGTTAACTAACGCACCGACAATTTTTTGAGATTATAAGTTAACACTCACCATCATTTAATGACGCAGAGAAATCTAATGCCATGGTTTCATCATAGTTCTAATATGAATCAGTTTTTAATTGTATTTGTACTGTCTACGTCTAGTTTTGTACATTTTAAGTCTGTCTTTGTAAATCATATAAAGCTAGTTTCACAACGTTTTCACTTCATAAAGTTGCAACATTTTAATTTATCAAATTGTTTCTCTAGTCACTCGTCGTAATTTTTTTGGAAAAACTAAATTCCAACTAAATAAACGACAAGCTGATCATGAGCTTTTTGGTGAGGTGGCTGGATTAACATGATTAATTCCTTTTTTGTGTTAGTTTCAACAAACCTGCAACTTTTACAGTTTCTTGGTACCTAATCCTCCGCAAGTCATTGTCCAATTAATGGACATGTTTGGACCTTACGGGATGGGGTGCAGCAGCTGGAGGAAGGTGGGAGAGGAAAATTATGCGTATTAAATCGCTTCACCTTCTTTGGAAATGTGAAATTTGAGTGTGGACTTTACCTGGCATGCAACGTCGGGAACCAGACATGAGGGTGGAAGACACAATGGCGGTACACACAAGAGCGGAGGATGAGAGTGCGTCCTATATAATTAAATAACCTAAACGTTTGCGGGCCAATTTGGATCGAATGTTCAGTATGTTGGGAGATGGGCAATCTACTGAAAAAATTAATAAATTTCGCGTACACGTATACTGCGTACAGCATTAGGGGGAGCTGCGGAACCGCAATATGGTAAAATTTATTACTTAGTTTATTGATATATTTGATTATTTTTTAAATCTTTATCGTCTCTAGTGCAGATCATTATCATCTCTATGTTGCAACATTTTTGCAAACTTTCCAAAAAAACTATCAACTGAATAAATCTTAGTGAAGTTGTTAACCTTAAGGATATTCATACAATGATATGATATCGATATTTCTATCCAGCCGCGGATCAAAGCCGATATTTGTAAGATAAGCGTGGTATTTATTACCGAATTATTGACGTTAATTAATAATTTGTCGTTTTTTCGTTAAAAACGACCTAAAATTCGGGGAGAAAACGCTCTCTCAGATATGGGTTCTCGGTTTATCAGGGATAAAATAAAAAATCACATAGGATAATATAATTATGATGGTATGATTAATATAATTGGCAGTGGGTTGGGTTGTTATATTAAAACTTATAGGAGACGCTAGGGTCTAACAGAAAAAATCAGGAAGAACAATTTTAGTGGCAGCCTGCAGGAAGCTGTAAATCTAGACAGGGTGCGGAGCAAGGTTACTTTGCAAGATATCTATTCAGGCAAGGACTGTTACATCAACAATAAAAATTCAATTTTCTAAAATCCAATCAAAGTATGACTATGTGAATCTTCTCTTTATCGTTCCAATTTTAGTATATGCACTACCGAAGTAGTACGAGAGAAACTATGTGAATCACATATAGTCATATACATACTAAGATTTGATTTTAGAAAAAACATAGTATGTGATGCATAAAGTGGAGATTCTGGAATCGAGGAGTTCCCCGGTGTAACTGTCTGCAGATCCGATAGTTTTAAATATGAATTATGTTAGGAACTTGTATCAACTATGGCGGCCTTACGATATATAATTGGATTGGGAGGATACAATACATATGTCATTCAAAAATGCATACAATGTTGGTACTTTATAGCTTTATCGTAAAAATACTTACACTGGATCTTTATTTCTGAGTGAGTACCTATAATTGTGTGACACCGTCAGTCAAATGTACATGAATATAGCAAATGCTAGTGATTACTAATTGATATAGCTTATAAAAGATTTAGATGAGCTATTATATTAACGACCTTGCAAATTAACGTCAGTCATTTCATGCTCTGAAATGAAATTAAGAATAAGTCACTAAAGGTGAAAAAGACGTTATATCTTTTTACAGATAAAATATTCTCGATTTTCTAATCGAAAATCTTTTTCAAACTTTATACACAGCAATGTTGAAGAAATTAACACGATCAAAATTATGATATCGTCTATAAATTGCGACGGGTGATAACCAAAATACGAAATTGTAACGCATTAATCTAAGCTTGCAAATCGTGGTCCCTTTGAAGTAAAAAATTAAGAATACAGTGTGGTTTGTGATAAACATGTTTGAACCATCCACAGCGAATATATGATATTTTCACATACTATAAATATAAAATAACTTAAAAGTAAAAGTGACTGTAATTTCTCAATAGTTAAATAAAATTTTCAATTCCCGGGGGACACATCCAGAAATTTATGCACATAGTCAAATTAAGATTTAATTGTGTCGAAGCTGTCAGAGTTCAAACAATTATTGAGTTTCGTTGCACAGTTACAGATCGTCAATCGTCATGGGGGACGGCTGATGATTATTGAAGTATTAAGTATTCGGTGTCGTAATCCAGTTAACCTCGATAAGACCCTTGTAAATGATCCATTTTATGCAAAACGGGCGATGAAATTTGATTGGTGATAGTTTGTACAAAAAGCATTCATACTTGACTAAATTAGACTTCTTGGAGGGGTGTCAGGTAAAGTATTCGTTGATCATATATTAATTTGTCTACAGAACCCATTTACTGTGGAATGGACTATCTTTAAAGGTAAAACAGATTGTGTCAACTAGTCTTTTCAAATCAGACTGAGCATGCTATGGAAGGGGCAACATTTTCGAACGGTTCTATTTAATGATGATTTATCGCTGTACTCTGAAAAATGTACTCTGAAAAAGAAGGGAGATGATACGACACAAACGGCCAACGGGAGCTCATTAGTGCAGGTCACTCGAATGATTAAGGAGACCTAATCAAATAAGTGAACAAATAAAAATATTTAATAAGTTTTTTTGGTTACCGACAACTAAGAACTTCTCATTGCGGGCTCCCATGCAGGTATCAAATCACATGGCCCAATCAGTGACGTATCATTTGTGATCTGATTCATATTCTAATAGTCCGAGAATTCTAACAGTCCGAGAACCAAAAACCTTGGTATTGGGTAGGGTTCACATGACAGGGTAGCAAGAAGTTGTGTATTAAGAAGTACCTATTTAGAAGTGCACAGTGTTCAAGCTGTCGGCATGTGATCACATAAAAGACCGATAGACGTGAGTCGGGGGGGGGGGGGGGGGACGGGTCTGAAAGGGGCTGGTTCTCGGATCCGAGGACGTAAGCCGTACGTGTGCGAACGGCATGCAAGGGGAGTGATACGAGGCATACATGAATCACAAGTACGAGACTTGATCAGCCCTCCCTCAAAATCATGGTCGTAAGTGCTTAACTCATGAAAGTTTGGCTTGTTACCGATTCAATTATGAGACACATCAATGAATTTAGAAAATATAGGATGAATTTTAAAAGAATTGACTTTACATGTAGTGAATCACTGATCGGAGAAAATATGGGGAGCCACATATCAACAAAGAAGCCTCAACTAATATATGTACATCCCGGCATTAATGACATACTCAAAGAAATAATAGAAATTTAATCAACTTATGCACAGCACAGCTGTGAAATCGTTGGACATCTGCACTGAATGTTTAAAGTATCTCCAAAGGTTCTTAGTTGTCGGGGATAATGGATATTGATTGTTTTTTGATACTCCTGATAAAATGATATGATATGATGATGATAGAAACAATTAGATAGAAACAATCCCAGATTTAATCTTCACGGAAGCTAAGTTGTGGAATACAGCAAAAATTCAATGTAAATCTGGCCATTAAATCAAGTCAATAAACTAGGTACGGCGTACGCGCAACTTAATAAATTCTGTTGAGAGAGCAAACTGTGTTTATAGTGGTACGCCACTTATGGCTGCAAACAGTTTGAAAAGAATTGGATTCCATGCTACGTCAAGAAATAGGATGATGATTAATCACTCTACACTCGACTGTCACGTGACTTTTTCAACCCCTTCTCTAGCTGGTCCTGAACGACTATTCGAAACTCTAACCCTGTAATCTGATCCCAACCCTAACCCTAACCCAATCCTTAACAAAAGCATATACTGAAACCCTAACCCTATCGAGAAATTAGACTAACTTCCTTATACGGTCATATCACGTGATCAAGACAGTTTTTCGCCAATATCTCGTCAGGAGAGCATTTTAACCCTATGTCATGGGGGGTGATTCGGAATCAGCGTCCGAAAATACATCGATTGAAGTTGGTTTCAACTGTCGGGGACCCTTTTAGAACAATCTCGAAGATCGACTGTAGAGTGATTTAGCACGCTCGCAAGAAATAAAAATTTAGACAGTGGGATACGGGCCGTTATATTTTTATCTTTGTCTACTATCATTACTATATCTGGAAGCTTGATTAGATCCACACCATTGAACTTCCTAGCTTCCAGCGATCTAAATGTCGAGTGTATCGGAACCAGATTATTTTCATGGGATATCGCTATCTTGGGGGAATGTAACAAAAATATTCTGAAAGTGAGTGAAAGTTTCAATTTCCACGCGGTGTAACATTTCCTCGTGCACAATGATCTGGGCGCTGTTGTTTATCTGGTTTCTTTTAGTTTCCTTTCAGTTTCATCAATGATAAGCTAAGGTCTGTCTGATGAGATCAAAATATTTATATCTGAACTATAATGTAATGATGAAAAAGAGTATATAAATTTCCCCAAATATATACACCTTATAGACGACAATTTTGATCTACAAATTCGTGAAAAGCTGAAATATAAAATTGCTAAACCAATTGTAATTTGGTATAATTGATTTATGTCCTTCTAGTACCACTAGTCACTACCCTTCCATTTTTCAGGTACCATCCATATTTACACTCAGAATTGAGTTGGATCATTTTCCAAAACGAGATTGGTGACGGGTTCTATGAACAAACAAACAAACAATACCACAAAAAGTCTTGGTCTTTCGCTCTTTTATGAATAAACGAACTACAAAAGTTTACAAGCTTCCGTTATTTGCGTTCAAATTATTTATAATATAGTTCGAATGACCATGCCAAAAGTAATAAGATAAATATTCTCATGAGTAGGATTGGTAGAGATTTCAGGAGATTTTAAGAGTAATACGACTGATATTGAGCTTTAATTAATATCGATTCACGTACTGTGGTTCGACACGCACAGAAGTTCGACAAATAAAGTTAGCCAGAAATCGCCCAGCTGTCGATTTCGGTGCTTGTCGAACTAGAGTCCAGATAGCGTACTAAAGTTTGACAAATATTTTCCCTCCATTAATTACTGGTTGTTCACGTACTGTACATATAATGCCAACAGTGTATGCTATGTGTTAAAGGGTCTGTCATCAGATTCTTTGCGGATGACACTAGGATTCTTAAGCATATCTACAGTTTGGCCGACAAAGATGTCCTGCAGGATGATCTCAACTCTGTTGTTAATTGGGCTAAGTGCAACAACATATGGCCCTTCATGAGGATAAGTTCGAGCTTCTTGTTCACAAGCATTGTCCAAAGAATTCCTTGTTTGATCATCCATTCGCCGTCCAAGCTCAAACATAACGGGTGATGAATAAAAAATGGGACTACATGTTTTTTAGCCCTCAGATTCCACCTGAACAAAATTTTGATATTTTACCACAACCACCAGTTACTCTGAACGATACTCGAACAGTTTCCACCCCCATTTGATAAAATTGGTTGATCTTTGTCCCCGATAATGGTCTCGAACTAGGGGAGGGGTCCTATAAAAACTTTACAGTAAAGCTCTGTTCACAGAAGTCGCCTCACAGGTAGTTACCTAAAGCTTCCATACCAAAAAATATTTAGCAGAGAGTATGCCGAATGTTATGCTTAAGACGAGGGTTCAACACCCATCAGCGTAGCTAAAACCAGTAAGAAGATATTTGAGCTCAAAACCACCTGAGGGGTAAAATTTTATGGTGTGAAAGATCGAGGCTAGGTCAACTATCGGCTTTAGCATGGTCTATAATGGTACCACGTAAAAATCAAAGTGCTTGAAGCCTTGCCAGGTGTTGTTCCTACAAGAAAATATCCCCAAAGGGTGGAAGGTGGTTCGTTAGGATGGGGCTAGATCGTATTTTTCTGGGAAAACCACATCTTTATTTGCCATAAGGGCAATTTCGTCCCAAAAGTTATCGACCAAAGTAAATTTTGACAATCTCAACCCATAGAGGACTTCTTTAGAGTCCTGGCAACACATGTACATGCCCGGAATATGGCTTACAAGCATACATGGGCCTTAGGGCACAAAAGAAGAGACTGCGCCAACACGATTTTAGGCCCAACTGTACAGACGGATTTTTGAGCTTGATGAAAGAAGCCCTCCTGAACCAATCAAAATGGGCTCATGGGCGCTTGTCATTGACCATACTCGTTCAAAATTGCCCGTTTTACAACGCTGTTTCATTGGTTTGAACCAAAAATAGTTTTATCGACACTAAAAAGACCCTTGAAAAAAGTCCCATTTTTTAGTCATCACCCGTTATGAAGTGTCTAACGGAAACATGCTGTACCCCACTCAAACGGTGAAAGTTCTAGGAGTGACAGTTTCCACTGATTTGTCCTGGACCCCACACGTCAACAGGATAGCTGAACGTGCAGGAAAAGTTGCTTCTTGGGTGCTAAGTGCGTTCAAAACGAGAGACAAAGCCACCATGATGACTCTGTACAAGTCTCTCGTTAGAAGCCATCTGGAGTAGGTATTGCTGTCCTCTGTGGAATTGCTCTAAGAACAAGGACATCCAACAGCTAGAAGGGATTCAGCGTACGTTTACATCGAAAATAGATCACCTTAACTACTGGCAGAGATTAAAGGCCCTAGATCTGATGTCATTGCAAAGAAGAAGAGAACGGTATTTAATCATCAACATGTGGAAAGTTCTGCATTGCAATTTGCAAGTGCCCTAACGATATTGGTATCCAGTTCTCGGTGACTCTCAGACATGGTCAAAAAGCAGTTGTGCCCATGATAGCTAAGTCCAACAGTCAACGTAATCAAGCACTACAGACAACTCATTTGCAGTCACTGGACCTCGATTATGGAATGTAATCCCAACACATATGCACACCATCGAGGATCCTATGCAATTCAAAGCAGCTTTAACGAACTTCGTGAAGTCATTTCTGGACGAGCCTCCAGCTCCGGGATACAGCCGTCGGAATGGAAACTCCTTGCTGGATTGGAGTGGTGATAAAACAGTTTCTACACTGTCCGGGGGGGCGACTTTTTCGATGGCCCGATAGAGGATTCTATGAAGCCCTACAAAGTAACAAAGTAAGTAAGTATAGATTATGAAAATATGTGGCATCCATTTATCATACAGATGGATTTTTCATAAAGTAGAGAGCAGTTAGAATTGTTGTTACCTGGACATTTGTTGTTCTCTGGACAATGAGGTTTGCAGTCTGCAGGAATGCATTATAGTGTTTTGCAAATGTAATAAGTTCGATAGACAGTACCTAAAACAAAACAACAAACAATACTGAATACGGATGAAATCATAATAGAGTCCTATGGAAAATTATTAATCTCACTATTTGGCGCTTTATTATAGATGTCTTGAAGAAGGATGAAGATCTGACGGATTTGAAGATCAACAAAAAGATGATGCGACAGCCCCCACCTCCTCAGCAGAAAAAGTGGAAGCTGACTACGACAGGAGGCTGAACAACATTATCCTGTCTTATGATAACTTCGAAAGGATGGATAATTAAAAGTGTGTGGTGGATCCATGGTTGCTTGTTCATTTCAAATATTATTTATATTATGTACAGTTTCTATTAACATTATCAAATTTTATTACATGTGACTCATAAGTCATAATTGTTCAATGAAAATCTGTCATTGAAATAAAACATGATGAAATAGAACAGAATGAAACTGAGTTGAAAGTTAATCTAAATTACCTACAACATTTTTCTTATTTCCCAATCGAAGTTCTCTAGTCGAACTTTAGTACGACCTGAACTAAGGTTCAGTGCGTGTCGAACTACAGTCCAAGTAGCCCACCGAAGTTCGACAGAGTCGAACTTTAGGGTTTGTCGAACTTTAGCGCGTGTCGAACTTCCGTGCGCCCCGAACTAGTATACTAGCATAGTACGTGTACCATTCTGATTAGTAGGATTTTGATTCCTCTTTCAGGAATTATCATTTTCATTCAGGATTCAGATTTCAGGAGTAGGTAATACGACTGATATTGAGATTTGATTAATGTCATCTGAGATGATAAATTGGATCAGGCAGGTCAATTGTAACGGGAGTTTGTCCGCTATCGGTCTAGCATTCCTGGCTCCTGCCCTTACAAGGGCCGATAAGATAACGAAAACTGCCAACGTAGCTTGTGGCAACTCTCGAGATCACAATCAGATTTCCGAAAAGAAAATCCAATATCACGATATGGTTTCGAAATGGTCATGAAAAAATACCGATTATAAACTAAAACGGACCAAAATATTGGTTGTTTGATTACTACTTGATGCAACACACAATTCTAATTCAATCGAAGAGAAGAATTCTTTATCGAGTCAATCGTTGACAAGGAAACAGAGAGCTGAATTATAATCGATGACAAGCTCCCCTCAGTGACGTTATACTTATATTTCAAAATCGACAGAAAATTATGTTTTAAAATCTTTTAAAGTTTTAAATATATTTGTTTTATTTGGAGCCGGCTGAACTATTTTACTTTCGCCCCGATAAACCATTTTGTTGCCTCTGGTTATTAAAGCCTTAGTAAATTATCGAATTTTATGCAAAACAGGCAATGTAATTTGAATACAGTCAAACCTCTATTATCTTATTATATACCGGGCCTCTCTAGTCTCTATACTGGGTACGGGGAACCTTGATGTAGGTATACTGTGCCTCTTCCCCCCCCCCCCCCCCCCCCCCCCAAATGTATGAATAATATCGGAACCATATCATGTTTACGGACTGCAGTTTATTAAAACGATTCCAATTAATGCCATCACTGATCATACAAACATGAAGTATCTATAACTGGCGCCATAAAATTGGAGCCAAATATCTAAGGATGACGAACAATTTGAGATATGGATTTATAGAGTTAATAACATTAGTCGACACAATAAACTTGGTCTGGCAAAAAGACAGATAGTTTCTCAAGTAGCAAAATATTTAAACGAGTGATGAAGCAAATCACATATTTTAAAAAGAATTTGGTCGATCGTGCTTATGATGATAAAGAGTTTGTCTTAAATTTTTGGCAAAACTGTTAGTCACGTACGCGTGTTTGCTAACAATTCCAGCTTTGTACTGGTCAATTTGATTACTATTATACTATTACTGGAACGGGGGATATGAGGAGGGGCCAGCGAGGGTGGGTGGAAGAGCGTCTATCAAGTCTAACTAACGGAGATTCTCTACGAATTAACGGATCACATCAAAGGGACATAATCTTTCGTCGGTTGAGCTATTTGGATTTCTTTCCAATTTCATAAATGATATCCTATATTATGCATGTGTCTCGTATTTGTAAGATCAAAATACTTAAACTATTATGTGACACATAATCTGATTAACATGAGTATCGATAATTTTTAGAATTTATAATTTAACTCTGTCGAATCTGGTTTTTAATTTTGCTAATGATGATATCTCAGCAGAGAATCATCTCCATAGCTATAATTTGGACAGCCAACTTCCAAAATAGTGAAAAGTTAAAATATTGAACGGCCAATTTTTTGAAATTATTTAGGCCCTTAAATCAAAAAACGCTTGGAACACACAATTGGAACAAGAACGAACCGAAATTCCGGTTTTTATAATAGCGGTATAGCGGATCGCGAAAGAAAGACCTTGATAATGGCCAATGCGGATAACAATTTATAATTTACATAATAGGTTGGCAGCATCCTGTTCATTCTTTAGAAAGGGCTGAGTTATCGGTGTTAGTCGATTGAGGGCAATAGTAGGGAGGAAATAGATGATCTAATAATGGTTGCTGACAAACTGACCATTCTGGTGACGTCAAGGT